TCATGAGACAGGTTCGTCCCATGCGTAGACCCTGGATAAAGCCAGACCTGAGGCTGACAATGACTCGTGGACAGGTCCAACGCCGTCATAGGCCTGACAGCAATGCATTTAAGCCGCATCATGTACCCCGGGATATGTTGCTAAGTGTCGGCATCGATCCCCTGTCTATAGCATACGCAACGCGCTACCCCTGAGTGCCTTCATCCAAGAGTCCAGCTTTGAGACTGTCTTCTGAACACTGAGGAGAGTCTGCAAGTCGGCACATGATGGAGAAAGCAGGGTTGCATGCCGCTCGGGGTCCGATTTATGCCGCCTTCGGCTGTGGCGGAGTCTCCGGGCCCTTGTGCGCATTGATCAGGGTCTCTTGATCAACATAGGAGGGGAACGGTCTATCTGATTTCCAGGCTGGTCATCAAGCCTGAAGTCCAGCTCCCGTCATTACCGAGGTGAAGCAGTGACCAATCTATTTGCGAAAGAGACAGGCTTGCAATTCCAGTGGCTGGCGCCACCGCGTAGTTCTTGTCCTGTTGAACATGCTAGTTACATCTCTCAGAGGAGCGTGACAAACGTCTTCGCCCCTTCCGAGTGACTTCAGGGTATGTTCCCCTCGACGGCGAGGCAGCGGCTGATACAATTCGAATTACTTTCGTTCTACCAAGTAAACTTGCAACGCTGTAACCTTTACTTTCGGCCGAGTTTCCAGTCGAACTTGACAACCCGTTTTACTAAACAGTCATGAGCGCTTGTACATGCTACCCTCTAGTCTGATGGGTTGTTGTTCTGACTACAGCTCCTTCAAGCTGATTCTTTTCAATTGTAGGTATGCGGTCAACTCAAGATCGTCATTCATGTTGATTTTAATCATATTGCTCATTGCTAAGGGGGGTTTCGTGGCAAGAATATCATGCGGTGATCCCTTGTGTCAATCTTGCTGGCGATCTAGGTGTCTTCTATTCTTCCATTCTGTCATTGATAATCGGCTGAGCAGGTTCCTTACCAGCGAACATTGTTGTCGATGACCAACGCTGTTTCCATCAGGAGCTACCTCGTATGGATCGATCAAGCAATGGTCACTATTTGGAGAATGTCAATGGCTCGAATACTCCCCGCCTTGGATATTGTTAGTCCGTTCATTCACTATCGGGATTGGGATGTCTACAAGTCATCGGATGATATGATACCGAGAAGTAAATATGCGGATGGCAATGACCTGTCCATTCAACAATATGGTCATCTGCCAGTGCGTGAAAATTGACATTTATACCCTACGGCTAGCAGATCTCCTCTTTAACTCAAAGCTTACTATCTTACTTCTCCCTCAAGTGGCATCCCGTCTAACTCACAGCTCTCGCCATCAGTATTCCTCCGTAAATGACCATACATCATCGTGAAAGCATAGCCTACATAGCAGCCACGCTCCTGCCAAGTAGCACTTGCCCACACGCTCAGCGACTCAGTCCCGAACTCATGTTCTCGGCTCCAGTTCCGCTTATCACGGCTTCTCTACCACACAGGTTTCCCGGTTAGCCGTCTTCTTTTCCATTTGTAATGCTTCTCAACCCAAAGACTCCGAGTCACCTACAAGTTTGCGTCTTCATCATTTTCCATATTTGCCTTCCGAACTTACAATGACTCTTCCTGACTCTGGCATATTGACAACCTCCTTCCTACAGCCCAGAACCGTCCTCGAAGTTCACGAGTGCGATCGAAAAAAAATTATAATATCGCCTTTGACCTCACCATCGGTAATTGTCTAACTCTAATTAATCTTACCGCCTCGCAATACTGTGGGCTGGTAGCCAAGTACGCAGGTCCAGAGCCTCAACTTTCACACACGCCGCCTTTCATAGCCCATACTACACGTTAGTGCACCAGTTTACGATCCGATTCGAAACTCGTCATCTGGTATCCGCTAAACAGCAGATTGATCAAAGCTATTTCCTTCGCTGAGCGCCATGGCCGAGATCACTGCTCAATTCAAGCGAGCCAGGGGCTTCTCGCCCAAGGTGTTGCTCGTAACTCCGACCCGCGCCGAGGCTCTTGACGAAAAGGAGTTCTTGCGATTCCAGGCAACGATGGTCACCAATGCTATATTCGGAAGGGATGAGATGGTTGTCTTTTCCGGTCAACCCATGAAGAAAGATTGGGATATGATGCGAGGTGAAGGTCGTAAATCGCAGAAGGAGGAAACGATTCGAATGGCAAGTTACAATGCCTATCGAGTCAATACATAGCTGACGTCTGCAGACCTACACACCCCCGGATTCGAAAAGAAGTCGTGCCGCTGAACGGCTCTTCGCTATCATTGTGGACAGTCTGCTACCGCAACTCACCTATAGTGGTGTCAAGATGCTGGCCTCCGTGTCTCGCAGCATGCGGGCCACTTTCCTCGGGCGAGTGGTAAGTGCTTCCAATATGTCTGCAGGCGAATACAACGTTGACATGCACATATAGCGGGCCTGGAACCTCAATGACCCAGACACCATGGGCTTCTGCGACTGGGATCCCGAGTTGCTGGACATCATGTTTCGCGATGGCATACAACCTGAAGTTTTGGCCCCTGGAGCGTATCTGACAATCAGTGGTCGTGGGCCTTGGTCGACCTGCGACGTGCTCTACTACCCGGACGAGTATGACCCCGCATGGACTGCTTCTCAGATCGAGGATACATGGCCTCAGGGTCAAGGGCGGCGCATGGCTCTGGAAGCAGTCAAGCTCGCCGACTTGGGTTTCTGGGATAACCAGAACCTCGACCAAGTGCCTCGAGATCTCGACTTTGTGAGAGTCAAGGAAAAATGGCAATTGGCGATGGAGAAAGTGCAGAGCGTCAGCGAAGAGAACAGACGCAGCCAGCGAAAATACTTTGCGCAGCTCTCTCATCTTTCCGGCATGAGTAAGTTCTTTCTCCTTTGATCAGGATTTGACCAGTGGCTAATGATTGCGTAGTTCGTGGCCTCGCACAGCACGGTAGCCATGTCCGTCATCTCGAGTTGAGTCACGTTCCATACCTGGACCTGAAGCTCACTGGAGCTATCATCGAGATGCTACCGCAGCTTGAGGTCCTGACCATCAACGCCTGTGACCTCATGCATCTAGGATGTCTCATCCCCCTCCTCGATTACATCAACTGGATCGCATGTCGACGGGATGCGGAGTGTATCCAACTGGACTTCTTCCCCAAAGCTTGGTTCGGGCCAGCACAGGGCCGAGAGTGCACCAGGATCCTGACCTGGGGTCCGACAGCATTAAACACCCGCAAGGCAGTCATGTGCACCATCATAGCCGCTGCCATGAAGTCTTCTGAGATGGGGCACGACCTGCTGGCTGAAGACTCGCTCCTCTTCAAGTATCTCGCTCTGGTGCCGATGGATTTTGGGCTTATGCACGTCTTCGTCCGGAATGTCAAGGCTTACATTTACGAACTTCAGCACAAGAAAAAGTTCAGGACGGAAACTGACGATGCAAGGGTCATGAATCTTGAGCACCAGATTCTAGCCGCTCTGACAACCGGTGACCGCCGACAGATTCAAACCGACATGGTGATGGCCTTGATGCTGCAGAAATGGACATGCTCAAAATGTGAGCATGTATATGCCTTGCCGTGCTACGAGACCATGATGCAATCATGGCCAGCACATCAAAGACGTTGTTATCCATGCCGCCTCACTGAAGCCATCGAGCGTGAATCTTTTCACCACTGGCAAGGTGAAAAGCGGAACATCGCATTGAACTTGACCTCGACCCCAGCTGCACCCGAGCACAAAGCACCTTTGAAAGCGCAAATGATCGCCCCTTTGCTCAAAAATGAATTCGTCGCTGGCCCTGACGACAGCACCGTTCGCACCCGGCCCGAGTCCTGGATCGCGACTCTGGGAAGCGAGAAGCTGCGAACTCTTCACAAGAATAAGTCTGCCTGGAGCTACGCCGGTTACCTTGCCCGCACCCTAGACGCGAAGAACATGTTCGCGGAGGCTTTGGGCATGCACCTGGACGGAGACTACGTGTCCAACCGCGCAAGTGGAGGGCAGCTTGCCGGCCCCAGGCAGCCAGTGCAGCCTTTCAGGGAGCACATCGATCGCCAGTCCTGGGAGAGCCTCTACGCCTACAACATCCAGACTGAAAAGGTAAAACAAGAGGCCAAGGCGCGTGAGTTTTGGTAATAAGTTTGGCCCGAGGAGCTATCCTTGCCATTCAAGGTTCGCACATCTCGTTCATCAAGCATGTGAGTCCATCCGATGGCTTTGCACGAGATACGACGTGACCGGTTCGTTTTCGCTTCGCAGCCTTTTCTGGACACCATAAATCTTTGGAGATCCTTTACGTCGTCACAAAGCTTCTTACTGCCTTCAAGCTCTACCTTCCAGCTTGAGACTATCAAGGTAACAGAAAACGATAACATACATCCGCTAACCAAAGGAAGGTGTTGGGTAGCGGTGCTTGCATTAGTCGGCGTTGGCGTATGGCGTTTTGATGCTTCATGCTTTGGTCTGTCCTTTGAACCTACCGCAAACAATGACTCACAACAAGCGCTTCCAGGCTCTCTTGTCTTCTGCGTCATAAAAATCCGGCGCTTAGGCATGCGCACCGTTGATGCGGGCGTGACCTGCCTTTCATTACGATTCTGACACCCCTCAAGCAACTTCGGCACTCCGGAACTCTTGAATATATCTATGCAGGCTGCGGATTTGCAGCCGCTACAGTATACCAACTCGCTAGGTTGCAGATGAGGAGGTAGTCAGCGGTGCTCGACCTGGGGAAGTTAGATAGCTATGATCAATGAATGCAAACCTTCGCAGATTGAATACATCAATTTTTCCAGACGGCGCTCAGCTTTACTTATACATGAAATGCCAAAAAGATGTGAACAGGCTAATACATCTAACATTACAGTATAATACAGACTTCTTTCAACATGCTCATGCGCCAGTAGCCATCCATCTCAGCGTAAAATCATCTTCCCCAAATCGTGAACGATGCCCAAAGGCGGAACACCACAGTTATTACTTCTTCTCAGGCTCACCCTGGCCCTCAGCAGTGCTGTCGGTAGCGGCGGCCTGTCCAGGGCCCTCCGCCGAGAGCCCGACGACGTTTCTCAACGTGCCGAATGTTAGGCAGTCGCTGATGCGGTTGGCGCCCGAGAAAAGCATGACCAGCCTGTCGACGCCGCAGCCCCAGCCGCCGGTGGGCGGCAGGCCGGCCTCCATGGCCTTGATGTAGCTCTTGTCCAGCGGCGCAGCCTCCATGTCGGCATCGAGCTCACCATCGTCCTCGCCGGGTTTCTGCCCTGCCAGGACGCGGTGCTCGGCGAGCTTGCGCGCCTGGGCGGCCGGGTCGTTCTCCTCCTCGTACATGTTGGCCAGTTCACGGCCGTCGACGAAGAGCTCGGCGCGCGCCGACACGAGCTGGCCGGTGGTTGGGCACTGGAAGCTCTTGGCGAGGGGCGACATGCAGGCCGGGTGGTGGGTGATGAAGGCCGGTCTGTCGAAGGACTTGGGCTCGAGGTGGACGGCGGCGAGGCGGTCGAGGAGCTTGGGAAGGGTGGAGGGGATGCTGCCGCCGGGGAGGGGAATACCGGCGATCTTGAGGATGGCAATGAGTTCGGGGAGGGCGTCGGGGCCGGTAAGGTTCGGCAGGCGGAGGCCGAGGGATCTCTCGAGGGAGGGGATAAACTCGACCTGCTGGAAGGGGGCGGCAAACTTGGCGACGTCGATGCGGGGGAGCGAGGTGAGCTCGTTGGCGATGAGATCGTCGCAGCGGGTGGCGAGACCGTGGAGGAGGGACTCGGTGATGCGGATGAGGTCTCCGAGGCTGCTATAGGCACTGTAGAATTCGCACGTCGTGAATTCGGGGTTGTGCGTTGCGTCGATGCCCTCGTTACGGAAGGAGGGGCCCATCTCAAAGACCTTGTGCAAGCCGCCAATGACGAGGCGCTTGAGCCAGAGCTCGGGGGCGACACGTAGGGAAAGCTCCTTCGAAGGGAACTCGGTGGCGCGGGTGGTGAAGGGACGGGCAACAGCCCCGCCGGCGTTTTGGGCGAGGATAGGCGTTTGTACCTCGAGGAAGTCATCCTCGAGGAAGTGGGTGCGAATGTGTTGCATGAGGTGGGACTTGAGGCGGAGGGTATCAGCAACCTCGGGGTTCACGAGCATGTCGACATGCCGCTTCTGCGACTTGGTCTCGGGGTCGGTAAGGGACTCGGGAATCTGCTCGAGGGCAGGCGAGAGAAGCTCGGGCAGAATGTGAGCCTCGAGAATTCGCTCGCCTGTACCGCTCCGAGCTGGCGTGCCGGTAATAGCTACGACGGTTAGGGACGTGACTGTTGACATGCAATCTTCATGCATCTTTCATGGTAATATAGCGGCTTACAGATGTGGTCACCCTTTTCAATCATGCGGCCGAATAGCTTAAAAGCGTCCAACAGCATGGGTGGCTTCATGTTCTTGAAGTTGATCATGCCCTGGATCGTCTTCCTGTCGTTGACCATAGTGACGAAGATGAGCTTGTTACCGTGCTTACGAATCGACTGTATGCGACCTTGTCCCTCATCAGCACAAGCGCCGGCCGCGTCTGAGACAGATGATGAAAGAGCGTACCGTCAAGCGTCACGTATTTGGAAGAGTCAGGCGGGTCCTGGTTGAGCCAGTTTGTTCTGAATTTTGCGATGGACATGCGGCCCTCGCGCGACTTGAGCCGCGGATGTGTCTGGCTAAACAGCTCCTTCTCGCCCGCCTCTCCCAGCGTTTTCTGACGCATCTTCTTAAATTCTGTATCCCGATCCTCAGTCGCCTCCGCACTTGCGGCGCGGTCGCGTTCGTCGCGGAAGAGTCTGCTCGTGAAGCTCGACGACCTAATGTGAAATGGTCGCGCGACCGCCGCCGGGGCGGCGAGCGCCCCCATCGAGGGTCTACACACCCTCAGGCAGTGAGCTGTAATCATCGCGTCTGAACAACTTGTTAGCTTGCGCGTCAAGAAGTATGGAGCCAGAGAAGAATGATGCAGCGAGTTTCGGTGTCAGATATGTGGGCAGTTATGCAGCACGTCACAGCAAGCTGTGTCAGACGCAGCGGTTCTAAGGCATAGCGGATCATCATGAAAGAGGGGGAAGGGAGATGTCGACGAATCGGAGGTGGGAGGGGGGGGCTGGCTTACCATCTGGAGGTTTGGTGATAATAAAGTGTTCACAGACATGCGGAAACCAAAATTTCGTCGTCAGTTTTACTGACGCGAAACCGCTTATCGTGCAGCTTATCGCGCTTGTGGTCGGCTAAATACCGTATCTTTCATTCGCGACGAGCTATCGCGCTGATAAGATAGAGCTAAAATCTCGACGACATTTGACGACCAGGAGCCTCCCGAGCTACAGCCTGGCACTCGCATCAACCCCCTGGCATCAACAATACGATCGATTCGCACGCGCAATCCAGAACAAACACCCTCCGTTCTCCACCTCACAACACCTCTCAGTCAGAATGTCTTTCCTCGGTATGGGCGGTCGCCCCAAGCCTACCTCGGAGGAGAAGGTCGCCATGGCCGAGTCCGAGATGCGCCTCCTCGCCGACATGCACAACCGGTAAGCCGCACGCCTGCTTTCATCTTCGCGAACCCACTGACTGACCTGAACCAGCCTTACCAAGGCCTGCCAAACCAAGTGCCTGCCCGATAACCGCGAAGCCGAGCTCAACAAGGGCGAGTCCGTCTGCCTCGACCGCTGTGCCGCCAAGTTCTTCGAGGCGCACATGAAGGCCTCTGAGGTCATGCAGGCTGAGAGCCAGAAGAGGGGCGGCATGGGCGGTGGCATGTTCTAAGAGGATTCGAACCGAGCATGAAGGGGGGAGGAAGCAGGCGATTCAGCGAGCTGTTTGCAAGACGGCGCTTTGTAACAAGTCAACGAGATGGGGAGAGGGCGGACGAAAGTGTGACGATAATGGGCGTCGGACATGGGACTTGCGGGTTCTTGGGGTTTATATGCCTTGCATCTCGGACGGAAGCATATGGATAGCGGCTTCATGTATAACAATCGGACCGGAAGCGGTCTGCCAAGATCAACGTTCAACTCTAATGATGCGGTTGGTGTTTCGTAATCTTCGTACATGCCATTGGTTTTTGTTGGGCAATTCGACCAGAGAGCAATTGGCTCCTAGTGATGAGTGTGGTTGAAAGACGCCCAACGGACGACCAGTGAGAAGGCTGCAACACATTGAGATCAGGAGGGCAATTGGACAGGAACCCATCCAGACAGCGAGGACAGATGGGGGAAACCCCTGTACTAGAGCCAGAACTTGCTCATTGTGAGTGCCAGAATAGTCTGCCCAGTAGTATGTGTCGATTCAGACGGCGGGTATTACAGTCTCCAAGACATGATGGGTTTCCCTCGGCCAACAAGTCTCTAATATCTCGCAGTTCAAAAGCATCAAACTGTGTGTACCACATGATTTCATGATAGCACGCGCCTCCTCCTACTTTGGCATGGCGTTAGAACATGTCATGGGTTCCATGTGAGGTGGCTGTGGCTTTGAGTTGGAGTAATGACAATATGGCCCATTTTGCGCTGGGACTTAGACCAGAGGATGCATGTTGACGCGAGTGAATAGGTGATAGCCGTGAAGAAGGAATGATCTGACATATTAAGCAGTTGGATCGTGGTCATGCTGAGTGCCTCTTGCTCAGTTCAGGCGAGGTTGCCACGCTTTCACCCCTGCCAGCACAAAGTAAAACAGCAGAAAGGATACTAGCAGATGTCATTCGGCCCGCACACAGAGAGGCCGAAAGATGAAGAAACAACCCGTGAATGACATTTCCCATCGCCTCAATCTGGCCAAGGCACTACGCATATGATGGTGCGACAGGCGGTATGCGCCGAGAGACGGACGCCTCTAAAGCGGTTGGTCAACGGCGGGAAGATCGGAGAGACGGAGATACGGAGAAATACTCCACTTTTCCGCCTCGATGATTTTTCCCGACTGACACGGGCGACACCGTGCGCCGCACTCCGATAAGCCTCTTCCACCAACATGGAGCTGTAGTTTCGAGGCTCGTGACCCAACATCAAATATAAGAGCAAATGGCTTCCTGCGCTTCCTGCGCTTCCTGCAAGCCAGCCCTCGCTAAATATCATGCCCCAGTATGACGACACTTGATAAGCAGCCCCTTCGCCCCGTCATGTGCCGTACGCCTGCATGCAGGTTCTGACGCCGGGATCCAAGGAGCCTAGGAGAATAGATACAGTAGACGAATGAGAGGTGCACGGTACGCCGCAACAGCGGGCCGCGCCCCGCATGTTATTTGCCCCTAACCCCACCTGGACGCCGGCGGTTCGCCCATGATCCGCGAAAAGCGGTGTTGGGCGATGGGTGAGCGGTCGTACCGTCCGGGTGGTCCCCTCCCGCCTTCGCCCTCGTTTATAAATCCATGGGGCATCCTTCGCTTCAAAGAGTTTCGACTCTTACACAACCTTCGGCGGCCTCAATTCGGGTTTGCAGGATACCACACACTGCTCGGAGATCATGCCTGCCTCGGTCCTCAAAGATGAGTCCAAGGCGTTTCCCTACTGGCAGTTGACCGTGCTGGGTGAGTCGTTTTCAATCCCCTTCTCCCCCGCTGGTCTTATTCACTTTTGGCCTTCCACCTCTCCCGTGGCAGCCGCCGGCACACGCGCCGACCAACCACCAGCGGATTGTGTACTCTTGCTGACTTGGCGACAGCCTTGTGCCGGTTCTCGGAACCCATCGCCTTCAGTTCCATCTTGTCCTACTCCTATGTTATGACCATCGACCTTCTCGGTGGTACGGAAGAGGACGACAAAGATGCCTCATTTTACAGCGGCCTCCTCGTCTCAGCTTATGCCGTCGCTGAAGCCCTGACATCTGTCGGCTGGGGTACGCTGTCTGATCACTATGGACGTAAACCGGTCGTCCTCATAGGCCTGGGAGGCGTCGCTCTCTCGAGCCTTATTTTTGGTTTCTCCCAGAAGTACTGGGTTGCTCTGCTGGCCAGGTTTATTGGTGGCGCTTTGAACGGAAACGTCAGTGTCATGCAAACTATGGTTGCAGAAATGGTCAAGGTTCCGGAACACGAACGTGAGTCTTGCTGGTCCATCGAAAAGCCATGAACATCCAGTACTGACTTTATCGTGCAGCGGCGGCATACGCAGTTCAGCCGTTCGTGTGGACGTTGGGTAGCATCGTTGGTGCGGCCTTGGGAGGATTCCTGGCTCAGCCCGCGAAATCTTACCCTCACTTGTTCCCCGAAGATGGTCTCTTTGGGAGATATCCATATCTGCTTCCCAACCTCTTGGCCGTGCTTGTGGTCGTCCTGGCGATTATTCAGGGCCTGATCTTCCTGGATGAAACCAACCCACGCGCCAAGTATCTCGCTGAGCAGAAGAAGTTGAAGCAACAGCAGAAGACGAATGGTCACAATGGCCATACTGAGACGTCGCCGCTCCTGCAGGAGAGCACATCGGATGCCCCTATCAAACGACCATCGGTCGACGGTCCCAGGCCGTTCTTCGTCGAGGAGAGCCTTCCGGCACCGGGCGTCCAGACCTTTGATCTCAGGCGGAGCTCCTTTGGAACGATGCATGAGATTGATGTGCCTCACAACCGAGATGGCCCATCCGAACGCACCCAGTCGCAGGAGCCAGAAATGCACTATGAAGGCGCCGTGTGGACTCGACCCATCGTCATGCTGATCGTCTCTCTCGTCCTCATTTCCTACCACCAAATGGCTGCCGGCGCGCTGTTGCCTATTCACCTGCTGGCCAAGCCCCTGAAGCCCCACGGCCAGCTCGACTTGATCGGCGGTTTCGGCTACAGCCTCCCTGACGTCGGCGTCTATCTCATGGTGAACGGCATCCTCAGCCTCGGCGTCCAGGCCTTCATCTTCCCCCTCTTTGTGAGCAAAGTCGGCGTCTGGCGCTCCTTCATCATTGTCGTGATTCTCTACCCCACCGCCTATCTGGTGATGCCCTTCCTCTCCGCTGTCCCCAATCTCACCTCTGCAGGTATCATCGGATCGCTCCTCCTGCAGGCCTTCTTCGGCATCATCTCCGTGCCTGCGGCCCTCATCCTGCTCAAGGATGCCACACCCTCGCCCCTCGTACTGGGCCGCGTCAACGGCCTCGCCATGAGCGCCTGCTGCGCCGCAAGGACGGTGTCTCCGCCCATGGTCGGTCTCTTGTATAGTGCCGGCGGCTCGGCCGTCGCGTGGTTCAGCTGCGCCCTGGTCGGCGTTTTGGGCGCTCTGCAGCTCTTCTGGATCCCGCGGAAGGAAATCCCGCACGTGTCCATCGAGAGGCCGACCATAGTCACGCGAGATGATGATGATGATGCTACCGTTGTGCAGGATGGCGAACCTTAGTTGATCTGGTACCATCTTCTCACGCGCCTTTTCCCGCTTTGCTTCACTTGACACACATTCTTCCCCATCCCCGACTTCGCGATCACATTGATTTGTTCAAGGCGTTTCATTGACATTCCACCTCAATCACATGCATAGTTGAGCTGGTCATGATGGGTAACGGGGCATCATCATAATACAAAACAAAACTCGGGGATGCCGGGATGCTCCTGCAATGGTTCATAAGCCAACATTCTATGAGGATGCTTGATGAAGATGCCCACAAACGACCAAGACAGTGACGTGTTGTCTGGCTTCCGCCCATGTGGATTCCTAAATTGAGAACCGACCCTCTTAAGGTCTCTGGGCGCTTCTTGACACTGGCTCGTCCCTGAATAAGGGCCGAGAAGAGAAGACATCGTCAGCAGCTCAATTCCGGGATGTCGCGAGTGTTGTCCTGCCGTTGGGCGACACCTATACTCTCCTTTGTGATGCAGTGCGGCCAGATAGAGTTGGAGTGGACCTAGTTGCTGTCTCGGATGCTGTTAATTACGTTCAGGCACACCGTGACATTGGACACAAATCGGGCGGGACCTTTTGGCACATGCCGGCAACGATTGCCTCGTTAAGCAGACACAGCATCTCCTAGCTCACTGTACTGCATCGTTGGTTCGGTGGCAGTGAGGAGTTATCTACCTTACGCAAGGTAGTCGGAGGAAAGAAGCATATGCAACCTCGACCCCCGCTATCTTTGCATCTGCATGACTTCTCTCTCTCTCTCAGAGGATTGCTGTGCGGAACACTAGTGAGCTACTGCGCCTTTCCGTCTCATGGAAAGGCTCATGATGTCGGTATAATGCCACTTCGTCGTCAACACACCCGGGCAGGCATCCTTCCTTGATTGTTGTCTGGTCTAAGCGACGATAGCTAAGGCAGGTAACGTTGGGCTGGAGCGAACTGGTTCGATCAAAGGGTGACCAGCATCCGCGACACTGACGATCTTCAGATGTGAGCCTGCAGGATCAGGTCGCGTCCTGTTCGAGCTTGTTCATCGTGCAGGTGCCACCTGAATAGCATGACCTGGTTCTTAATGGTGGGTTGCAGATCCAACCTTCTAGACCACCACCAGAGTCCTGATGATGTCTTTGCGCGTCGGGTTGTGGTGGGCTGTATGTCACCGGAAGATCGACATTGATAGTGCAAGCACAAAAGTTTAGGTGTGCATTGAGGTCCCTGCAGTCCATGGACTAGAGCGAGGCGGTGCTATTCTTGGGTGTCAGGGTGCCTTGGCTGTCCACAAACTAGTGATGCACAGCCCTACGGCAGTCAAGGAGGCTGGGGTAGTGGCTTCTGATTGCATTGTGAATTGTTCTTTGATGGATAGCACCGCACCAGCTTGGGGTGCACTGATGTCTGAGGTGCGATGTGGCTCTGACGGTGCAGAATTCCTGTGGTCGCTTGGCAACATGATTCGGGCCTGGACGAGCTGACGAGCGCAGTCGAGAAGACAAAGAGATGTCTGACACACAAAGTAGGTTTATTTGCTGCGTTCCATCACGTACCTGGGCCGAGTCGAAACGGAGGCGAGAACGGGTCTTTCCCGATCGAGTTGTTCACATGGAAATGTCCACAAGGAAGGACTCAAATGACATTCGCAAACCCAGGGGTTTTGCGGTGTCGGCCTGTCGTCTCAGCAAATGGATGGTCGCGAGACTCGACATGTTGCTTGGATCGCAAGCTGGTATTGAAGGCGGCAGTTCCCCGAGCAATACGAGACGGTGGAAACGTGAGAGAAGAAAATTCCCACTGGTCTGGGCGAGCTGCACAAGGTGGGCGGGCGGGCATGCCAGGCTGCGGCAGGCTCACCCCACCACCCCCTGGCCCTTCCCTGTTCTGGCCCTTGCCCCTCAACCTTTCTTCACCTAACGTTGGATTGGCGGCAGAGGCCGGGCTAAATTGCCCCCAAGGCCCACACGACCCCCAGGCCAGGCCTTCCCTCCTGGCTCGTTCTGGCCTCGCATCCCTTTTTCACCTGCCTGTCTGTCGCCTGCCACTGCCCGTCCACTCCTGCCGCTCCTCACTCCCCTCCCTCAAAGCCGTAACCCGTCGCAGACCCCAAACTACTCGGGGCTCCCTTGTGTTTCAGCCGTACGACGCTTCACCTTTCTCATCCTCCCACCAACATCAACAGTGCGTTCTTTCCATCGACAACGACGACGCCGCAACGCCCCGACGGCGATTTCATTCAACAAACCACAAGAAGGGGATTTTTCATTCCGACAAGAGAATCTGTACACCTCCACGCTCGCTTTCCCGACTTTTCGTCATTGCCTCTGCAACCGACGCCTCGACTGCCCGAATCAGCTGCCATTCCATTCTTCAGCCTAACCGGGCAACAACCCCATCTTCATCTCGCCGCGACTCCTACGAGGAGTCGTTCAACACCGCCACCGTGGCTCAGAGACTAGAATCTCGTCACTCGCTGCTCGGGAGCGACCCAACGCACGCAGGGTACGAGCAGCAATTCGATCAACCCCAGTACGACCAACACTACCAGCCATCGTCATACCCACAGTCCGCTCTCGCCCAACAGCCAGCCTATGCTCCGCAGCAGCCTGTCTACCATCAACCGCCACACTCCATGCCGGCCGCATCTATCCCACCTCCGCAGCCCACGTTCAACCAGGACTACAACCAAGGCTACGCCTACCGCGAAGGACTCGCACCCTCGACAATGAACGGCTCAAGCCCCAAAAGCACCAAGGGTGGTTGGTTCTCTTTCATGTCGTCGAAATGGCCCCGAGCCTTCTTCCTCGTCACTCTGCTGCAGGCCATCATCTGTTTGGTCTTTGAAGCGTATGTGTCCCGCTGATGAGTCCTCACCCGACCTCCTTTGTTGACAGTGCATTCTAGATACGTCTTCGCAACCTTTCAGTTCAGCCTCACCAGTGACGACAATCCTGCCACCGAATCCCAGCGCCGTACCATCCCAACGTTCCTGGCTCTCTTCATTTTCGGTTTCCTCTACGAGCTCGTTCTCGTTTGGGATGCCCTCCGCGCCAAGAACACTATTCAGATCATTGGAGTCTGCATTGCCAACCTCGCCCTGATGGTGTACACGGCCATCCAGATTGAACAGATTCAGATCGCCGTCGAAGAGCTGCGTGTCGGCGGCGGCCTGAGGATTGGCCACGAGAGCGTCTGGGAGGACATCAGGCCCTACCTTGTCGCCATCCCCTGCATCTTCTCTCTCGGCACCGTTCTCATGGGCTTTGTCGCCTGGAAGCTGTACCAGGTGTTCGCCTGGGATATCCTGAAGACCATCGGCGCCGACTATCGCATGAAGCAACGCTTCCTCTACTACCAGATCTACATTGCGCTCCTGAAGTTCGACTTCTTCTTCTTCCTCGGGTTCACTGTCCAGTTCCTCGTCATCGTCGGCGACATTGAAATCGTCGAATACGCCCTGACCGCCGCCGCTATTCCTGTCACCGTTGCGATCCTCATCAGCGCTGCCTACTTCACCCGCCGCGAGAACAAGCCCGGCATGATCGCTGTCATTGTCCTTTACCTCGGTGCCCTCAGCTACTTTGTCTTTAAACTCGTCCGCATCTACCAGCCCGGCTACCAGCAACACTACATGAACGTTCGCAAGTCCCTGACTACTTTCACCGTCATCACTATCCTCCTCATCATCCTGACCATTGCCAACGCTATCATCTGCATGAATAACTTCGGTGCTGGCCTGAAGACTCATCTGCTCAAGTCGCGTGAAGCTGAGAAGGCTACTGACCTCAACTCTGTCAGCATGCAAGATGTCAAGCCCCAGATGGCGAGCAGGATGACCATTGACTAGAGGATGGATCGGCTGGACTATTCCATCTTGCGCACAGAGAGTACTGAGTCAAGACTACAAAACAACAAAACTCCCGTATAAAGAAACGATTAACGAAACACCATTCGCCCGCCCGCCCTGGCTCGATGCTCAGGGTGTGGCTTGGACGTGGTTTAGAGAGCTGCATACTCAACACAGCTTCATTGTTCTCCTTGAGATTCCCCACCATCATCTAACCGATCGATGATCTATTTGTCACCCTTTGTCCGCATTGTGTTTTTTTTTTTACTCGCAGACTCGACATTTTCCTTTTTAGTCTACCAGGTCATACTTGGCGTTGGCAGCGCCTCACACATCACATTCCCTTGACTCCAATGCTATGGGAGTGGGAAGAGGAGGACGGCGTTCTGGTTCGATTGGATTTCACTTCTACGTATAGTTTGTGCGTGTGCCACAGCTAGGATAAAGAATTGAAATTATGGAAATTGTATATTCACACGTTAACCCAGTGTCCCGGCAACCTGTCATGTGATGGACGGGGCTGGAACCTGCGCTCCTCGGCAAGGTTCACTCATTTCCATACCGACAAAGTTGGCCATGCGGCGCCGTATTCTATCCAGCTTCTGTAGAGCTGCACTGCAGTTTCAGTATTGGACCGGAGTACGCATGCTCGCTTCCAGCTTCGTGGTAGGACTTCATTGCGTTGTGCATATGAATATGCAGGAGTACTGATTGGCTTCGTGACAATTTACAATTCTTGCCTAAGTGCTTGCTAGACATGCTGGACAACTTCATCTCGATGGAGTGAAGCATTCACAGGGGACGCTGTCGTCCCATATCTTTCTGATTATTCCCGTTCACGCTTGAGGCGTTTGTTGAGTATCGTGTAAAGACGAAAACTTCCCCACGATCCGGCCTTCCCACACTACAAGTCCCCATTGACGGCTCACTGGACATAATCTGAGAGGTGTACAAGAACCTCACCTACCGTCGAGCCGGTGGTGGTAGGCTCGGCCGAACCAGGAGGCCTCCGAGGAGGAGAAGGCGAGTTTCTTGGCCACCAGAGCAGACCCATCGTCGAAGAGGCATCCACAGCCACGGCGAGGGTCTACACGGGTGGCTCGGGTAAAGGTATACCGCTGCGCGGAATGAGAGGCAATGACCGACGGTCTGCGTTCTCGGCCAGCGGCGACGAACTCGCAGGCGCTAAAATATCCGCGAGAGGGGGCGGCGACCATCCCAGGTCCGCCCTCATCGCGGCCCGCGCGTTCTGACGGTCCGCCATGTCTTGCAAGGGTGCGTTCAGCGGCTCGGCCCATGTGCCATACGATACCGGAGATTCTGTTGGGACAGGTTCAGGCGATTCTACCAAGCCGGGTTCCGGCGCCTTGACGTGAAGGCCGTCTTCCTAAAGCGAGATCTCACGGGCGTCGCGGATGTGGCCCTCGGAGGGGCAGTAGGGGCACTTGAAGCGGGAGCCCTTGGCCAGGCGGTGGAGGCTCTCCTTACAGATCACGTGGCCGCAGGGGAGAAGCATAGGCGGGTTCTGTTCCGTGCTCTGTTCTTTGGAGACGGGACAGACGAAGATGGGGTGGTAGACCATGGACCGGGGGAGAGGCGTCTCGAAAGCGAGCTCATTCTCGGTCGTCCACTCGGTGCGGCTGGCCATGACGTAGTTTGTGTACTTGAGCAACTGAGGTAGGGCGATGGAGCCGGCTGTCGCTGCCAGGTAGAGGGGTGACTCGGCTGAGAGTCCCAGAAGAGAGCAGAACTCGCGTGTGAAAGAAGTGGCCACATCGTCAAATATTGTGTTTGCGGGGGCGAATAAGGATGCGTAAGGTGACGTGGCGAGGTTGGGTGCGTAGAGTAGGGAGCATGTCAAACGCTGGATATCGGGACGGTGACGGGCTTGGAAGCGGGCAAAGTGGGCTTGGGCATGTGCCAATGCACCGTTGCGACCGTTCCTGTCGTCATCTGGGAGACCGTTTACTTCTGGGCCTTTGAACAGCCAAAGAAACTGAAGCTTCGTGAGCTCGAATTCAAGATTGGACCCGCGCGCTTCGAGCTCGGCGCTGTTCTGGTGTGCCCAATTTATGGCTGGAACGAGATTCCGCCTCTTGAGCTCATTGAGGATGCTGTACATGTTGGCGAACTTCTCCTGCAGTTCTTGAGACTGTAAGGATTGGATGTCGGGAGCTGCGTTCGTGGTGGACGTGGTTGACCGCGGTAGCGGGTGCTCGTGCGTCTCGCGGAGGAAGGTCGAAGCGACGCTGAACTGGCCTTCACGGAGCATATGCATTGCGATAGCTCTATTGATAAGTTCCGGATGTGTCGCCATCGCATCGTGCTCGGTAGGTAGCTGACGGAGTGGGAAGTTCTGTACGAAGGCATGTCAGTAGCTGCCGGACCAGAACACCGAGACCTGGACGCGAGCTTGCCTTGTCTAGTGACTTGCCGAACACCTTTTGGCCTTTTGAGACCTCCTTCAGATCATTGTTTATTGCGTCAAACCGAGCATTTATTGGGTTCTGGAGTTTGGTCATGGTTAAGCTCGCGCGATGGGGGTCGGTAGCTATCTAGGTCAGGACTTGAGCATGGCGGGGTTCCGGGGAGGCTTTGGCTAACCTCCAGCAACCTGTTCCCTAGCTTGCACGAGCATTTCGAGTAATCTGTCCGCGTCTTCAACAGCTGAATACAGCGACGCCTTCCTGAATCGAGCCAGATCGGCCTGCAGAGCCGTCATAGGATTGGATTCGGCCATCGTGGAGGTGATACGGTAGTATTGGGTACGGTTGGGGGTGTACGAAGTCTCGCAGGCTATGGATTCTCGAGCATCGTTGTCCCCAGTACTGTCTCCTATGGAAGCAGGCAGTACAAGGTCCGACCGTAAAGTAATGGGTTCGTCATGAGAACCGGAGGCTGGTCGAAGGTATGAGGGGAACGGGCGATGGCGGATGCTCGTGCTGGTTACAGCAGCTGTCGTTATCGGGCGTACTGACGTCGGCTCGATGACATAAGCCGCTCACGTGGACGAACCTCCATCCGGGATGAACATGGACACTGAAACATGCAGGCACTTTATTGATGGTAGAAACACTGATGGTTCACCAAAAAGGCAAGCCGTGAGGTCTTAATTCATGTGGACTAGTAATACACCCGTGTTGTACATCTTCTGCTGATCTTGCCAGTCTGGTTCGGCTCATCCACATCCAAGCAAGAAGGGAGGAAGCAGAAAGTCAATCACACTTGAGTCTTAACTTTAGGAACAGCCGATGAAAGCCTGCCTGAAAGCTGATGCAAGCTGTGGCGGTCTATGAAAGCCAAATGTAATGCGAAGTGCAGATGCAAATCCCACGATGAGGCAGCCAAGAGGAAAGACGTCTAAATCACCCAAATCATCCTGCCCCCCAAAAAACACCAATTATGACACGCCCCTCTTCTTCGACGGATGTATGTGAGAAAGCCAGAGCCAGAACATGAACCAGACCAGAGAGACCCGCAAGTCCCTGCGTATATACGACGCGCCAACCCGTCTAGGTCCTATCTAGCTTCCGCCTCAGGTTGCGGTCGCGCTTCTGGAGCTTCTTGTACTTCTTCTTCTTCATCTTGAGCTTGCGCTGGCGCTTGACGCTGATGGCGTGCATGGTGTCGGTGGTGCCCTGCGCCTCCTCGAAGAGCATCTGTCGCCTGGCCATGCGCTCGAGGAAGCTACGGGGCGCACCATCCTGGACGATGCGAGGGCTGTGAGCGAGAACGCGGACCTGGCCGTCGGCGTCGGTCGACTCTTCGATGGTGAAGAGGGCCTTGTAGACGCGGTGTTGCGGCGTGTCGTCGAGGAGCTCCTCGGCAGCAGCCTCGACCTGAGCCTCACTGGCCGTGGCAGCAGTCTGCGGCTGAGGAATGGGAGGTGGGCGGAAAGGAACGAACTGGCCGGCCATGGAGTTGAGCTGGACGTAGACGCTGGACTCGGAGCCATCGTGGTGCTGGACGTCGATCTTTCGCACGGGGTCGCCATGGGCATCGGGTTCAGGCTGGTCGGCAATGGTCATCTTGGCCATGGCGCCGTCGAGCTCGTCGGCTGTCCGCGAGAGGGTCGAAATCACGTCGCCGGCATTATTCGCCCTGTTGCGTGAGGCGAAGATGGAGGCAAAGGCATCCTCGGTAATCGACTTGGGCAGGCTGTGTGTGACAGAAATCGGGCGGTGGAGAGAGAAGAAGGTCGACAGGCCAAGAGCTGCTGTCTGTTAGCTGAGGTACTTGGCAGACTATAGACAGTCCAAAACAAACCTTCTTGAGACAGGTGCTGAGTGCTGGGGACGCTCGGCAGCTTTTGTGAGGCGTTTCGCTCGGCGCTATCTTTGCTCTTTCGTTTCCGCTTCTCGCCGGTGGTCTTGCTCTGGCCAGACCGGGAAGAGGCCGATGCAGGCACGGCAGACTGGCCGGGGATATCTTTCGGACCATTGTCAGAGCTGGAAGGTTTCGAAGAAGACCATCGTCGCTGGTGGCGGATGGGCCTCGCGATGCCCACGGTGGCAGCGGCTCTAGGGGCAGAGGCGCTCAAGGATGAGACGAGGGGGGTCGGCGGGACGGCGGCCACGCGGCGCACCGAACAAGGCAACATGGTGTGTCCGTCGCCTAATACACAAGTCCTGGAGAGGACGAGGGAGGCGGGTCTGGGGAGAGGGGGGGTTGCGAGGCAGTTGATGCTCCTCGCGCCGTGACGATGGTGGTTTGCCGCTGTTCAAAGACCCGGATTTGGCCGCAGGGAAAAGATGCACGACTTGAGGCTCCACTTCGCCTGAGGCATCCACGAATGGGCTGTCGAGCTGGGTTGAGCGAGGTACCTGTCCGATGTACTGAAGCCTACCCGAAAGATCAATAGAAGAATGCGAATATTCCAGTAGTCTGCGGGTGCACAGTGAAATGCTTCGTCACAATTGAATCTAGAGTGCGCGCTTCAGCTGTTTGTAGCAGCCTGTGCAAGAGACTCAAGTAAGCGGAGGCTGTCCGTTGCATCATGCGCCCAGCCTCATCTCGTGATCACGCCTCGCCTCACCTCCGCCTCCGCTTGGATCTAGCACCAATGACCACGCTCACCGCCAGATAGACAAACGCTGCGAGATTCAATTCCCCGTTATTCGGCGCTTCCCCCGCTCATGTTTCGGCTCTCTCACCGATAGCCGGTAGCCTCAACCATCGAGCGAAAACCCGACCTCGCCCGCCTCTTGGCCCATCTTGACCAGCATCTCCCGCATGTGCTCCGCTCGCTTCTTCTCCTTGTCACCGAGAGCGCTCAGATCGACCCGATCAACCCAGTCCTTCAGCCCATGCTGCAGCACATTGCGGGCTCTGAGCGAGCTACCCTTGACATGCCCAGCGCTTCCATGCAGCGTCATGCGCTCCTTGCCGGACTTGTAGGCCCCACGGTGCAGGATATTGTTGTTGTAGAAGACAACGTCGCCGGCATTGAGCTTGACCAACAGCTGCTCCGGCATGTCCTTTTCGAAGGGATCCGCGGATCTCTCGACGTCGGTCCTGGCGCGCTTGTGAGAACCTGGGACAACGATGAGACTCTCGTCGTCGTAAAGTGCCATGTTCCACTGCGCTGAGAAGGCCGGCTGGTTGAGCCGGGCGAGCTCCTCTTCAGCGGTCGCCGTTGCGGGAATGTCATCCCGGTGCCAGCGCAGCTCAAAGTCACTGTCTGGTCGGACCAACAAGTTGAAGAGTTCCATCACAAGATCCTCGTCCGAGCACTGGAGGAGCTCCTTCGTAGGCTCAATGACGGCATCAGAGAAGTACGTCTTGACGTATACCGCGCTGTTGGGCAGGCCTGGGTGCATCATTCCCTGGACACCCCAAATGCCTTCCTTGGGCAAGTTGTCCGGGCTCGACTTGGGCCAGGGAGGGAATTGCTTCGGGAGAGTGCGGACGTGAGGCCATATGCCGGCGCGGGCCAGAGCCGTTGTGTCCTGGGCGGCCCGACGGAGCTCGGCGAGTTCGTCTGGCGACAGGGCGGAAGGGACCACGACGAAGCCGTCAGTGTTGAGGCGATCAAGCAGAGAAGGAGCCGCCATCATCGCAATTGATCTTAACAAATGTTGACAACTATCAGTGAATACTTGGAGTTCGAATTCTGTCCATTGGTATGAAAGGAATGTTGAGGTTGACGAACGAGCTACCCCTCGCCGTACCGTCCTGTTGCTTGGCTTCGACCATCTCCAGCGCCGGTGTGGAGTGCCAGCCACAGAAGCGGTGCAACGTTTCAGTCACTGACAGCCGTTCTTCCCACATCAACATGCATTAGTCAATGCAGGCTTCAGGCAATACATGCATAGCCTCCTGTAAGCACCACGTCGGATAGCCCCTCACATTGCAAAAACTTGACCATCAATAGACGAATTCAGAATGGCGTCTCGAATAGGGCAAAAAGATATTGATGAGGACGAGACTCGAACTCGCGCGGGTTGCCCCACCAGGAAATCTAGTTAAGGTAGACCTTAACCTGGCGCCATAACCAACTCGGCCACCTCACCAATTGCTGACAGTCTGTGAGAAAGAGGACTTCATGTAGATTGCAAGCATTCACAAAGACAAACTTGATATTGGCCTTTGATCAACGCCCCAGCCTAAGCTCATGGTCGATTTCATCACAATCAATACAATCTTACGAACTCTTCAACCGGTGCCGGGCGTCTAGGATCATGGCCAGGTATGATCCTAGGATCCTGACTCCGGCACGGAGGAATTGTTGTTGCTCGTCGATCCCCCACCGCACAATCAAGCATTTGATGGTAGTCAGAACTGCGAGGTGAAAGTGTGGTAAAGCCAGTATTGAGAAGGACTTACCCTTAGTCCCGCTGCTTGGGTCTGAAGTTATCATTAGGGGCTCCAGTTCATCATGACAGCGCTGTGTCAGAACACAGAGCTGGCAACCTTGAGTAACCACCCGACAACGTATACTTTGTGAACGAGGTCCCAGTCAAGTTGCGTCCGCGGAACACCATTTGGTAAGGTCCTTGTTGAAAAAGCCGATCACGAGCAGCTCCACTCAGCAAGTCTCAAGCCACCTAGACAAGAGATACTCAAACCAGACGAAACGAGAGGATCAAAATGGCGAGGAAACGACAGACAATTACAATTTTGAAGGCGGTCGACGCTGCTCGATCCGCTGTGAGGCGAAACCCAAAGAAATGATGCCCAGGGCCAATCCACATGCCATGTGTGCCTGCTGTCTATAAGATGTATACAAAACCAACCAAAAGCCCATGCTCCGCCGAAGCAACGCTAGTCCTTTTGCTCCAAGAGGACGTCACACTGGGGGCGGCCCTCATTTCGCGCTGTTCAGCGCGCTGAGGAAACAGTTCCACCCGATACTGATCACGTTGACGAACAACAGGCGGTGCTGCAGAGGCACCAGGGCAAAGTTGAAGGCCTGGACGGCGGGCCAAACCATCCAGTTGGCCGTCAGCGCGGGAAAGTAGCTCTTTTCAAGCTTGGCCTTGGGGCTGGTGCCCTCGAGGGTGGCCATGGAGGAGAGGAAGACACCAATCATGACGGGGGCGAAGACGAGCTGGTCGGTGGCGACGCGGCCAATGGTGGTGGCAGCGGTGCTGCGGAAGTTGACATTGCGCGCGAGGAAGCCGAACCAGGTCGTGGCGACGGGGCCGAAGACACCTAGATAGGCGAGAGGGTCAGCGAATGTGCACTGGCGCAGGAGTCGACAGGGGCGCAGGGGCGCAGGGACGACGTACTGCCGCCGTAGAGGGCCATGCGGCCTGTGCGGGCAAGATCGTGGCCCTTGGTGCCCTTCTTCTCGATGGCCTGCTGGGCAACAATGTCACCAGTGGCAAAGAGGATGCCGGTGGTGATGCTCTGGGTGAGCAGTGGGCGCGCGGCCAGGCGAGCTTGGTACCTGGATGATGTCAGTGACGGGCGCATAAGTGAGCTGCACAGGGGCGGCTAAGGGGGTTACTGCATTGCTTACCAGGCGAGCATGATGACGGTGTGTGTCGGAACAAGAGAAAGAATCGATTGCAAATAGGCACAAGACAACGTGAAATAAATTGGAGAGACGCCGGGGCTATCGCGCAAGAAAAAAGGAGGCAATGAACGTCAGTGTCGTGGCTCTGGCAGGATCGATGAAAAGACAGCGATCACTGGAGATAGGGTCTGGGCTGTCCTCCAGTATCAAGATAGCCGATCGGCTACCAAAACGGGGTCTTGGACAATGTGGGTGGATTCCGACGAGTGGAGCGATGGCGAGCTATCCCAAAAAAAGGGTTGATGAAAATTCGATTGACATTCAATTCTGAAGAAAAGGTGCAGTGTGACATGAGGATGAAGAAAATCTCTGGCCTGCCAGCTCATTTCCACTGAATGTGGTAGTACAAGGCATCGTGAAGCGATATGTGCATAGATATTGGCGGTGAGACACATCTACCGTCTAGAGCAATACATCCCACGGGCCCCCACGGTGTCCGGGAGCTCGATGGACGGGGATCTGCCCCGAGTCACCAGGTGAGGCGAGGCTGTCCAAGCTCAGCAAGTTTTCATTACTTGCACGCTCCGTGGTCGATCTCGAGAGATTGGCGGAGACGACCAACGCGAGTCGGTCGTGCAAATCGATGCAGTCGGTGAACGAGCTACCATCTAAGGTAATCAGGAAGGGGCTATTATGAGACCAAAGTCAACTATGGTACTTAGTAATGGTCTTTGGACCAACAATCTTCCAAGGGTGCCCTCCATCAGCAGTCGAAGGAAAACAGTTTCTCCAGCTTCTCAGAGTCGTAGCCCTGTGCCAGTCCTAGTTGCAGCATAATCCTTGCCTTGCGAGGATTCAAATGGCCAGCGCCGTAGTTATTCCTGCCTCCCTGCGAGATGGCGAAGCCGTCGCCGTTCTGCGATGCCGTGACAATTTGCGTGTTGTACTGCTCAACCAACCTGGCGTTCTCCATCCGACCTGCCTTCCTCCAGGTTCCGTAACCTGGCCCAGCAAGCACGAGGCCCTTGGCACCCATCTTGACGGCCGCCTCTGCGAGACGCGGATTGAACCCCTGGTACGAATAGAGTATCTCGACCTGCGGCAGCTCATCAGGCAAGTCAAAAGCACTAAAGTAATGGCGGCCCAGCGGAAGAGACGGCGCGTAGAAGAACCTAGGCTGTACGTCGAAGAAGAAACCAAGATAGCCGCCCTCCGAGGCGCGAAAGGCATCGACCGAGTTCGCGTGCATCTTGCTCGTTAGGAAGGCTGAGCCAATTCTGTCGTTGAGAGTGACGAGAACACCACGACCCCTGGCCTTGGGGCTAGCGGCGAGCGTGACGGCTTCCAGGAGGTTCAGCGGACCATCGGCACTGATGACGGTTGCCGGCCGCATTGCGCCCACGAAAACAATCGGCTTGTCGGTTTGCACGGTAAGATCAACGAAAAAGGCCGACTCCTCTAGGGTATCAGTGCCGTGTGTGATGACGAGGCCGTCACAATGAGGACTGCTAACTTCTTGTTGGGCTCGGCGTGCCAGACTTATCAGGTCCTTCACGGTCACCTCTGTTGAATCGATATTCATGACCTGAATACCTTGAATATTGGCTACCGTTCGAATTTGCGGAGCAGCATCAATAAGTGCTTCGATTCCGAGATCTCCAGACTTGTAGCCCATGGTGACAGCAGCAGAGGCTGCAGTGGCCGCAATCGTGCCTCCTGTAGCAAATATGGTTACGTTTGGCAGATGATGCTTGTGAGACATCTGTTGATGAGCCACCCGGAGCTCATTTGCATCTTGGGGCGCAACGGCTATTGGTCTGGCCGGTATGTTAGCTACAGGTCGTGCTGTGACCGAATAGGATCGGGGTTCCATGTCGGACGTGGGCGTAGATCGCTTGTGATGGCTGGGTAAGGGTTATGAGTTTGGCGGTGCATGAAGCTCTGCGAGACGGAAGGCTGACCAAGACCAACGGTGTGGACTGTAGAACATCGGGGAATAGACGTTGTCAAGCTGATGAGATGTTCTTTCTTCTTATAATCCCAGGTGCTTCGCAGCTTTTCGAACCTGCGAAAGCCTGCAGTGATGTAGAGACAAGCAGGTCAGGTCGGACAGGATCATGTAAAACACAAACCAAATCGCGCGATTGCAAACTAAACCAGCCGAGAAGAGGCAGATGAGTGCGGAATAGTTGGAAGAATGGATAGGACTTCCGTTGTAACACTGACAGTCTCACCAGATAAGTGCAATGATATTGGTGACTTTGTTGGCTGAGATGGGAAATGATTTAGGTGCCAGGCATTTGATCCAGAGGTGCAACATGCGGTCGGCAGACCTGAGCTGTCAATCTGGACTCAGCGAATGATAGATGGTGCACACGGCATCTGGACCATGTGGTCGGGATTGCTTACGGGATGTCTCTTTCGTGGAAAGTATCGCTTGGGCTGAAACCACATGTGCAAGATCACCCAACCCCTTCTGGCGAAATTGTACGACACGAAGGATGAGATGGGTGTATCACCCCTGGTCCGGACCTAGCCGGACCGATGCGACTTAATGCAATAGGATAACTGCAGGGCCAAGAGGTCGAAACTGGATATTTTCAGGATTTACTTGACACTGTCCCGACCGCCGAGTGATGCATTGGGGTATCTTCTCCGATGGTCTCAACTCTGGAAACCTCGCCTCGAACAAGATCCAGCTTGGCAGAGTACTGTGCCAGAAGCACCGCCATCAACTCCTGAGCCCCAGGTGCAGAATGTTTGCGGGGAAGTGTCGCGCTGACGGCATCGCACGCGTGACGTTGCTTGTCGTGTTGTTCCTTAACCATGTTGACGAGGACAAACTCGGAGACAGGGTTACGGCATTCATCTTCCGATCGACTGCTCATCAGGTCGTCGACGAGTGCTGTGTCGGAGGCCAAAGACGACACGTAGATGATCAGACTGGGATCCGGCAGCCCCATGCCTTGCGCATCCTCGGCAGTCATTTGCTGCGTTGCAAGTTGTGCATTTGAAGGCTCGTCGGGTAAGGGAAAGACCAATCGTAGGGTTTCGATGAAGACATCGAGAACGAACATAGCCGGCAGTACCAGCATCATGCAAGATGTGTCGTCGGTCATGCTGTGCATGATTCGGTTGCGCCAGGAAAATCGTTCGGCGGCCATCATGAGCCAGACATGCATGTTGGAAACCTTTCGCGCAACGTCTAGGAGCTCATGGAGGGTGTCCGAACGCAAGGCTACACCCGGAGGAGGTCGTTGTGAGAACAGAGGCGTAAGGATTCTTCTTTTACTCAGAAGCTGTTGCTGCAGAGCTGACATGCGCTCAAGCTTAGCAAGAACAACGCTTTGAGCGTCGTGTGTGCCCCTGAGATTTGGTAACAGCTCCTCCAGGGTCCTTTCATCTTCCTGGTCCTGGTCCTGGCCCACATCGTAGCTGTCATCTGCCGCCGCGGTGTCGACCAGCGGATACCGAGGAGTAGCGTCCACGCTGTCGTGACTCGCCTGGGTCGTGGAAGGAGTGATGGGGGTCATCGCCCTGAATACAACGGGCTTCAGAGGCGCTGTTGACGGTTCATTGCTATTCTCGCGGTGACCAGCAATGGCAGGCTTTTCTTTTTTGGGCCTTCCAGTCTTCAATGCCGGGCTGAAGACGCATTCAATGTGTTCCCGCACGCATCGTTCGCATGGCTTTGGTGTCGACCCCGGTGCTCGGATGCATCGAATCTTTTTGGCATGGCAGGAGTCGCAAGCTTGCCTGATACCTTTGGCAGGGCGATCGCGTCTGGGTTGGTTCATGGCGAGCTACGTTACACGCTTTGCATGTCAAAGAGATGGAATTATGGGATTTTGGGGGACAGGACTGGCGGTGAGAAGAGGCCCAAAAACCGACGGGTGTGTAAGACTGAGGATAGATTGAGAATGAAGAGAAACTAGAGCGCTGACTTTGATGCGTCCCTGAATTCACATGTCGCAAAGTCAAGCTTGACCCATCGCGCGGCTGACGTAATCGATCATCGATCATGAAGCTATTTGTCGGAAGGGTAAGGTGAGCTGCTGAAGTACCGGCTGGTGCTGTGACTTTCGTCAGGGCTGGGCATCCATAATAAGGCACCTAAGGTAGTACGGTAATGTAAGGTAGGTACATGGTGGTAAGCGACGTAAGGCAGCAGGGGAGAAAAACTAGGCTTAGTTTTTAAACTGGAAAGGTATCGCAGCCCACAACGGTCAACATGATGAATGGGTATTCGATGAGAGATCAGTCACCAAGCGACTAGTCCTCACGGAGTTCGGATAGTTACGGCAGGACGGGTCCTCGAAAAGCCACGCCGAGCAGACTTCGGCCAAAACCCACTTGCTCCAGAAGGATCGTGTAGCAGACCTCGGAGGAACTCTCCCGACTCACACACGGTACGGCATCTAAGGGTAGCGAAGTCCGTGTCTCGGAAACGCCGGCACTCTTGAAACCCTAACGCTCGCCGAGGTGGAATCGTCCTGCGCGAACACACTGAACCAGTTCCGATCAACCCTCGCGAGTCGGAAACACGTGAAAGTTGCCGACGTGGGAGGAAGCAAAGGATGGACTGTCATCTCAGACTGGGCTGATGTACGTGTGCAAGATGACTATCACTTGACGAACTGGCGTGACAGGATCGATCGTATTGTGGGTCTAGCAATAGTTGCATTTACCCGTCGCCCCGCTAGTCACATACTTAATGATTCAGGTCTTTCATCAAAATTTGTCCAAGTGATTGCATTTTCTGTTGGCTTTTGCATCGACATTGGGACGTTCTTGACAGTACAACTATGAAGGACAGTCTGCAAGACCTGGAGCGACATCGAGCGCAGCTCGACGAAAACGTCGCCAAGCTGCGGAAAGGACTTCAACACTGGCGACGATGGGACGCCGAGTATGAGACTCTCAAAGACGAGATAGAGTCAGCCCCCAAACCAGTCACTCAGAAAGATCTCGCTAGGATACGGGCCGAGTTCAAGAGCGATGTCATAGATCGGAAGGAACTCGATGAAATTTTCGGCAATGTCGGAATCAAACCTGCTGATCAGATCGTCAATGTTCTTTCACGACGGATCGACTACGTCACGAAGAACCTCGAAACCCTGGAGAAGCAGCTGGAAATCGCCGAAGAGAAACATGCTGCGGCATCAATCATCACCGACCCTGACATGCGGGATGAGGAGGGCCTGCCAATGTCAGAGATCATCGAGGAACTTGATGAAGACGGCCAGGTTATCTCATCTCGCGTGCAGAAGCCTGGAGACGCGCAAACCCAACTGGAAGAGCTCCTGAAGAAGGCCGGCATCAAAGATATACCAAATGGAGGTCCGGCACCTGAACAGATCCCTCAGAGTGCTCCAGTGGAGCCCAAATCTGAAGCAATAGCAACCCAAAAGGTATCGCCAAAGGCTCCAGCGCAAAGAGCACCAACAACGCAAGCCCCACTAGCGAAAAAGCACCTTGAATCTGTTGGTGGACCCTCGTCAAGTGAAGGCCTCAACGATGGTGGCACGAAGAAGAGCGTCTCATTCACAGAGGATACCAAAGCTGGAGAGGAAACAGAGAAGTCCAGAACAGCTGTCCGCGTCGAACAGATCATGCAAACCGCCAAGGATCAAGAGCAACTGGCCCGTTCAGAAGCCGTCGTTCCTGAAGATGAGTCGGAAGAAGACGCCTTTTTACGACGAGAGATGCTCAAGTACGGCATGGGTGAGGTAGGCGCCGTTGTCGCTGAATTGACCCTGGAAGAAGCCACAGACGATGACGAAGGCTTCGACGAGGAGTATTCTGAGGAGGATGAAGAGGAAGACGACGAAGAAGATAAATACGGTCGCTCTATTGGCAGCGTTATTGATAACGATTATCGCCAGCGGATGTTGGAGCTCGAGAAGCGCCTTGGCATCAAGTCCAGATTCACTGAACAGTTGGCTGAACAGGATACTGATTCTGACGACAACGAGCCAGAAGGACTGGGCCGCATCACAATTCAACAAGAGCCTCAACCATCCTCAGAAGCTCCGCCCACGGAAACCGCTGTCTCTCCACGCGCTTCCAGCCTGAAGTCGTCGGTTGTGGATGATGGCGCAGATGAGAAGAAGAGTGTACGATTTGCCGCGGATCTGGATATCGCCCCCGACGACGTTCCATCGGCCTCAAAAACATCGTCAGAACCGGCGAGGCCACTCGTTGAGCCCCTCAGCGACATTGTGGAAAGAAGCGGTCCGTCGCAACGTCCAGAACAAACCTCCGAGCCAGTTCGTAAAGCATCCCGCTTCAAGAAGAATCGAGTCGAAGCGGCAACAGCGGGCGAGTCACCCGTGCCCAAGGGACCACTCGATGTTCCTGTTCGATTCCTGGACCAGGACAGGCCCACAGCTCCGACAGGGCCCCTGGGGAAGACGATTGCGGAGTCTGTCCTCGAGCGTGAATCAACCTCCACCAGAGCTGGAGAGGAGTACAACGACGACTTCATGGACCAGGATCTCGCCGACGAATACCACCAGAAACGCCGTAACTTCATCCAAAAGCACGGCGGCTTCCTGCAAGAAGATGAATCCCCTATTCAGCCCCTCGATGAAGCTGATGGTGGTCAAAAGATGAGCAGATTCAGAGCTGCCCGTCTCTCGAAGCAATAGAAACTGAACGATACTGTTGCATAGGTAATGTTGCAGATGGGTTCCATCAATCGAAGTCGTCTTCACTATCGGCGTTCGCGCCCTTCTGTCTGTCGTGCTTGTGTGATACCCTTATATTCGTGACTATTTACGGATCTTGAGATCAGAAGCTTGGATGAACACCCCTAAGGGAGCGTTCATGCATGCGTTTGGAATTATTGGGCTGCACATCACTTTGCTTCCCAACCCCTCAAGGCTCCAAGATAAATGCTTGCACAGGGTTTCTCTGACGTCGTACCCCCGATACCAGGGGCCATTCCAATGGTATGGTCGTTTCGTTACACTCCTGACACCTTCTACATGTATTTCCTTAGCCGTGGTTGATCTCGGCCTGGGAAAAGTCCAAGCCAGTCTGCTTTTGCAGCTCTGCAAGACGCTTCATGTTCTCCTCTTGCTTGTTCTTCTGCTTTTGCTCAGGCGTCAATGTGCTCTCCCACATCATCTTTTCGGCCATTGCACGGGTTGAGCCCTCGGTCATGTCGCTGAGGGATGTTTCTTCAGGTTCAATCATCGTGAGGTCAACGGAGGGCTGGTTGGTCACAATATTGGCCCACCACTCCATCTTGTTCGTCTTGTCGAGGTGGATTGTAACAGTCTTGGCGTCTTTCGCGGCGTTGGTAGTCATGCCCCATGTTGACTCATCAACACGAATAGGATGAGGGAAGTCGCCCTATCCACCGATTTCTGTTAGTGGTGTCCAAACGACTGCGGCTTTCGTCACAAGTTTGATCGCGTAGAAAAGTACAAGTTATGACGAGATCTACGCACATCGATGAGGAGTGTCTGGCCCTTTATGCCAGCCTTGAAGGATGTACGTTTGAAATCAATGACCAAATCCTTGGCCTTATAATTGAGAGGGACATCGAATTCGACTTGCAAAGTCTCAAGCTGCTGGAACCATTTGTATGGCAAGGCCGCCTGCTCCGCGTTCTGCTTTTCGCGAGCAGCTCTCTCTTCGTCCGTCTTTGGTGCCCTGAAGCCTATCAGTTCATTATTATTAGCTCTTCTTGACCAAATTCAATATCTCTAGTCGAACGGCAAGCCTTACGCATGGTGACTAGAATGTTGATCTGCTATTTGTTCTGGAGAAGTGCATAGAATGCGATGGGTGACGCTGATGCGACTTTTGGAGGGGTAGCTTCGCCCCCTGCTGCACGCTAAACGAACACTCGCGATAACGATGGCTTATCTAAGAAGCTACCCTGATTCCAGAGTCCTTCGGAATGCATCATGCAGACCTCGGTCCCTGGGCTAATTGCTCAACAAGCCGTCTTTTGATTTCTTCTAGCACGCAACCTTTCTTTCTATTCTTCTCACGAATATATGCTGCGATAATCATCTTCTGGAGGCTACACGCACGACTACAGCTGCGCGACAGCCAAAAGCGCGAGCTCACACGCAAAGATCCTCCCTGGTGTGCCACATCCAAGCACGTCCGTCATGGCGTCTCGTAAAGGAAACCCCCCTTCCCCCAGCACCGACGTTTGTCCTGTCTGCAAAACGATGCGCTACCTTAACCGAGACCTCGAGTTTCTGATCAATCCCGAATGCTATCATCCTATGTGCGCCAACTGCGTTGCTCGTCTATTCGCCGATGGCCCTGCACAATGCCCGTACGCTGGGTGCACGAAAACACTCCGAAAAAAGGCGTTCAAAGCGGCATGGTTCGGCGACCTGACCGTTGAACGCGAAGTCGATGTTCGCCGCCGTGTCCACGCTGTATTTAACAAGGAAGAGCCCGACTTTGAGTCTCTCGAAGACTTCAATGCATATCTCGAGCAAGTAGAGTCTTTGACGTTCGACTTGCTCAATGGACAACCAAACGAGAAGGCACGTGCGGAAGCACAACTACAGGACTGGGAGGCGCAACACAAGAGCGAGATTGAAGAACGCAGGCGCCTAGCCAAGGAATCAGAGGCTCAACGGACCAGCCGCGAGCGCGAAGAAAAGGAAGCGGCCCGTCGCCGCAGGCTGGAAGCCGCACGCGAAGATGCAGAGGAGAAGGCGCGGGAGGCGCGCGCTAGAGAAGATGTCCTAGACGGCCTCGCCAGCGGAAACATTGGGCAAGCTCGCGCAACAATGGAGAAGATTGTCCTCAAGAAGCGAGGTCAGGGCAGACTGGATGCAGCTCGTTCGTCTCTCACGGATGCAACCTCAGCCATGTCGATTCGTGGTCTCAAGAAGAAGGAGAAGCCCGTTTACGTCGACGAAGGGCCTTACGATCCATTTGGAGGCATGAATCTTTCTTTGCAACGATACGAATTAGGCCCGCTCGACGACTACAGCAACGATTGGGTTGACGCAGCACGCATGAGAAGTGACATTGTCGTCGGCGGGTACAGTGCTGAAGAGTATTTGACACGAGCCATGTTCGAGGCTTTCTCAGGGCTAGGTGTCTTCATTGAGGATGAAAAGGGCGCAGAAGATTTGGCGACGACAGAGGCAGCGCAGGTGGCCGCCTCAGGACAGACATCACAGAAGATGGATGTGGATGCCTATTGATCCTGAAATAGAACAGATGAGAAATTGCGAGCTTTGCTTTAGCGCATGGGGGTATGTAGCGACGGCGTCAAGGTTTTGCACTTATAGCATCGAAAAAGTACAAAGCATTCAGTGTCGAAGGTCTGCTGAACGTTAGGCTGGGCTTTCACTGCGTCTGTATGTGCTGGTTCTCTCAATATGACTTCCTCGATGGCCACCGTCAACGCACCACTGCCAGGTGTGACATCCACAGCAAGTCTAGTGCTCTGCAAACCTGCGAGTGATTTATACAGGAACGACGACTCAATCTACGTCTATACCGAAAATTCGTTGTATGCACTTCAATCTTGAAGCCGGTCAATAAGAGCATTCGAACACGACCAACACGTGACCTGCTGTCAATGGAACTTGGAGTAAGGTCTGTCGGTACGTACCCAGGCTTACCAGGCAATCCGCCCCACCAGGCGCGACCTCCATAAAAGTGTGCTACGGCGCTGGCGCTTTCTCGGTTTCTTTTTTTTCTCCTTATGATTTCTCCAATTCAATCAAGTGTACGTTTTCTCGCGCGCAACCCATCTGCATCACCATTGAAGGCCTCAAACTAATCGTATCGCAGATGATGAAGACCTCCGTGGATAAATGATGCTGCCAACCCGTCTGGAACTTCCGAGCTCTCTCCTTCGGGAGCTTCAGGGCAGAGTTGGGAAGGGCGGGGAGGCCATGATCTAGGCGTTCGGCCACGACCTTGTTACTGCATCGGACGCGATGAAAGGCCATTCTGATTTTGAACCGAATTGGAGGAAGACAAAAGGGAAGGGCACATGTATAGAACGAAGGTTGGTGCCTAGCAAGTGCTTGGCAAATAATCTGCTCCGGTATCTCGATCATATTTCCATTCCCTGTCAAGGAATAAGGTACCTAGGTTAATGTACATGACAATTTGAACTCTACAATCCCCCCCCCTCGGATTACTTCTGAAAGCACTTCGTTGCCTACTACATGCTGACTGGGTGGCTAATCTTTAACCTTGATCAAACATCACAGTGCATCCAAATGGCGTGCATGCTTCCCGTGTTCGATGTGGTTCACTTAGGCAGCACTAGCTGAAATGAAGTTCCAGAATGTCTGCAACCGGTGAGGTCATGATACTCGTACTGAATCACTGCTGGCGATGTCTTGGATTTTCTTCAATCAATGGTTGCCTCGGGGGGGTGTCATAGCGAACTGAGAAAGAGCTGTGCCATGAACTTGCAGCAGGAGACTTCCCGGTGAGCGCAGATGATTACTTCATAGGTGGCAGCTCATCGAGCATGTCACCCCCAAAGACAGTGGGGTCTTAGCGGGGGGTGCCTGGAATGCGACACTCCAATGATGTCGGGAGCCTGATTGCTGGGCAGCTATCCACGAGCGGGCAATGACAGACCCCCGGTGCCCGGGCGGACCGCAAGCCCGCCCAGCAAACCGGATGGATCCTTGTTCTCTCTTGAGCTACATCGAGCGAGTCGAGTGCCCATCACGCCAACCACGTCAACTCGTGCCTGCCAGCACCAGCCTCCTCGGCGACGTGGCCGACATTCATGAATCCGAACTGCTGCCCAGCCTAGCCCAGCTTCTCTTCCAAAAACACCACTTAGCGGCGCAAAACGTGCGACACGACATTAATTTGCATCATTACTATCCGACGACACCCTCCCTCCTTGTGTCATGGCTTTTGTGCACAGTTGACGGCCCCATCCGAACACCCCACCCTTGCATCTGAAGGAGCCAATTTCCCCAGGTTGCTGGGCATCACAATCGTCACCACGGCATTGTTACAGCGCAGAGAGCTCAACACGCACCTCTACAACGACTTGCGGTCTGTCGGAGCCGACGTTTTGACACATCCTGCCATTTCTCCAGGCCAACTTGGCTTCCACGATTGACCTCCTCCGACGTCTTCCCCGCTGTAGCCTGACTGCGTCGGAAAACAGTCCCGTCCCAATCGAGGCGTGGACAAACCACCGAGATAACCGGCATTCGCCAGCGGCTGGCTGATACGGCAAGGATCCTGTTGCTGTCGTAGCCTCGAAGTACTATTAGCTTGTAGCGACAAGTTTTCGTCATGTCGAGCTCTTTCGAGAAGTCCGTCAAGGGCGCTACCAAGATCAAGGTATACATCTGACTCTTCTACTGCCCGCTCGGGGACGCCATCCCCGATCAGCCAACGCGTATGCGCTGACAAAAATGACCAGGCGGCGCCTCCCAAGACGAAATATATCGAGCACATCCTCGTTGCGACGCATTCCGGCGAGGCTGGTGTGGCAGAAGTCTTCCGGTCGCTTCAGTTCCGTTTGCGCGACTCTACCTGGACCGTGGTCTTCAAGAGCTTGATCACAATACACCTCATGATCAGAGAAGGCTCTCCAGACGCTACGCTCGCATACCTGTCGGAACACAGGAACCTATTGAGCATCACCACTATCACAGATGGTCAGTCAATAACACAGTATCAAATCCGGTCTTATCATCGCTAATACCGCAAAGCACAAACACAGGGTCGGAATATCCGCGTATATGCCAATTACCTTCAAGAGAGGGCGAAGGCATATCGGGACACTAAATGCGACTGGGTCCGAGTGAAAGAAACACGGCTGGAAAAGATGACTGTGGACAAGGGTCTGTTAAGGGAGACCGAATCTCTGCAGCGTCAGGTTTCAGCCTTGCTGAAATGCGACGTAAGTGGACCTCTCTGGCGATGCACGATATAGACTGACGGACCCTAGATTGTGGAGGATCAATCATCCTTTGAGGTGACGACCACGGCCTTTAGGCTTCTCGTTCTCGATCTGCTAGCGCTGTTCCAATCACTCAACCAAGCTATGATCAACATTCTAGGTACGAGACCTCAAACCACCTATCCTGATCGCTGCTGACGCTGCCAGGGTGCTTCTTCGAGCTCTCAAAGCCTGACGCGGAGAGGGCCATGGAGATATACCGCCAGTTTGCGAAACAGACTGACTTCGTTGTGAGCTACCTGAGGCTAGCGCGGCAGTACGAGCACCTCACGCGGGTCGAAGTGCCCAAGCTCAAGCACGCGCCTGTCAATCTGAAGCAGCAGCTCGAGGAATATCTCAACGACCCCGATTTTGAGGTCAACCGCCGACAGTATATCGCTGAAGTCCAAGCCAAAAAGAACGGCGGCACGTCGGCGGTGTCCAAGGCGTCGGCACCCAGTGCCCCCTCGAAGCCGAAACACTCGTACAGCAACTCTTTCCCCGAGCCCACGCCTGCCGCTCCTCAGTCCGCAAAGCCCCAAGCCAAGGGTCCCGCACCAGATCTGATTGATTTCTTCGAATCCATCGAGCAAAACCAAACGCCAATGGCTCAAGAACCTGCGCCCCACCAGCTGGCTCAACAGCAGTTGCCCCAGCAGCAGTTGCCGATGCAGACCGGTTTCGTTAACAACCCTTACCAACAGCAAGCTCTTGGCTTTCAGCAAACCGGTCTAGGTACGCAACAGACCGGGCTGTCAACCAATCCGTACCAGACTCAACAACCAGTTACTTCTCAGAGTTACAACCCATGGGGTCAGCAGCCTCAGCAGCCTCAGCAACTGCAATCCAACTTCACTGGGGCTGGCTTTGGAGGCTACACCCCGCAACCGGGCTTCCAGCCTGGCGCGCTGGGATCCATTCCTCAAGAAGGCGTCGCCAGCTTCCAGACCGGCACTGCTTCACCTGCGCAAAACATCCAACCACCTCAGACAACAAATCCTTTCAGGGCTTCAATGTTGGTGACACAGCAGACTGGATTTTCTGCTAGTCCTGTTGCGTCCGGGTCCAACAACCCTCCTGTGAATGGCGGTCTGCAGCGGCAGTCCACGAACCCATTTGCACGCTCATCGCCCCAAGCACAGCAACCTTTCGCCCCTGCCGAATCGATACAACCGCAAGTGGCTGCACCGCCAGCTCCATTACAGCCCATGACCACGGGTACCAACCCCTTCGCCAAGAGCTTTGGCGGTTCACCACAGCCCCAGGGGCCGGTAACCAGTGCTGGTCCTCTCGCGCCGCAGCAAACGGGCACTAACCCCTTCCGACAGGGAGCATTCGTCAATCATCAAACTGGACTAGGCTGGCAGCACAACCAACAGACGATGGGGGGAGGCCTCGATCAGCTTGGTTCAATCCCAGTCTTCCCACGTCCAGCGCAGCAATCGCCATGGCAACAGTAACTTAAAACAACTGAATGTGGAATATTTTTGGATTCTCTCAGCCCTTCGTTTCGAATGGCCATTTATGTGTGACAAAGCATGGCGTTTAGAGAAATCCTTTCAGACGGTCGAGAATGTCGAACCCAAGTGCGAGGTAAGAGAGTAGAAGCCAGTGATCATACAGTGTTCTGGACATATTATGGAAGCGGTGGAAACCCTACGGGCAACATTAGCAAGCAAGTTTACAATTGAAAAGGGCAAGCGCATTTCCGATACTGCCACTTCGTCTCGGAAAGCGATTATTAGAGCATGCTCAAGGTACACATGTACATACTATCTCGGAGCCCTGAACAAGACCCGAGGGAAGGTTTCCATCGAAGCTATCAAGGCTTTGTCCGAAGACAGACATGCCTTCTGTTTTCCAAATTTCGCTGCGCCGAGACTTCACTCCAAATCAAGGGGGTGGTCTCCCCGCAAGCCGTCCACTTCTCTTCACTACCGCCTGTCCTTTCATCGTAATCAGCAGAGCTATTGGGCCAGCTGCCCGGCATGCATTGACGCGTTGGCTCCTCAACGGTGGTCCAGAATTCGCCAGCATAAACTTCATACTCGTGGGCCCACCACAGAACCCAGTCTTGGGGACGGGAGCCATACGTAATGCCAATAAGTCGGAGATGGTGCGTTCGCATCCATAGCATGACATTCGTCAACCCATTTGCATGGACTGTCTCGCGCTGAAGACGTCGTTCCTCTCTGCCATATCTTCGCAAGTCGACACCACCATGACGATCTAGCGGTCCGAGCCAGTCCTGCAAAATTCCATCCGGAATTCCTGCGAATTTGTGCCTTGCCGTGTCGGCATGCGAGCAGACTTTGAGAGCCGCACGAAGATAGCTAATGAAAGGAGTCTGTGGCCCGCCTTGCCCATCCCATCCCGGCCGCGGGCAGTTTAAAAAATCTTGCTCCTGGCAGTGAAGACTGGCTGGATCAGCCAGGATGCTTTCGCAAAGCATGGCGATGAATATAGGCCCATGCGTGAACTGCCCAGGACTAAGGCGGTCCGAAGCAAGCACCAGGCCTATTCCTGTGGCCAGGGAATGGACAACAGAACATCCCTCCGATCTGGAGAACTCGACCACGACGGGCGAGGAGAGCTCAATGTCACCGGCGTGGGAGGACCACATCTCAGGTAGAATGAACCGGAAGTCGGATATCGATATCGGTGTCCTCGAAAAGACAGTACGAAAACATCTGACTCTGTCGGAGAGTCCCAAGTCGGGAAGGAATAACTGCTGGTATCGCCTGACATTCACCAGACGACCTCCTATGATCAGATCGGCAAAAATTCGAACATTTTTAATTCTTTTCTCGTGATCATATGGTGACAAAAGAGATAATATGTCGATCATGTTGTGGCCGAATTGCTGCTGGGCATAATGTCCTGTTTGATACACAGCTGCAGTGTAGAGGCTAAAGATCCAATAATCCCTGGGAAACGTTGTAAGCCAGAAAAGGCAAATAGCATTGTGAGCTTTGCTTACATTCTCGAAGTCAACACTCCACCCCATCGGTTGTCGAGGATATAGCTTGTCAGCCCAAGTTCAACGAGTTTTCCAAACGTCCTAACACTACCAGACCACGAAGAAAGCTGCAAAAATGTGGTCAGCGCTTCTGGCTAGGTTATGGAGAGTCTTGTCTCAACTCACGTCCAGTAGTGTGAAACCATCTCGGTCTCGCGTCAACAAAGGCAGCCTCTGCCGAGTGAGGAAATTCAGCAGCGCAGGACAGTCATCTGTCTCCAAGATGCCAACAACCCCTTCGACCTCCTTCCAACTCCGAATCACGTTGTGTACTTTGAGTTCAGTGTTCCAGCCGTGGAGGCTACGCTCAACCATGACAGAATAGATGCTTGCTGCAAGCCAACTCGGCGCCTGCAGAACAAATTCGTAACGATCTTTCGAGTTGAGTGTGAAGTTAACGCGTCCGAGCCAAGATGTTCCTGGATATATCGTACGGAGTCGTGCGACCTCTTCCGGGGTTGTCTTCTTTGCAATGTCGACTTCTTGAGGCACGGGCTCGATGGTAGTTATAACCTGGCCATGTCTTGCGGGCCCGGACTGTGGTGGTGCCGGCAAAGGCAGTCGGTTTATAATGACCTGGCTCGAAATGCGTGTATATGCCCTGTCGCCCAACAAAATCAGTCTCTTAACGTTGGCGCAAGGTGACAGAAAACTCACATTGTGTAGCTGTTGATAGCCATGTTCAGAATGTCCAAAGCTCTCCGCAGCTGGCTCTCCATCTTTTCCAATACCGGCTTCTTAATTACGATCCTCACCGAAACAAGCCTCCGTCGGAATCCCCTGGAAGACACAATCTGCCTGTCAAGACTTTCGACAAGTTCTTCCAACGCTCTATACGCCCTCTGTGTCGATCGCAAGACGCGAGGGAGAATGGTCGACTTGAGCTCGTCCGGAATCTCGTCACGGTTGATCTGCTCCTCGACATCCTGGAGAATCAGGTCCACGTCCTCCAGCTCCTCGAGGATGGACTGGATGTGGTCGGGGACATCCTGGACTTCGTCCCAGAGCCGCTTCAACTTGACGATGGTCACGGCGAGCTCAGCCGCAAACTGAGTTGCCCCGAGGCCGAGGCCGACAGCTTCGAGAGCCATCTCGCGTGCTCGTATTGCTCCAGAACTTCTTTGCGGTCGACCGGCTGAAGCTTGTTATTTGCAGCATCAGACTCGATAACTGGCAGAACCCATCCTCACGACGTGCTACGTTGGTCTCAGCAAAGAATGGCTGTCATATTGGCTATGGGTATGTCTATCAAGTTCCGAGGCCTCCTCTTCTCGTCAGTGGAACAGGGAGTCGTACCACACCGGCGAGATGCATTTGCATGGGGGTCGGACTGTGGCTATGCGACGTGTTGTTGGCTGTTGGTGGTCGGGCGGCTGAGTGTGCCATGTGAGTGGACAGGCGTTGTGTGAGCGGCAGACCCTGGGGCGGTCCCGTCCCGCATCCCGTTGACGAAACGACGATTTGTCCAATGAATAAAAATCTAAACGAGCCAGAGCAAAGTAAATACTGACATGTCAGTTTTGGCATCTAAAATCAATCGCCAAGTCGGGGACCGCAGCCAGGCAGAGGGCAGAATCATGCACACAGCACGGCTAATGAAACACTTCAGTGCCTTGAACAGGCACATGGTCGCATCACCACGTCAAGGCTGCCGCGTGGCATTCAAATGAGTCAGAAATTCTTATGAAAATGCAGAAAAATAAGGCGCTTGCTGATAATCAAGAATCAAAAATAGAATGTCGGGATGGCCCACGGAAATGTTAAAAAGGGATCCTCGCCGTCGTCCATCCCAAACCTCCCACGCGAACCCTCCTCCCAGCGCAGGTCAGACACCGACGCTGCTCGCCGAGGTTCGTGACGGAGCAGCCGGAGCACACATGCCTCCTACAGGCACCGCACAGGTGGTCGTCCTCGCTATCAAAGCCGTAGCCATTAATGTCCATCGAGTCAGTCCCATCCCGGGAGCCGAACCCGACACCACAGTCTTCGCAGCTCAAAGTCTCATGGCAGGTTTGGGACGCGGATGGTGTGAATGACGGTGCGGCCGGAGCAGAGTTGATGTTCCAGAATGCATGTAGAGACCGCTGCGCTGTTGGCGCCGGCTGTGCTGGTCGCTCGAGAATGCGAGGCATCGGGGAGGGACTGGTTGGGGCAAAGTCTGCGTCGGAATGTTGCTGAGCGGAGTAGAGCATGCTGAGTGTGTGTTCTATGAACCTTGCTGTCAGTTACTGAAAAGCGGGATAGCAAGGGCTATTCAACACATACGATGGACTGCATCCTGCGAGGGTCTGTTGTCGCGGAAACGCTTCATGGTGCGGCTAGGCAGGTGTGATGGCGTGAAGTGGGAGGAGAACGCAGCAAAGGGCGCCGGAGAGATGTGGTCCATGTCCATCGTACCAGGGAGTATGGGCGAGGAGGAGAACGACGACGGCGAGCTGGAGAGCTCCTCGGAAGAACGCTTGCGCTTGAGAACCATGGTGATGGACGAGACGTGTAGATTTGAAAAGATGATTATTGGATGGTCGTCGACGTGAGTATTTGAGGGTAGTTTTGGAGCTCGGGTGATAAGCAAGCGGAATGCGACTATCGAGTGTTGAAGTAATAGCAAGGCTTGACCCAGGGAAGATGGGAAAGGCCACCGATTTGTATGTGACGGGGTGGACGGTGGCTGGCAGCGGGACGCGTCGAGTTGAGCGTGACAGGTTCAAGCACTTTAGGGGACGCGTAGGAGTCGCGTTGCCCCACCTACAGCCACGGTCACCCCAGAGTCACTCGAGCACACCTCACGGCAAGACAGCAGCGCGCGCCATTGTGGCTTTTATCTCAGTCTACTGTCCATAATAGTGAAATGCAATTGTCTGTTGTTGAAGGTTTGCCGCTGCGACTGTCACTCGACGACTCGGACGACCAGTCTTCCAAATCCTCCCTTGATAGCCGCCACTTCCTCGCATTCGGCCCGCACACCCTCAGTATCCGAAAGATTGACAGTGCGTATGATGGCCCTGATCTTGCCCATTGCAATCATCTCGCCAGTCTTCTCGAGGGCCTCCCTGTCTCCGGGGTCACCAGAGACGAACTCATATTGAATTTTCGTGCCGCGCAACCAGAAGGAATACCAGTACTGGCCCAGATCGAAGATCCAGCCCAACCAGAATGGTACCATCTTGGGACCGAGCATCAATTTAGCCAGCTTGGACGTGGGGATACCAGCCAGAGACACCAGGACCCCGGTTTGAGGGTGCAACAATGGGATGCCAGCGTTCAAGGTCGTCATTTGCGGATTGAACATGAAATCAACGCTGTGCCTGGGCACAACTTTGGAGACGTCCTCTGTCTGGTAGTCGACGAGCTGATCAACGAGGCCAGGTAAGAACTTCTCCACGAGCGGCATCTTGCCTGTTGACACAGTGGATATGATTTTGCCGGCGCCAAAGACATTCTTCGCCATCTGAATGGCGATGCCGCCCAAGCCGCTAAGCGCTGCGGGTATGAAGACCGTCTTACCCTCGAGGCTGTCGACACCAGCCATGGCCAGCCCTCGCGTGATGGCTTGGTAAACGGTCACAGCATACCCCGGTAGAGAGGCAGCGTCCTCAAAGCTCAAATTCGTAGGCTTGAGAAGTAGCATCCGCTCCTCTACGACGGTGTATTCGGAACAGAAACCCGAGCTGGCATCTTCAAGGAGGGGTCGTGTGATTGACGTGCCGTATACGGCGTCGCCAACCTTGAAACTCTTGACCCCGGAGCCGATGGCGACGATAATGCCTGCGCCTTCGCCGCCGAGCTCCATGGGGAAGTCAACTTTAAGACGAATGATTGGAGTGCCGCGGGCTCGGACACAGTCGCCCGCCATGAGAGCGCAAGCATGCACGCGGATGAGAACATGACCTGGCCTGGTCATGGCCGGCAGAGGTCTATCGACAATCTCAAAGTCACGCGGGCCACAGAATCGGGGCGCCACGAGAGCTCGCTTCGTCGTGGGGATGTCGGCCATGTTTGATCAGTCGTAGTGGTGAGTGATGATGTTGAATGGCTTTGCTGTTGTAGTAGGCCGATCGCTCATCGATATTATCTGCCCTGTGAGTCGATGATCTTAAGTCCTGTTACAATCAGCCAGGCATACGTCGTCGTATGCTCCCAAGACTGTAGGACCACGGCCCATTGCCTGCCTTCCAATGTATCGGCCTGAAATTGTTCCGTCTGGCAGTTGGCTGCGGAGTTGGACGATAGTGCGGACTTTGATGGAGGGCACCTTCACGAATAGGCCGTCAGTTCGACTTGGCGTTGTGTTGTTGGTCTTTGTCTGTGCCGCAAAGGCGCTGAAACGTAGTTGATGGGACTTGGGCTGCAGGAAGGGTGCTGCTCCAGGCAGAAACAGGCAGGCACACACATTGCGTCGCGCCTGCGCCTGCGCCTGCCTCCCAGAAGGACAAGGAAGTTGCCTTTGATCGCAAGTGCCGGTGAATTTCGCAACCCGCAGCTGCCTGCCTGAACTCCATAGCTCTTGCCAATTTGAAGCGGGCTGGGCGTTGGCTGTTATGGCTTTGTCACAACAGTAAGGCGTGACCTCTTGCAAAGCCTTGTCACCACCAGAGAACGCAACCCAAGTTCTGTGATCCTTTCCATTCTTTTCGACGCTCGCTTGAAGATAATCGAGTGTGACCCTCTTGATGATGCAGCTCTGCAGTCTTCTGTCGACCATCCAACGCGTGGCCATCATCAGCCTCCTGTTGTCGGGCTGCCTCGCCAAGTTTTGCGCCGAATCCAAGAATAATGTCGTTCTCTATTGGGTTTGTTTGATTGTTGAATACTTGTCACACGTTTCTCCTGACGCTTATGATATTCCAGGGCCAAGGTCCCAATCAACTGGACCTGCTCCATTACTGCCAGCAGTCCCACGTCGACGTCATTATCCTTTCCTTTGTACATCTCTTCCCGGCGCAAGCCAACGGTTTCCTGGGCATCAACTTCGGTAATCAATGCGGTCGTGCCGTCTTTCCCGGTCCAGGCTTCCATGGTGTAAACGAGCCGCGCCGTGATGCCTTACAAGCCAACTGCCCTGCCATCAATGCACAGATTCCCGTCTGTCAACAGACATATGGGAAGAAGATAATACTCTCTGTTGGCGGGGGCATGCTTTCCTACCAACTTACCGGCATACAAGAAGCTGATCTACTGGCCGATCAGCTCTGGGTCATGTTTGGTCCGCGTAATGAGACCCTGGTGGCACAAGGCGTTCCCCGCCCGCTCGACTTCAAGGACCAAGCCGTCGAGGTTGACGGGTTCGACATGGATATTGAGCACCCATCTGAAGGTGGCTGAGCCTGCACCATTCAATCGCGTGGGATTAACACGATCGTAGATAATTCAGTCGGATATAAAAGATTGGCAACTCGCCTTCGCAGCTACTTCCCCATGGCCACGAAACGATACTTTCTTACCGCATCTCCGCAGTGCATAGTACCAGACGCCAACATGGCCTTAATGATTTCTGCTGCCGCATTTGACATGATCTTTATCCAATTCTACAATACGCCACACTGTTCTGAGGCAAGTTGGGCCAAGGCCAATGTCAATCTCATTCCGGGCATGCCCTCCAACATTGCGGGCTTCACATTCGACGACTAGACATCGTGGCTTTCTGACACGCCAAGCAAGGGTGCGACCATCTACATTACACTTCCCGGCAGCCCTGAAGCGGCAAACCTAGAAAACTACATTTCGCCTTATGAAGCTAGCAACCTCATAAACTCGTTTTACTGCCGATCAAAGTTTGGTGGCATGGCGGTCTGGGAAGCCACTTACTCGGAGAACAACCGCCAACGTGGATACACCTATCACGCTTTCCTCAAGAAGCACCTAGTCGCCATCGGAAACTATCCTGGGGGTTGCAAGGTAGGTCAACAATAAAATGCTTCTTCACAAGACAGGCTAATGCTTTTGCGTCAGACTCAAGCTGTAGACCCCAGCCCGTCAGCAACTCCAGTCGGCGAGGCTCCAAATTGCGGCCCGAGCAAGGGTGTCTGCTCCGGCGGCGAATGCTGTAGCCAGTACAACTACTGCGGTCTCACAGAAGCTCACTGTGGAAGCGGCTGCCAGGGATTGTTTGGCCACTGCGGCACGCAGCCAGCCGCTATCTCACCTTCCGCCGATGGACAGGGTCTGCCAATCAGTTCCGACGGCAGCTGCGGCGCAGGCAAAGCGACGTGCCGAGGTTACGGAGAGCATTTGTGTTGTAGTCAGTACGGGTATTGCGGCAGTACGACCGAGTACTGTGGGCAAGGCTGCCAGGCTGCTTTTGGAATTTGCGAGTGATGGCGCTCTCCTCTCTTGGGAGGCGTCTCAGTCAAGTCATGTCATAGGCATGACCAGTAACAGATACACGCGAGATCTTGGTATGCATTCAACTTATCTCGAACGAGGCCTACGTTCCCACTCGCATCATATCTCACTAAACTGGAAGCCGGGCAGGCGATGGGGACTACGTAAATATTCAACACGCCCTGGGATGACTATTATGTGAATGCAGAAAACGAGTCTAAATACAAATCGGAATACCCGTTTCTTTGTTTGCGTTCCCGCTCACGAGCCTAGGAATTTACGTTTGGCTTCCTGTGAACGTTGAGATGATCAACCACGGGGCCGTCTTGGGCGTCTTTGGGGTCTCACATCGTCCCGCTTCACTTTAGGAACGCTCCTAGGTATCTGATCAGACTGGAGGGCTGGAAACCCGAAAATGGACTTGGCTGGATCCCGAACCGGCTCGCTGGACTCCTCCTCGGAATCATTGCCCCAGATCTTCCACCAGCGACGGCGGCGAGGGGTGATCTCGCTCGGTGAATTACCAAAGACTGCAACTGTTAGTGCTGATCCCATATTGACTGTTCATGAATGATGTGGCGGAGTGTGGAGACGCTATCTCAGGCGGAGAAGATAGTGTCGTGCCTAGAGAAAGAAAAAGGGGTGGGGGGGACAGATAGGGAGGGGATCACATGCCTTCTCTCATCTCGTCCAATATAGCTTCGTCGACTGCTGCCTTTTGCCGTGGCGTGTCACCCTTGCGGTAGCCAGACACGTCGGCGACAAACTGCCGCTTGGGATCGGCCGTTAAGTGTAGTTCCAGTCCAAGCCCATCCTCTGAAGTATCGACTACGGCTGGTTCTGTATCTTGAACCCCCGTTTGGACAGCCGTCTCATTTTCTAGAGTTACGCTCGCCTTCACTCCCCGTGTCGTACTCTCTTCTCCTTTTCCCTTGCCCATGTCGTTCTCGTCATGCGGCGGCGGCGAGGGGCTGGGCCCTGATGCGCGATTCTTCCTCTGCGTCGCCTCGCTTTGAAGGTGCAGCGGCCACTTGTCAAGGCTGAAGAACTGCTTCTTCTGTTTGTTCCTGCCTCTGACGCCCTCACGGCCAAAGTCCCAGATATCCTCCCTCGCCAGCGTCATCGTCTCCTTGCCAGGCTCCCCTTCCCACCGCGGCCTCACAGGCCAGAGCATGTTGTCTCCCTCCGAGAGCTCCTTGATCAGCCCTGTGCGGACAGCCTCGATGGCTTCGGGATGCCACGTGCCACTTGCCCAGTCTTGCCAGTCGTGCGCCGCCCCGGGATCTGCCGCCCTCGCAACGCTAGCGTAGCTGACGGCGCCGACTTCATCAAGCTGTGACGTGACCTCCTGGCGCCAAATACCGTGAAGGTCGTCGATCTGGACGCGATACCTGTCCACCGGGATGCTGAAACCCTGGTCTGCACCTTGAGCCTTGAGTTCTGCATATGCCGCCTCGACCTCATTCTCTAAGATTACGGTCCAGCGGCCGAGACGGTAGGCGAGGGTGCGGTAAGCCAGAGCGACGCGTTCCTCGTGTGATGGGCCAGACGCATCAATAAACGAGGCGATCAGCGGTAGAGCAGCGACGAGAGCGGCCTTCCAGTCGAGGAGGGGTGCCTCTGGCGCCGGCAGCTCCTGTTCTGGCCGCGACGGGAAGAGAGGATTGACATGAATAGGGGGCACGTAAAAGTTAATGCGGAGCTCCGGATGATAAGGCAGCTCGGGGCGGCCGAAGAGGATCGACTTGCCCTTGCCGCTGCGTGACTGAGAGAGTCGACCTGTCGAGACCAAATAGTCGCAGTATTCTTCCGCCTCTTCTTTCGAATACAGCGCCTCCTGCAGCGGATTGGTGGCCGCAAAGCCGTTAATCTCATGGCATATCTGCTCCGACGTCCTGTGCTGGCCCGCCCTTGCGAGCAGTGCGTCTTTGTAGGGGTCGTTGAGCAGTATCTGCAGTCGCTCGTTGAAGAGCTCAAATCGCCAGTCCTCGAAGTTGTCCTCGATCTCCTCCATCAGCAGGTCATTTGTTGATGGCCCCACGATAAATCTCATCCAGTGATGGTCATCGGGCGAGATGGGACGATATTCTTCGCCAGTCGGCAGGTCTTTCTTCTGCCGATCGAGCTCGTCTAAGACATCCTGCGCCGGCTTTCCAACCTCACAGCCGAGGCGAAAATTCTCGAGTATATCATCGAGCAGCTTTCGTGGCGCCCTGCGGTTGGCGATCTCAACCTGTGTGATCATGTTGCGGAAACGCGTGGCCTGTGCGTGCTTGATGTCGATGTGACGTGGCACGAGGGTCGGGTTGAACGGACCCATGAAGTTCCAGCTCGGTAAGACTGAGAGCTTGTCGGCAGCGAAGCGTTTGGCGTGGCCCTGTTGCATGCTCGGTATGACGTTGCGCGCGCGCTCATCGTGGTTCCGCAGCATCTGATCATGCCAGTACACGAACCCAAAGGGGTCAATCTTCTCCCCGGCCGGCGGCTCCTTGAGCGCCAGCGGCGGGAAGACGATGATCTTTTGCGCCTCGGCCCGGATGCGCTCCTTCTCGCGCCAGGGCGTAGGCAGGACGAGCTTGCGGAAGTGCTCCGCGCCGGCGTCCGCGGCATCGACGTCGCCGTCGACGATCCCAAAGTGCTCGATGCACTGCTGCAGCGCCGCCCTCTTGGCGCCGCGAAAGTCGGCAAAGCGCCGCACGGCATGGCCTGTTGGCCACAGGGCTCCCTCTTTGCCCACGATGAAGTCCTTGTGGGCTAGGTAGAAGTTGGACTCCTCGCGAAGGGTGCGGGCTGTCTCAGAAGTGCCCAGGGACATGCACTTGACGAACCGGTCGTCGGCCACCTCGGCCGAGTTGAAGTCTGGGTTGTAGCCATACTCGAACATGCTGTCTCCGCGAGCGCCCGAGCCGATGCCACCGATAAGGGGCCTCTCCGGGTCATCAAAGTGCCACAGGCGCGTCAGGTCCTCTCGGAACCAGGTCAGAAAACGGGTGCGCAGCAGGGGGCCGGGGATCTGGAAGTCCACATCATGGACCGATTCAGGGACGCGGTGCTGCAAGTATCGCGGCTTAAGCGGTTCAGTTTGCTCCTCACTATCAGTAATGATGATGATGGGTGCGTTGGGGGGTGCCCGCAGCCGTTTGGGGTGTTCAACCGGTTCAAAGCTGAGGATGAGCTCCGGCTCGTCGTAGTGGTGCTGCTCGTACACCCAATGCGTCTGGAGCATGCTGATGACCTCGTTCAGGTCGTATCCCCAGTCCTGCCCATCGTATACGTTCTCCTGGAGATGTTGCAGGTAGAGGAGGATCTCACCACGTTGGCTCGTCCAAAGTAGAGTGCGATCGAGATCCTCATCGGCCAGAAAGTTTTTTATGCGAATGAGCGTGATCTTGGGTGAATGGATGCGCCAACCGCCATACGAAAACATCTTCAGGTCATCAGGGGTCGCCATGTCGTTGTGGATGAGCCAGTTTTTGAGCCAGTTCTCATCATAATAGTCACGACTTCCTGCTGGTATAATGGATGTTTCCCTCCCAGTCGTTTCACTCTGCTGAACCCCATGCTTTAGGCTGTGTGCATCGAGGGCTTTCCGCCGCAGCTCGGTCTTTACGTCGCTGTCAAGGCTCGTTTCAGGCGTGGGTATTTGGATGGTCGTCTCGGTGTCGGCCTGTGGCGGCGTTATTTCATCTTCCTCCTGCACATGTCTGCCCTGTGGGGTTTTAGGAACGGGTTTGTCCTGGATCTTTGCTGAGGTGTCTAGCATCTTCTGAACCTCCGCCAAAGTAACAACCTGCGACGTGTTGCCCCTCTTCCTGAGCAAGTTCTCAATGTGACCTTTGAGTTCCGGCGCATTCCATTTTCTCGTTTCGGGAGTCAGACGAATCCGCGAATCGCCAACTACTATTACTTCATCAGGGCGTTTTGTTGTCGTTTTTGTCGTTGTTTCTGTGGTCCCGTCGCCACCGAGGCTAGATATCATGGCCGAGACGGCATCCCCCGGAGCAGGCTCTCGTTCCGGTGCCTCTTGACCGACGTCACGCATCAGTACATCTCCGTCTTCCGTCGTCGGCTCATCATCGTCTCCGTCCTCGTCGCTGTCCGACAGCTCCACCACGACAGGCGATTGCGGCAAGAACTGCTCGCAAGTCGCTTTAGGATCAAAAGAGATCCCCTCCGCCGCAGGCGCCTCGCGAAAGGTCCAACCCGCCGTGAACGGCTGCCGCGGCGGCACCCCGCCCATGCTCGGCGCCAGCGGCACATCCGACGCCGGCCCGGGAGCGGGGCCGGGCAGCTGGATGCCAAACTTGGCGACGTGCGCCCTGGCCAGGCTCAGTTCGTGCTCGTACTGCGCCATGTCGCGCGACACGCCGGCCGCCCTGTCCCGCGCGGCGCGCTCCCGGAACGCGGCGAGCGCGCGTTCCTGCTCGCGCTGCCAGGCGGCGGCGCCGAGGTCGGCCGTGGCGAGCCAGGGGTGGCGCGCGCCGTAGAGCTCGCAGAGGGCGCGCCGGAGGTTGTCCTCGCGGGAGAGCAGGTGGTCGAGCTTGTGCGCGGCGATGAGGTCTTCGATGCGTTTGAAGAGGTCGTAGTGGTCGGCGCTCTCGATGAGGCCTGCCAGCTCGGCTTGGAAATCGGCTGGGAACTTGTCGTGGTATCTGGTGAGCAGCAGGGCCATGTCGGCTGTTCGATATTAACTATCTATGCAGCAGCTCTGTCCTGGATGTGTACGTACCCATCTCTGGTGCCGCCATGGTCACCGTGTGCTTTGTATTGCACTTGCAAACGTCGTGGCTGCTGTATCCTTGCGTAGGTCGTCTCGATCGAGAACCTCTAGGGAGGAGTTTGGTGATATCCTACTCCAGCTGGCTGCCACCAAAAGACCGTCACCTAGGGGGGAAAAACAGCAGCAGATATTCAAGTTGGAAGGTCAAGAAGTTCGGCGCAAATACACATTTCGGATCGAATTGGAGGAAGCTACAAGGCCAAAGAATGGTGTCAGGCAAACATGGAAGGGCAAGCTTCTGATACACGAAGAGGAAGATGCCCTCATTTTGAAAAGGAGCTCCTATCCAAGCAACTAACAAAGAGCAGAGGATAAAGACACAGCCTTCATTCCAGGGACTGAATTCCCTATCAAAGAATATTCTCAATGTCTTCTCAATGCAGATGGCGGCGAGAGGTCCTACAATGCGGACAAAGGAGTGGCTAGACGCCGCAGAAGCACACCTCTTTGGCAGAACAAAGGCACAAGATAAACCACACGACAGAGCTGCGATGAGCCATGCGCCGCATTGGGTGAGCAAAAAATGCCAAGTGTTGCACAACAAAGGGCGACGGTATGAAGCATCATCACGCGTGTCAAATATCTTCGCAGAAGGAGTCTATGGGTGTTTTGGCTGCGATGCCGACGCCCGTCCTGCACGATAACTCGAAAGACAAGATGACGGAGAGTCCCATTTGAATTTCGAAAAAACTGTCGATGCACTCGAAAGCCAACAAGAATCGATTGACTGCAGACGTCATGTTAAATTGGGCCGGTGACAATGACGGTCCCAACGCTAGGGGTGCTGGGCCAGACTACCACTCGGATGGTGGCAGCGAAAGTGTGCAACAGTCTGCACCTGTGGCAGAAGTCTCTCCAACGCAAACCCATGGGAGCCAACATACAGAGACGTCTAGGGAAGTTCTTGCGGACCAGGATGCTGCACTACAAGCAGCCATTGACTTTGAGATCAACCACGCCAGAGCAACAAGCTACCGGCCGCCATCGCCGGACAGCGTGGAGGACCCGCAACCTCAGACCTTTCCTAGAATCCAAAACCACAGGGACTTAATCTCACCCAGGCCGACCAACATCATTGGCGCACCGCTCGGTCGAGACCTCAGCGCCCTCGAGGCAGCCGACGCGCTCGTGCAGCAATGGGAGCGGATCTACCAGGAGAACCTTGTACAGCACGGCGAGGAGGCTGTGCAAGATATCGCAGAGCAGCTTATGCAGGCGAGGAGGGACAGGAACGCGATCGAGGCTATTGACGACCGTGAATACATTGAAATAAGCCTGTATGTCAACATCTTCCAGGTCAAGCTAGGCCGACGACGTTTGGACGAGTACTGACTTGATGGGTCAGGTCCGAAACCGAGGTCTTCCGCAACAGAGTAATAGCTGAGCGCATCGAGGTCCTCTTAAACGCACTACGACTCAGCGAGTGTGAGGGCGAGATCGTCAATATGCGGGCTGCCATCCAATGCTATCGTGAGGGTTCTATTCGACCATCAGACTACTTTGCTTTGATATACGCCGGCAACCTTGTCGACTTTGCGCCCTCCTACGAGTCCTTCACACACAACCGAGCAGAGCGCCTCGATAGATATGCTGCCGAACATGGCACCGGCTGGCTCTGGTTCGAGCCGCCCCTCAATAGCGGCTCGTCCCTAGCGGGTGCCGGCAGTATAAACGCTCTGAAGGGTACGTGGGCTATGGAAACTGACAATGCGTTCGGCATGGGCGAGTATTCCGTCACAATGGGTTTCAAGCGCATCAACGACATCAACTACCGCAAGGCCAAGGAGGCGGAGGACATCAAAACCAAGCTCAAGACGAAATGGGAGGATGGCATCCTAGCAGCAGTGTTGAGTGCAAAATCGAAGCCAAAGACGAAAAGGAGCTTTCAAGCTCACAAGAAGCACAAGGACTTGCTGGGACGTGTGAAAAAACCGCCGCTCAAGATATTTGATCTCAAGCCACCTGCACCAGCCGAAGAACATTCAACGACACAGTCGAAGGCTGTGCGACTATACTACCGCATGCTCCTCGACACGGGCGCAACTCTGCCCATGCTGTACAAGGAAGACTTTGCCGCGCTGGGCATCAAACCGGCCACGTATGCCGCCTCCTCCACGATGCGTATTGTGACAGCGAACGGCTCAAGGCAAACATCCGTGTACGAGCTCCATGTCAGTGTCTGCGACACGCGCAGTTGCCAGTCGCTCGTCGACGAAAATGAGCCGGTGTGGCCACAAGCCCACCCGAGCTTGGGAGGGATACTGCCAGTGGCCCAGATCATGGTCGCCAGCGGCGACCAAGTACCGCCGTCGAACGGCATGTCAATGGATGATCGTGTCATTAGCATCACGGAGAAGGCCGAAGGAAAAAGCTCGCTTCGCCTGTCAGGCCTTCTACCCCTGAAGACATGTTACATGCAGTCCACACCTGGCCTCGGTGCCATCTGGCTGGGCGAAGACCGTCGAGACGTTCTCGGGGCGCAGCGCATGCCGGGCCAGATGCGTTGGGAGGCAGGCTCGACAGAGGTCTTCGACCCAGGCCATCCGAGAATGGACTGGCATCAATTGGAGCAAGACAACGGCGGCAATCCCACCTTGGTGCGTATAGCGCATGATGTGATGGACGAGAAAGGCGAGCGGGTCGTCCGGTTGACCGATGTCGAGCAGGACGGCTGGCATGGACGGAGTCGTACAGTGATCGTCGACCGGGACGGTAGCACAAGGCCGGCAGTCGAGATGGAACCGAGACAGCATTAGAAGAAGATCAAGATGGTGATGATGGATCCTCAGCAATGAGCACGACTTCCCAATCAGAATGGTGGACCCGAGCATCATGATGCTGTCATGGAAGATGAGCGTCGGACAGCCGCAGGCCTCCATTCCCGTCGTTCCGGATGGACGGAGGCTCTCTCCACATGCCAGCGGACCCCGATACCGAGCACAAGGCAGGAGCAAATGTCCGACGCATACCGCAGCCTTGCGGACGCACGCTGCGTGCCGTGTGCTGGATCGCAGGCAGGGCGTGCACCCGGGGCAGGGTTATGCCGTCGGCTTGTAGAGGTCGCATAACCTGGCAATCCCGGTCAGCCATCATCATGCCATGCCACGAGACACCTGCCAAACGCTATGCAGAGCGGGGCCGGGCAGGGACATCCCGAAGAGGCTCGAGAAGCGGCAGAAAAGAAGAAAAAGGCAGGGCAGTTCATCTCATGTCATTTTACCTCTCTCCCCCCAGCATGTGCTGATGGCGCGCCGTTGCCCAAGTGGGTATTGATGCATCCAGGTGACAGGTGATAAGGGGGAAGAGAGAGGTTGACAAGTCAATGCAGTGTCAGCGAGGTCACCAGCCAGGAATGGCCCTCTCCACTCTCCACTCCCCACTGCTCCACTCCCCTGAATGGCAAGTGAGCTTATGTCATTCTCTCTTGCCTCCCCTTGCCCCCCCAAAGGCAAGCAAGTACAACCCCCATTCCAGAAAAAAGGGGTAAGAGAGCGCAATCGACATTGGTCCCTTCCCTAGCCTCCTTGCCTCCTTCCCTCCCTACATCCCACTACCTGGCGATAGCACGACACACTAATCCCAGACCCTGAAGAGCCACCATGACATCCGACATCCCTTGGTAGAATTCGCGTGAGCCACCAAGCCCATTTCATCATGGCAGATGGCGCCAGCTCGCATGTGCATTCAAGACCTGCGTGCCCTCCTATCAGTCTGTCGTGCAACTCTGCCCCCGCGCACCCCCAATGAGCCTCTGCAGACCAACCAAACCAGCCGAATCCTCAACCTTTTTTCCTCTTCGTCCGACCACACCTCATTTCACCCTGCATGACAACAACCCTCGCCTCGTTCCACTGCAAATCCCATATCTGAGCGCCCGGGCCCTACCAAGTCCACTGAGGCCACTCGAAGCCATGGCGCCGTATAGGTAGGTAGCATGGCATATGGCATACAGCACAGGTAGCCTAGCACAGCAGCGAGCGCCACCAGGTGTCCCCTGCCCGCCCGAACGCAGGTGGCGGCCCAGCCGAGCCTCCTCAATCTCTCACCCACGCGGGAACAAGATAGATCCCTTCGCCTCGGATGTCATGCCGCCCTATTCTTCTTCTAGACCCCGCGCATAAGAGCGCAAGAGAGAGAAAGAGAGGGAGGGAGGGAGGGGAAAAGAGAGGAGCCAGACAGGCATAGACCCTCGCCTGAAGAAGAGAGCGCGCGGGTCCCGCAGCCACCCGGCCGGCCAGCCAGCCACAGTCAGTCTGGCCTTGCCTCTTATCCAACACAGCTTCTTTCTGGGACGCGGCGGACGCGACCACCACTACCACCCACCACCCTGTGTGTCCTCTGACGTGGCACCGCTCGCGTGGGGTGCTTTCGTGAAGATCAATCTCGCTCCAGCCCTGCCCTTGACGAGGCCAGCAACACCCCCCCCCTTTTGGCGAGCTTTGACACCATGACTGGTCTCGACCTTGGCCCCATGGCCGCCCAGCTGGCTCTCTCGAGTCCAACAAGTGACTGCCGGTCGCGCGATTGATGGCGAGCCATGAACTGTGACTGCCCCATCGTTGTACGATTTTTGCCAAACTCAAACGCCGCAGGTTGTTGTAATAAATGCCCAAGTCTTCCTTGGGGCCCGAGACATGCCTGGGCCAAAGAAGGGATGGGTGGACGCTAGCCACATACAAGGGGAAGGAAAGGGAGGGGGGAAAGGGAAGGCAGGGGGTGTCACTAAATCGATGCCAGGCGGAACGTCTTCACAAGTCACTTGGTAGTCCATGTTTGGAGGAATTTTACTGATTTTTTGGCTTGGCGCCTTTGTACCAGCTGCCCAGACGGGGAGCAGTTCTGACGGAAGTAATTGGTCTGGATTCATTGATGACCTGCATTGGCAGCGTAGAGCTCAACTGTGAGCCCGCTCTCTCATATCCGTCCGTTCTCGAGCAAAAGTTGTTCGCTTTTGTGTGAGGACATGAATGGCGCCTCCTGCAGCCCGCAGGCTCCCTGCCATATCCCAGCAGACGAGCCGTGGCCAATATCCTTCCCATATGTTCAAGTGGCCGGTCCTCCAAGATATTAGTGGCCAGATAGTGTTGCCACCACTGGCCGGCGTCCTTGAACCAGCCATGCGCTTCCTTCCCCCTGGTAACAGCTTGACATGCCGTCTGCGGCTGTCGCTCCTGCCCGTCCCTGATTCTCACCGAGGCTCCCTCCACTGGACCGTGTGCGCTGATCCTACAGTCTGAACCGTTGTCCATGTCGGTTTCCGCGTGTTGTTTGTGCAAGAAGAGAAAAAGAGGCTTGCCGGATTCAGCCGTTGAATCCGGTTCTACAACAGCTGATCGCGAGGTCGGGTTCCTCGACCGCGAATCGCCACCAGTATGAGGTGGCCTGCCGCTGCATTCGAAAAGCCGTTGTTGCGTGCGAAGAAAAAGGGGTATTTGCTGATCCTGGGTCTTTTTTTTTTGATGGTTCACCGCTGTCGAGTCGAAAAGTCGAGTCGTTTGTTTTGTGCAAAAATCAAGTCGCTGAATGCCAAAATTCCGTGCTGATGAGTTGTGAGGGAAGCCCATTCTGTATGCTTCAATGCGAGAACATTTTGTTTCCTTCCTCCGCTGCTCTGCCTCTTCTGTGCCTTGCTGAGCAGGCCATGTCACGCGCCGTGGACAAGTTGAAAAAAATTGTTGTGGACCCCGTGCAAGGGGTAAATTGCCTGGGCAAGCCTAGGGAGGCACACCCATCCCTCGCTTCCTAGACCATCTGCCCCGTTGTGTCGTGATGCATATACGCCGCGTAGTGCTGTTGCATCATGTGTTGTGACACATACGCAGAATGTTGAGGTTGCGGTGTGGGGGTAACCGGGCACCGTGGCGGCATTGGATACGTATCCTTCGGAGCGTTGACGAAAGCGTGCCCGTCGGGTGTGATGGGAGGGGTCATGTAGCCATCGGCCATGCCTTGGACGGCGCCGTGGCCCTTCTGCGGAGTACTGTAGATGTCGGCATGCTTAGTAGCGTGGTCCGAAGGAGGAGAAGGCGGGCCTGCTTGGGCTTGGGCGCGAGCCATGTTGGCCTGGTGAGCCATGAACGACGCCAGCTTCTTAGCTACTCCGGAGAAGTGAGGCGCGGAGAATTTTCTGGACAGGGCGACGGAGGGCTGGTGAAGGTGTTGAGAGAGAGTCAGCAACGTGATGTTGTCGACGTGATCCCACTCGCCGTCGTTGACCTCGGGCTCACCCAGGATGGCGCGGGCTAGAGCTAGTGATGAGCGCGCCATGACCGAGGGCTTTGATGAAACGAAATCGCGGTGGTACAAGGCAATCTCGCAAATGTATGCGGCCATGTGTTCAACCTCGACCCTGTCATGCTCCTCTGCCACAATTAGCTGCGAGAAGAAGTCCACGGTTGGGTGACCAATCGTCCATTCCAACGTGTTGAGCACATGCATCTCCATCTGAGTGAACATGCCAGCGTCGTAGAGTCCGCAACACATGTTGTTGAGCTCGTGAATCTGCGGGACGCGATCCTTCTTGTCCCCGTACTTGGCGGCAATGAGAAGCGCGGCGCACCCTACAAGCTGGTAGTGCTGCTTGTACACGACCCTCTTGGAACAGTACCTGTCGAGAAGGTTGACGGTGAGGAACAGAGTTTCCGGGAGAAGGGCGAAGGCAGCATGGGCCTCGATGAGGAAGTCGATGAGGTACGGCCTCATGTACCACTGAATCTCGCGCTGCATGTCAATCAGGTTCGCATCGGGCAGTGTCTCGTCCTGGCGATGATGTTAGAGGCAGGTACAATAAGAGTAAAGACGTTTCTGTTCACTGACTTCCATGTGCCTCATGTGCTTCATGATATCTTCGAGGTACTCGTCACCTGCCAATCGAGACAGTTCGTTGGCGATGATTTCTTGTCGTTGCCTTGCGATCATCTTGGCGGCGTCTCTGGTTCCCATGCGAGGACGCTGAGGCTCGTCCATCATCTCGGTGAAAAAGGCAACATCAGGCTGCTGTGCCTGTACCTGATGATAGAACGCCATGCTGGGCAAGGCGGTTGGGTCAAAGAGGTGTTTGTTGTTCAGGTCAAAGGGTGGACTCGTCAAGTTCTCCAGGAAGCTTTTGAGGTCGAAGGCAGGAAGGCAGAGAGTTTTAGAGAGTGAAGATGCGGTGGAGACAAGGGAGTGTCGATAAGAATATCCTCCAACCGAGCGATTAGAATATTAGTATTAGAAGGAGGGTGTTGAGTCGATGTCCGGGAAAGAGTGGCTGTGGCTGGGGTGGCCGCGGTGCAGAATCGACTTGGGGGCAAGAAATGACTGAAGTGGCCGGGAAACAGGCCGTTTAAAGAAGTGGTGGACCAAGGGGCTCTAGACAGACATCAAGTCAGCTCTAGGAATCTCGAAGACACGTGAGGGCGGACGAGACATGGGAGTTGGGCCGATCCAGGGGGGATATTGAATGCCGGCGTCGTGCCTCTGATTCGACGATGGGGTAGTGTGGAGACGAGACAGGCACGAGGGGAGATGGGTGGGTTGTGTAGTAGGTATTCATAACCCCAGGGGGAAAAGGTTGGATTGGAAGGGTGAAAGGGGAGGTAGGGACAGGGAAGAACATACCGCCACGGTGAAGATAGTCTAGAAAGACAAGACACAGGGAAATGAGACAATCCTGAGGCTAGTGGGTAGGAGCTACGAGTTAACGTGTCCCACGAACAACCTGCAGACAATAGTCGAGCAAGACTATGGAAGAGCGCTGAATGGTCCGCAAGGAGCAATCGGCACGTCGCTGTGGAGGGCAATGAAGAGTTTAGAACACGGCCTAGTCTGAGCGGGTTTGTAGGTTCATGTCATTTTACCAACATACCTTTCACTGTCTACACCCGAAGGGGCGAAGAGGGGTTACACCTGAAGGTGTCACAAAGATCTCGGCATGTATGGTATCTTTCCGCAAAGCAACCCGGACAGATGACCAAATATCGAAATCTAGTGGTTCTTCAGAGGACTCGTGCTGCACGGTTGGCAGCTTGACGATGTCCGACGACAGGAGTTTAGTGAGCTGCAGCAGGGCTAGCCTGGAGGCAGTTCCAAATCTCGGGAGGGTTGGTGAGTGGGCGCCTGAGAGGAATGACGGCGGGACGGCGAGTCGGCGTCAAGAAGCGGGCACGGAAGGGAGGATCGGAGCCACGGCGGTTCGGAGAATGAGTCGGATCGACTTCCTCTTTCACGGGCTGAGGAATTCAGGAGGGGGTCGAAGCCGGAGTGGGTCGAGGGGGGAGAGGTTGGCGAGTGTCGGTTGGTTGAACAGGATACAAAGCTAGCGGCAATCCCAAGAAAAATGGCCAACTCGTCTCTTTCAGATTCAATGTCTATTCTCGCACGGAAGACACTCGAGGGTGGTCCTTTATCCTTTATGTCGGGTCGGGGGGCTGAAGGTCCTCAGGGGGTTGTGTGGTGGTGAGGGGACGGCCGTCCAGTGTGGTGACCTGCTTCCTCTTTCGAGCCAATTCTCTGGTTGCAAGAGGAATTGGAGGACTCTGTGGGTTCGTGGATGTCAGAGTCAGGAAGGGCAGGCTCTGGAGGGAATGAATGGATGAGGGAGCTGGGAGGGAGAGGAAGGGGGAATGGCGGAGGAGGAGGAGGGTAGGTTAAAGGGTAGGAGGAAGGCTGAGGAGACGGGGAAGGATTGGAAGAGAAGTGTTTTAACGAATGGTTTTAAGACAGGATGGTGCAGCTTTGGCCCTGGCGGGCGGACAAGCACGACCTGGTACTTTGCGTGTACGAGAGGTCAGGTATCCCCAGCCCAGGACCAGGGTCTTGTGCTCTTCCGGGCAACCTTCCCACTTTTTTCCTTGCAGATTGGCCTGCAAGCGCTCAGCGTGTGATGCCTGCTAGACCTGGGCGAGGGTACCAAGCGTGGTGGGTGACGGAGGTACCTGGTCTGGCGCGCATCGATTTGTGCAGGCCACTCAGCCGGGCGCCCACAGCAAAGGGGGGGACCGTAAGTAACGGGTGGTTGGTGGGGGGGGGGGGGGGGGGGGCGTGGTGGGAGTCGGTGTCCTGGACTCCCGGGTGTCTCTCTGTCGGCCGACTGACTGATCCTCGCGCTCAGGTCTGATGCAAGTCACTGACGTAGATGTTGACGATGGAGGTCGAAAATGTTCTGAGATGATGTTTACCCCTCGCGATCTTTGCACCTCGGAGGATCCGACACGGACGGCAAAACAGGGCGAAATATCAGCGCGAGAACTTAGAAGATGCCGACAACGAGGCGACCAGACCAGCCCAGCCGCAAACCGTCAAGTCAGCGTCGAGTGGGCGGCGTATGCGTGGTAGTGTAAATTGCGTGGAGACGCCTGGGCAGTCAGTCCGTGTGCGAAAGCCGGGTTGGTTGCTGGCGTGTTTCTCGGCCTACAGGGGTGGTGATGAATGGAGCAGAGGTGTGGCCGATGCGAAGCTGGGATTGCTGGACGGGCTGAGGGCACAGAACGGGATAGACGTTTGCTGGAGCGAATGAGCGTCGAGACATGGACTACGTTCGGGATCTCTTCCTCTTCGGCCAGGATCATTCAACTTGTTGGTGATCGCTTTCCAGAGCTTGAAAATGTGCAGCAACGTTTCGTTCTTGTCCACTCATTGATTCTCGCTCGTCCTCCCTTTCAACTCCAGCGTCGGCGCGGGGCTAGGAAGAGGGCCAATGGAGCGGAGCGCACGCGAACAGCTATGACGATGGGTAACAGGCGTATCCGCAGGCGGTGGGCTCTTTCGGGCTTCGGTGGAGAGGTCGCAACTGAGGAGAGGTGCAAGCGGGTCGCTGAGTTGTGCCATGCTTCCCAGCGTGTGGCTGATGATTCCCTTTTTTTTATACATGGCGTGTGGGATCAGCTTCGGATTGCGACATGGTGAGGAGGCTTTCGAGATCGTTTTCGCGCTGAATGATTGTCAATCCGTGGCACTTGGGTCGTTTTGCGGTCGCCAATCTATAGTTTATTGTTTGTTGTCGTTATGTTTGTCAACGACGAGATAAGGTGTTATGAATGCATTGATGCGGCTTTAGGTACCTAGGCGCTGGATATTGCCATTGTTGATGCTGTATATCCCACCCGCGGCGGGGCTGTGTGTCGCTTGCCGTAGTGGCTTCTCGCCAGCAATTGATTTACAGAAGGTGCATCCCCTGAGCCTCTCCTGTGACAGAAAGCAGAAGGCCTGGCTGCCACTGACAGGGCAGTCAGGGCCATGCAGACATGGTGTGCACCTTCAGCCACATATCATTCGGTGCAAGCCGCAGCTAGTTGCATGTTATCCAGTCGTTGTGACCAACATCCCAGGTACCAGGGCAGGTGGAGAATCTCGATCCGGGCAGGAACAGCCCAATGCACCATTTCGTCTCGTCTCGTCTCTGCTTTCCCAGCCGAACGTCCGTTCCCCTCTTCAGGTGCGTCTCGACGCGAAAACACCACTCGCGCGCGAAGGTGACACGTCCATAAGCGACACGTCTTGACACGTACAATGAGATGCCATTGACCTTCCAGAACCAGCCTGCAACCGTCACGGAAGGCTGGTCAAACTCCAATATAGTCGGATCGGCCGTGCGACCGGCGTCCCCCCCCCCCGTTCCAAGTCCTGTTCATGATCCGCATCTGAGGCCATCACCGTCAGCACTGGGTCGTCTGTCAGGGCTAACAGTCACGTCTCACAGCCCATCGAACTCTAGGCTCCACGGCAGCGACAGCCAGCAGATGATCGCTTGAAATACATCGATCCAACTGTCTATGAGCCCCTCCCGTCTTCCATGAATGCTTCACGATACCCCGCACGCAGTATGCAGGCGGGCCGTCCTATTCCTGAGAAGGACACCGGTCTGCGCTGCCTCATCAGGGCTGATGAGCGGCATCGCCATCATGCTCTCGTCAGCCCAGGGGTTGCCCCAGCATCCCAGCCTCGGACTATGCCCTATTACGCGCATACAGGTACTTGGGCAGTTCATAGACAAGGCAACTGGAGGCCGGTCACCCGAGTGTTATGTCAGAAACGCGAGACCAGGATTCTACCAACATCTAAGGCACACATAACTTGAATGGGCCTCCCTGGCGGCCAGTGCCAAGTTGGCAGGCTTGCGGCATCTGGCTCAACATTAGCTCAGACGGTCTACTGCACTCAGCGCGCCCCCCCGGACCCTGGACGTGGCCAATCACCGTGCCCATACGCGCTTCTGCACGACTTCACCAGAACACCAAATTCAATTTAACCCATCCATACGTGTCATGATTCGCAAACCAGGGGCTCGCCGCCGCCGCCACCAGCTCTCAGGCTCCTGCTTTGAATGCTCACAGATCTCACTATCAGAGTCAGATCTATGCATGGTCCGCCGCACCGCGGCCCCAACTGCACCTCATCTCACTTGTCGCAAATCTGAACAGTATCATACTGTTCCAGAGGGCAAGCCGTTAGTTTGCGAGCTCAGGCCACCGTTTCCCTCGATCATCAGCAAACAATCGGGGCACTATGCCGCCTGAGAGTAATCGCATCGCGGAATCAGTAGGACAGCGTGTAGCACGAGGTTTGCTCGATGCGACTTCTTGTTGATTCGCCATCGATTGCTGGCTTCTCTCATCTTGTGACGAATTACTGCTTTGCATCTTCCCTAGTGGTAGGTAGTCTCCTCCATTTTCATTGACTTGCTTCACAATTGGGTAGCCGTCCATTGTCAGTCGATATGAGAGCACGTTCTCGAATATAGGTGGGTCACAGGTCTGAGACCTACTGGGCGACGTTGCGGATTACAGAAGTAATGCGGCAGCAGGACGCGCAATAACCGTCAAACGCTACTCGCCATCAAAAGCAACGAAGGGAAGACGTCTAAGGGTTTGAGACAACACGTCAGACAGTTCCAGATATATCGAACCGCGACACCAAGCACGAGGATCAAGCACGAGGCCTCGCAGCCATGAAAGCGTACAAAGTCACTACTCATCCCACCCCTCATTGCCGTCTTGTTCAACCGCAGAGCTTCATAAGTGATATAATGCCGAGGTATCATATCAATGTTGCCAGCCGCTGGTTCAGCTATGTCGCATGTATGGAAAATGTCTCCCGTATTGCTCGGTGGTTGCTATCATCTTCCCGCGACTAACTAGGTTTATCTGGTCATGGCGTTGTCGTGGCAAATCCGTCACGAGACGAAGGTTAGTAGTGGACACCTTAATTCTTTTCTCGGGCGTAACGCTTAAGAAACGTACAATTGGGTGCACATGCCCCTGAGTTCATTGTGATTTTTCGACATAAGCCTAGCCCGTGACGGGAGCGGTGGATTGATGACAATGCATTCGGTTTACTTCACAACTTGTTACATCTCGAGCGATCTCGCCGCGATTCGGAAAGCGAGGCGAGGGTATCACTTCGGTTTCCACCTTTCTTACAATGGCGGATTCATTTCAACTTGGCGCCGTAGGCGTTGCGGCAAAGACTGAGGACTCACATGCCAAGTCAATACGTGCAAGCACACTGGAAGACCTACCTTGCCTTGATTTCGGCCTACACTGGAGCATTTGGGACAACCACTTGTCATTCATGAGCCCCGCGTCAAGTGCCCCTCTTGAACGAAAATATTTTCAACCTAGCATCAAACGCAACAAAGCGGGCTTACGACAGTTAGCTTGAGTCGTACCATACACTGAGATCCAGTGCCGAACTCTGGACAGACATAATGCCCCTCATCAGCTCCGGTCGATTCCACAGTTGCAGGATGCTTCCTGTTGGATCCATGGTGGGCTTATCAATATTCAATCGGAGGGTTTGCATTGACACACAAAGAGGCTGTGGCAACCCCGCTAGATAGCGCGACCATATGTGGTCTCTGCCAGACTGACAGCCGTCATGTGGGATACACTGAGAGGTTGGGCGAGTCAGATCTCGCATCATAGGGAGGGTCGCCAGTGGTATATCACGGCGCCCGTATTGAGGGGTAAGTTTTCCCCTTCGAGCTCCAATCGGTCGGGCTGTTCCGATGAAGAACAAAGAAGTGAACAAAGAGCGATGTTATGGTAATCACCTGTGTAAAAGAAAGAAAAAAAGGTTCTCGTATCACCGAAAATGTTCCTTTGGGCGACTGACAACTACGAATGCCCACCTCACAGAGCTCGAGGGTCGCGAGCGAACACTCCAGTCGTGCATGGCAGGATCCGATCATGCAGATCCCACTACTGTGCTTGCCCCACGTCTGCACTCCGATGCAAATACAGGGGGGGGGCATAACGTGCAATGAAGTCAGCATGCTCAAGCGTAGGGCGGACGGACATGTCTATTAGCCTACATCGTCACCAGCACAGAATCCAGTAACTAACGGGACTGAGCCACCAATGACCCAGACAAGTTTCCGAAACGTTGTCAGCTCAAGGGTCCATTCAGGGAATTGGCTCGGAGAGCAGCTGATCCAGAACGAGTCCATATGCAATGCCGAGCTCTCCCAGAAAACGAGCTTTGTTTCTCCACAGTGGGGATGACCCTCTATGCCGCCCATGATTCCGACAGTCCATGGACAATAGGCCTGTCTTAAGAGTCTCCTATGCCACTACGAGTAGTAATCTCAACGTCTCATCGGGCTGAGAATCAAATCGACTGTTTCTGAAAACCGTGAAAGACACGACGCTGGCGGACTCGTATACCGCAAAGTCAAAGATGTCGAAGAGACAGCTCTAAGCGGAGGTTTTGGACCCTTGGGCCACCACCACCCAATCCCACGCGTCTGACCTAATGCCACGCCTCACCACCGCGAGCGCGACGTTGCAGGTCAATTGAAGCTTCTCGGCGCCCACCATAGTATCAGCATTTCGCGTCGCGCAGCTCGACCCCCTGTATCGCCCTCATCATGATGAGGGGACAGACGCCTTGGTGAGGCGAACAACAGGGGCGAAAAACCCCTCGACCGAGCAGATCTTCCCAGCTGGTCTGCAGATTTTTGACCTGTTCTCTGGAGCACGGTGGATTCGTCCGATGTTCGAATGCTAGGTTCCGTATCCTGGCCGAGCAACGAGGACCCTGAAGCTCCGTCGGACCCGGAGATGGACGACGCGGCACGAGACTGGAGACGATGGATGGAGCCACGAACAATTTTTCTTTCTTTCTTCTTGCATACATCCCAGCCCGCCTCGGGTCTCGACCTCGAAGATGAGGGGAAGCGGTCACCAAGACATGGCTCTTGCTCAAGGGTAGCCTTGGCTCGTTCATGGGTTCTTGGCACCGGTTTTTTTGTGCCTCGCAGCATCATGGAAGCCTACTCCGTTGCCCAGGTACAACGAAGGTGCAAGGTGGCCATGCAAAGACGAAGCGAGCCTCCATCGTCGATTACGCTGGCCCAGACGCATTCGTGAATGCATGTCAAGCTGGCCACCTGCATGCCGATCACCTACTTTGCTTCTCGCGCCGAGACGAGGCCTGAAGATCTGGCGAGGCAACGCGAGCCCCAAGCGGCGATATGACGGTAGTGGGCAGATCTTTCGCTTCCTTTTCCTCGGCTCACCGTTCGAATGAGCACCACGATCCACGGGCACCCATGTATGGGTTGGCCGGACCCCAGCGCCAGCCTCCTGTTTTAGTCGCTGTGCCCGCTCGTCGCTCAGCCGTCGCGTGCCACTCCACTGGGTCCCCCGTCATCAATGTGTCTCCAAGATCGAGCCGTCTCGTCTCTGGTGTCTCGTTTGAATGGGGGCTCCAGCGCCCCACCTGGCCAAAACCACTCAACGCGCCACAGAGGCCAAGGGGGGCTCTGCACGACGCGACTTGCACGCGACGCATTGTGACAAGCAAAAAAAGGGACCCATGCTTTAAATGCATGCAGCCAGATGGACGGCCACGATCTGAGGCCGGACCGACCTTTCCTGCCTGACTTGATGCAGCACAGAGCCTTGCTGATCGATCAAAGACTGCGTTTTGCTTCCTCCTCATCGCACCAAGCAGGGGGCCCCAGCGGGTCGCTGCTGCGCCGTCGTCTCGTTCGGCCGAAATTATAGAGAGCCCTCGGTCCACCGCGTGGTTGTGCACAAGCTGTGGATGAATACCTTACGTCAAGTACATTTACCTGCCGAGGGTGCGGGGACAGGAGGAGCGGTCGGTCGAAATTTGCAACGGCGTCGCCACGACTCAGCGGCGGATCCAACCGGGCGGGGGTGAGCGGAGAGAGAGAGAGAGAGAGAAGAGAAAAATAGCACAGAGGAAAATTCAGACTGGAGCTCGCTCATCAAAGCATCATTCACGCCTCTGTCTGGGTTAGCAGTGCGGCTCAAGAAAAGCAACACAGGCGTCGGAGCACATGTCCGTCGGGCTGAGAGGTTTGTCTGGTCCGGGGCGACGAGGCCGCAAGACACGCGAGACACGACAACTGACACTGGCTGAGAGGGCGCCGGCTCCCATGTTTCTCCCAATGACGAAACAAGCATTGGCAACCAGCACTTCAGGCATCCGTCGTGGTGGGGTGTACTATGGTGTAGAAACGTGCACAAATTGGAGACGGTCAGACACACAGCAGACACAAGACACCAGAGAGGAGTACACACACAGACACACAGGGCAGGGCTGGACGTGTTATACATGTACCTATGCACTCACGACTAGCCTTGTGTTACCATTAGCTGTGGCGCCGACCCTAACCCGCGAGGCCCGGTCGCCCCCCCACACGTGTCAAGCCGGGATTTGGTATGGGTCCCGCACGGGCGGTGCCGCGGGGCTTTACCACAAGAGGGCTAGCTGGCAAGTGATGACAGTTGCAAGATGCCGTACGGAGCTCCGGCTCTGTCCTCACCAGCCACAGCCGGCTGCCCCGGATTCTCAACTCGACTCAATGGCTGATCCACACCTACCTGCACAAGAGCAGTGGGGCCATCGTGCACCAGCACAACGATTGAGGGTTCATGTTCATCTGTCGGTGCAGCCAATCAAGCGCTGAATGCAGAACCGGAACAAAGTGGTATTCTGCTACCAAAGGACTTGAGTACCTGAGTACCTGAGTACCTAGATACCTACTTAGGTAGTAGGTAGGTGACCGGCGCCCCTTCCATCCAAGTGCAACTGACAAACATATAGCCTACATATTTCTGTGCCGCTCATCGGCAAGTGTCCATCACGATACATTCACCTCCTCTGCAAGGGCGCCATCCGTCGCAAATTGGCATCCCAGCCCGAGGCATCCCAGCCCGAGGAACCGTTCAAAGGCCGCCAAATGTTTCCAACGGAGCCTGGTCCGCTGCCGCCGCCCTCTACCCTCGCCTGTGTCAGGGACGAGGCAGGTTGCTTTGGGGTAGTAGAGATCAGCGAAACGAAACACTCGTTCAATTCGCGACACCACCCATTGCCCGCTTCTGCCTGTTCGACGCTGTTCTTTTTCGCCTGACCCGACAACCACGGCAGGACACTGGTCGATGGTTGGCTGTCTGCCTGGCCAGCGGATCCGACACGGCCGCGTCTCGCATCATCTTGAGTTTATTCCGTCGTCGGCTCGGTGCTTGGACCACGACCAACCCGAGGATGATCCTCGTCCTACGGAGCAGCCCATGTCGCGTCTCTGAGACCTGAGACTTGACGGGCTGGTACGCTATTCATTCCGGAAAGCTGGGCACTGAACCTATCCGCGAAATCGTTTCTTCTACAACCACCGGTTTCTTGCTTTCTCCATCTCACGCGTGTTTGAGACAGCTGCCAAGTCGTGGGTAGAGAGTGGCGAAGCCCGCCTTGTCTCTCGCATTGTGAGTTGATCCCCCCATGCATCCCGCGACGCAATTTGGGAACCAACAGAGACAGGGCCCAGCGGGGCTTCGATAGCTTACGAAAGCGTCCGTCCCCGACAGCGCCTCACTTGGCAAGATGGGCCTTGGACTCCTCCCGACATGGTCTAAGCTGTGCAGGCTGTCTGTCACCTGCTTGCCGCGCCATTGATTGCTGACCAACAGCCAAGTGCTTCCTTCTAATGGTCGGTAGTTTCTATAGGGAAGGGATAGTGCTGACCAGCAATCAGCCGATTGAGCAATTAGGTTCGAGCAAAGTCATGGAGCTCTGACACCCACCCGACGGCATTAGAAAGAAAGAAAAAAAAGAGGTACCACCAATGCTCTGTTGGCGACGTGCATCCGCTTCCCGCGCTCGACAGTCGCCCCTGTATCTGGAACGACGGTCAGACCACGAACCTGGGGCCAAGATGACACGAAGATTGCGTTCGCTTGCTAACCTGTGCGGTTCCCGAAGAGCAGCGCAACGGCAGAGGCCCAGACGCTTCTGTCTCTGTCCCCTTTCCCGTCCTATCCCGCCATAGCCAGAGTTGGCTTAAACAGTCGATTGCCCGTGTGCCGATCGCCACACCAGACGAATCACCTTGGTCGATCCGACGACTGAGACCCCTGGGTGTCTATGAGCATCAGCCTGCCTTTCCCAGCTGGTGTTGGATCCGAGTAGAACACCAGGATGATCAAACCGGGACCCCTATCTATATCGGTTCTAGGCCTGGGCATGGCACACTGAGGGCGCTATTTCCTCGTCTCTTTGCTGCTTTGGGGCGCTGTGCCATTTCGGTTCCGCTCACCCCAGTCAAGCCATCTATCTTAATGTCCTTCACCACGGAAACCGTCGAATGAACGGGAACGAGCCGTGGCCAGGCTTGCATCTTGATGATTCTATATATTTTTTTTGCTTCTCCTTGACCAAGACGTCCTGGCTCTTTCATACAGCCACTGCAGGCTCGCTGATTTGTCGCTCGAGTGTGACGTGAGATGGACGGATCGTGGAGGAAGCACCGCCTCTCCGTAAGAGCAAACCGGGGGGGGTTGTCTTCTAAGATTGTGCCGTGAGCTTACTCCGTCTTGGCGTCCATTTCATGCATCCTCTGCCTTTTGCATAGCGTGCCGCGCGCTACTCACCAACGGCGACGTGTTCAAGCGGCAGACATGGTGAAGTTCGTGACGATCGAGCAGCCAAAGTGTACGCCGTCACCGTCGTCGATCGGCGTTTGAGTCTGTACATTGGATCATATGCACAATCTACCCATACGCACCAATGTCAGGTCCGGCTTCACCATGGGCCAGAGTCGGCTCGGGTTCAAGCCCTGCAGCGTGCTCCCGCATGCCGCCGCCGCCGGCCGGCCGCTCTTGGGGTGAGACACATTCGCGCATGTCAGCATTGGTTCGGCCGCGCACCAAGTCGCGCTGTTGCTCATCCGTCGTTCATGCAGTCATGCTGGACTTGGATCGTCGTCTCCCGTCCTGCTGCCGTCAGGGTACGCGCCGCATCGTTACGGCTCAAAAGCACTTGCTTTCACATGGCCATGCTTCGCCAGCTTCCCCGCACTGCTTGTGAGCCCCAGGCCTCCCAGCCAGCCTGAAGGCGGCGGAGCTTGGATGCTGACAAGCCCACAGGAACCTCGGGCACCCCGCAGGAGGCGAAGCTTCGGGCAAGCCCCTGGCCCCCCCCCTCTCTAGCTCCATTCTCAGCATTGCGTTTGGCGGCCCTGTCTTGGGTTCTGATGCCGCAACATGAAATGATTCGCCAACCCCTCTCCCGTCAGCGCGTCAAATACGGCACGGCTACTCTAGGCAGGTTTGACAGAGCCACGGCCTCAGCCAATCGCTTCAATGCTATCGCTAGAGGATCTCTCGGCTTGGCTCGTCAAAGGATGCGTTCGTCCGCCGAGGGACCGGGACGCGTTCGCCTCCTCCTACGACGGAGTTCGTGCCTTGACCAGTTCCATCCTCGTTCGTCTGCAGCCTTTTTGAGTTTCTTCGTTTTGGTAACGGCTCCCGAAAGATCAAGACGGTGTCGTGGGGATGCGGCGGCCAAACATGATCAAGAGCATAATGATGCCATCACATAGTGCGCGGGACATCAACGATGAAACCGAGCGAGACCGCGCCTGCACGGACACAGAGTAGGTTCTTGGCCCAGCTCACCCGCGGACCTGGCTGAACGCCACTGCTTCCGTCGCCGAGCCATTCCCGACTTGAGCTTCGCGCTTCTCCCAAAAGCCTATGAGGCTTTACTTCCTTAAGCTATGCGCTATGAGCTTGGAGCTAAGCTTGTTTGCTTGTTGATGACCACAATGGGCAGACGCGTGTGAGACGTGTCAGTGACAATATGATGGTACCATTTCATACGGCAACACGCCATGCGAACTGGTCTCGACGATAGCGAACACGTCCAGAAGAAGACGTTCAGCTTGGGTCAGGTGGTGCTTAGCACCTTAGGCGGGCTGTTATCACGCCAGCTGGCAGTGGCTGACTGGCATATCCCTCCCACGGCAGATGAGAGCTGCAAATTGAACGAATGGGTGGTAAAGGGACAAGCCCGACCCTCCTCTACGCGATGAGGCCGAGGGGACCCATGATGCGGAAAACATTCAGGAGGGCCTACTGCATGCCACACTGCAAGCCATCACGAGCTGATGGGCTTTTTCTTCTTTCATGCTTTCCTCACATCGACCGCGGTACCCAATTGTTACCAGAGCCGGGACAATGGGCCCGGCGCATGGACCGGCCTCCAAAACAAGATTCAGAGGTACATGATCCCCCGGCCCCCTCTTCCATCCAGCCTTGTGCTTGGGCTTGGGCTTGGATTGTGGCTGCGCTTCTACTGCTCCGGCTCGAATCTCGCTCTGGCTGGTCGGGTTTACGACGCGATGCAGCGGCCGCCTTCATTTCCGGGCACGCGTTTTCCATGTCGCCGTTGTAGTGGTGGTGGTATTGTTGGTGCTGATGGCACTCCTCCCTCCCCCCCCCCCCCCCTGTGCGCGATGATCTGTCACTGGACGAATGGGACTATCTTCCGATCTGGACGACATGTCATTCATGGCTGATGGGCTGGCTGGACGCCATCTCGAAAGGGTTTGGGTTGACGCTCAAACCCCCCTGATGCGGATCATTGAACGAGTGAATACTGACTCTTCCGGCATCAAGAATTCAAGGTACCATTTCCAAATTCGTGGTTACCCTCCTTCTTCATCCAAAGGGCAGGGGGCAAAGAAAGGCATGCATGTGTTCGGAGGGCGGTGGTCAGGTTATGCCAGGGGACACAATATCTCACCAGCCCCCCCCCTTTCACCAAACCCTGGAGACAAGGCAGTCAATCAATCAATCAATCAATCAACGATTCCCTCGGCCGTTTCGACGAAATCAATTGACCACACCCTCTCTAACCTCCCCACGCAAACCTTGGATCGCTAGCGTCTCCCCCTACCCCTACTCCTCGCGAACACGTACGCAGCCCTTTTTCGATCTCGATCCCACGATGGGACAAGATCCTCCTTCGTCCTTCCATTCGCCCATGGACCACTTAATCCGCATACCAGCAGGAGGGGGGAAACTGAAAGGGCGCGCGCGCGGAGAGCAAGTGCAGCACAAAAACCGGTTTCTACCTACCACCACCGGGCACCTAGCGCCCGGCCGTCGCATTCTTCGAGACATTTGCCCATTTGCTGGCCGACCAGGTTTCCGCTGCTGTCCCTGAGGGAACTATTTGCAATGCGCATTTCGCCATGTTCCATTTTGCCCATGGCGATCGGTTGCATCGACGAATCCCATTTTTTTCTTTTCACTTTCTTCCAATCCTCATCTTAGCTCGGCCTTCTTTTCCCACCCTCCAAGCTCTCTCTGCCCCTTGTTCCTGTGCTAGTGAATGTGCCAAGTTTGCGATGAGAGGGATAGAACCCGGTCTGGACAGCGCCTGGCACGCATATCGGGGGGGGGGGGTATTGAAATGGACGGTTCCTGTGAATGAGTGTCTGCGGCCCCGCGGGAAGCATGTGAGAAAAGCGAGCAGCTGTGGGTGCAGACGGGATGGGAAGGGCCACTCCCGCCGAACGGGTGTGTGTCCCAGCCATGTCAGACTGCTGCAGAACGACTGGCCATGTCCTCTCTCGTTGTTTTCGATGTTGCACCTCTGAGATCGCCTGGCCTATCAGATTGCTCCCGTGAGATCTGGGGCCCCTTTCTGCGGTCTGCGGTCTGACGCGGGGGCGAGGGGAGGGGTTCAGGTCCTGCGGGAAGGAGGTGTAGCGACGACGACGACGACGCATGACTTTGAACGTCTTGTTGTTTGTTGTCGTGCCCTCGCTTTGTTGACCGACTGTTTACGACGACGGCTGCGTATGATGGGTAAGTGGTTGGTTCATGTCTGCGGTCGGTCGTTGGGCGGGTTGCAGGCTATGGCGGTTCACATGAGGCACTAGGTCTAACCTGCGCGGCCAGGTCATTAGACATTGGCGTGCTGGGTAGATGGAGTGAGGCTTTGGCCATGTCGGTTGTCTTACAGCAAGGCTCGTGAACATGTTACTGCTGCTGCTGCCGTATTGAAGACCTCCATTGTGACATGGACCGCCAGCCGATGAGTAGGTGGTGAGCGTCTCTTGAAAGTACAAAGTTGAATTGGAGTGGTATGACTTGTGACTGATCCTGTATGCATGTATGCAAAGAGTTCACGACTCACGTCTGTCAATCTAAAGGTGGCGTGTGTTCGTGTTGATGTGCAACCAGTGGCCTTCAAAGATGAGATTTCAATCTGAGCGAAGAATAATCAACGAGTTCGCTACTTTGATCTAACGGACTAGTCTACATCGGAGCACAAAAGGAGGATTCAATTTTAATGCCTTCAGATATTGAAGCTATAAAGCAGCGGTTCTTCGGGATATGGCTTGTCTCGACATGATCATACGGCAACCGCCAGCCGAGAGAACGATCGATATAGAGTAGCCCGTGAAACTCGTGTCAATCCACGGGCTTGAGCATACACTTTCCACGTAGGAAACCAGACCAGGTCACTCCTTCGATAGGCATTCGACGGGAGAGGGCGAACGGAACGGCGTCTCGACGAAATCACAGCATGTCGTGGTCTCGATCTGCCCGACGAGGCCATCTTACCGAGCGACATAACGTAGCCCGTATATAACGTCGGCATCCCAACATAAATACCGAGGGCGCTGAAGTGCCCCGGGAGTGTCCCAAGGCAATGCCCTTCCCGAACAGAAGGCCGGGTAAGCCAGAGGCAGGGCGCGTGGGCTGTGAGGTTGCGAAACCAGCCTCGCCAAGACTGAGGCCAGGCACTCATGCTCGTATAGCTCTCGTGTCACCCAAATACCAATCAGCGACGTCTTCCGAGTCTGTAGCTGCTGTCGGGGAAGGCATGCGATCTAGTTACTCGGCGTGGGCCTTTCATCAGTATCCTTGGCCCGAGGACAGACGTTGAATATCATTTGGTAGGGAAAGAAGCCTAGATCATCAAGTCAGACGTGGTTATGTTGATCTGGTGACACCTCATATACGGTTGAAACGCAGCCAATGTCAAGGTCAAGGGACGACACAGGGGACAACACAGAGGACGACATCGCAACCTTGCCAAGCACGATACGACAGGTGACCCAGTACTTGGTTGATATCCCTTACTGCTACACTGTATGCTGCTGTTCAATAGCAACAATAATCAGAGCCCGAACGCCACCTCCTGGTGTCAAACATACCCGCGCTCTCTGGTGGGCATGCCGACTCCTGTAAGTCTATGCCCTTTTGCTCCTTTTACCGATTACAATTCAAGTGCCCTCAGGCCCGATACTGCCCAGAATTTTCATAAACCGCTATACCCCATAAGACCAAGCGTACTCATGCTCGCGCAGCAAATCCCACCGGATGACCACTGACCCGATCAGATACATCATCTACCTGCCAGGCCGTGACTGGCGTGTATATTTGCCAAATTGTGACAGAAGATGCCCCCTATCGAGCGCTGCCTGCCTACAAAGCAGCGCCAGGAAACGAAAAAATATCCTCGTCATTCGAAGCTGGTTCGTCGCATATCTGCAGCAATCGGGGATCGATAGTATACTGCGATTCTTGTGGATTGTCCGTGAGCGGCATCAAGAGTTGGTCCCACATCGAGCCCATCTGGAGCCCGCTATTCGGATAGGGTTCGCTATGCATGGGGGCTTGCAAAAGCTGCTCGTCTGACGTGAAGTAGCCTTGAGATTCTGCAACGTACTCCTCACCTGCCGGTGACACGGTAGAACCGGTGCTGAAGTCGTTGACCAAAGTCATCGGAGTCGAAGCATTGCTATGAGGTTCATACTGTGCAGGCAAGGGGACGTCATCCATGGACGTGAGGAATAAATCCATGGGCGAAGGGGACTCATCCTGGTTCATGCCAGCTCCCCAAGATTTATCGTAGTGCTGCACGGCGTGGGATCCTTGACCTTCCCTTATGTTCCGCCTGCAGGTAAGTATCTGATCCTTGTTCAACCTGAACTCTCTACAGGCGCTGTAGTCCTGGCCGGTCCCGTTTCTTTGGTTGTTGGCTGGCATCATGGTCCAGCGAAAGCCCTGGCTCGTGGCCCCCGCCAGCTCTCCCGGCCACCAAAGATATTCTGCCGCGGTCAACTCTTTGTCCATGCCGAAAAAGCAAAGCTGCGAGAAACGATCGACCAGATCGCCTTCGCTATGTCCATGAACACGCAGATGCTTGATGATTTGCGGCTCGAGACTCCAGGGAACTGGCTCAGAGTTTGCGAGTCCCATGCAGAAATACCTGAAATTTTGGAAATCATCTTCGGCCATGAGAATGATGACCTTTGGGCAACTTGACCAAGCAGCATGGCTGTGCAAGACTGCTCCGGGCTGCTGTGGCAAGTTGATCCAGTGAAAGTAGCCAGGGTACTGGAGACTCAAGGGGCCAGACCCACGGATCGTCGCGCCAGCGGACGGCGTGGGGAAAGCCAGAACGACGAGTACGCGATGTGAAGAGATGCTTGAATCTAATGGAGGTCGAGGAGGCAGGGGAAACAGGTTGTTGTTGGGAATCGGCTGAGTGCTGATGAGTGGCCCCTGGATCGGCCCCATTTGAGTGGTATATTGCTGGGACTGTTGCTGGGACTGGAGGTAGCCTTGAAGGTTAGTGATCGCAGGAGGCTGCTGCTGGTTTGGACCGCCTTGAGGCATCTGACCCGGCAGGAATGGATTATTCATGCTGATCGAGAGCTGCTGAGGGCTTGTGACTGAGGTAGCGGTATGGGTCTGAGTCGATGCTCAAGTAGAATGCGCTGGTGACGACGTTGGTGATGAGATAACTGTAGACGAAGCTCATAAGTAATTGGGAATGCTCCGTACGGAGGTCCTCCATGTCGATGGCCGGGGGAGCATCTTATATAGGTATGCCGGCAGGAAGATGACCTTTCTCCGCAAGAGACATCTCCTGCCTCGCGTTTCCGCGCCTGGAGAACTTTGTTCGGGCATCGTGCTTCTAAGTCACGGGACATGGGCAAGACTGGAAACTTTTGCGAAATGAATTCGATCCACAGAAGTTGCGATGCGGATGGGCGACGGAAAGCATGTCAGCTGTGTGGGAAACCTTGGGAAACCTTGGGCCATTGGGGTTGATCGTCACTCGCTCGACCGGCTGGACGTAACTCCGAAAGCCTGCCCATGCACAGCCCGTGGCAGGAACCACGAGGCATTCGTGGGACATTTGTCAAGAGGTGCTTGCCAGCTCTTGATGTGGCAGGATGTTTCCACAAAACGAGGGCTACAAAGCAGCGAATCTCGCCCTTCTCCTGTCGCCCGCGCATGACGGCCGGCAGCTCTGTCAGCCGATGTGCCGCTGACCTGTTAGACCAGCCAGCCTTGCTATGCCCGAAAATTCGTGAACCTGATTCTCCCCGTAAGCGCATCCCCAGGGCAGATGCCATCGCTGCACACCCTGACACGCTCAAGACACAGGTGTTGCACTTGACACGAGAAAGATGAGGCGGAAAAGATGACTTTTGCATTCAAGCCGCGCCTGCAGTTCACGCCCTCTTCCTCTGCTTCCTATCATCCATGAAGCGCGTCCCCGATCCTCCCGCGAAGCGCTTCGCGTCCCAGCCGCCATCCGAGTCGGGGCTCGAGTCCCGGTCGTGGCCACCCATGAGCTCCATGTTCTCGCCGTCAAAGGCATTCTCTCCCCTGTTCCTGCCGCGACCGCCGGACCCAGACGCCTTGGCGCTGCCGCCGTGCATCTTGGCCAGCAGCTTGGCGGCCCGCGACTTGCGCTTCTCGAACCCGGAGCGACTCGACACGTTGCCGAGGCCGACGCGGCGGCTCTGCCTGTTGTACCAGAACAGACCGCCGAGGATGAAGAGGAGGCCCGCACCGACGATGGGCAGCGCAATGTACAGCTCCTTGTCGCCCGGGGGCCGGGAGTCGCGGTGCGGGGGCCTGTCCTGGCGGCGCACGAAGACGGTCTGGCCGACGACGTCGGGGCCGACGTACTCGTCGTCAATGTGGCGCTGGATGCGCAGCTGGATCGTGGCGTTCTGCTCGCCGCGGGGGATGGTGTTGCCGCCGACGTGCCAGGGGTAGAAGCCGTGCTTGGCGGGCTTGACGTGCTTCTTGTTGGGGTTGAAGATGGGGTCCTCAGTCTCGTCGATCTCGCCCGTCGTGCTGTTGACGTAGTAGCCGACGAGGTGGATCCAGACCTTTTCGCTCGTGTTGCTCTTGAGGACGGGCGCCGTGGCATCCCAGGTGACTGGTGCTGTTAGCAAGGGGCCCATGGATGAAGGTGATGGTAGGGGGAGCGGAGGGGAGAAAGGGCACATACCGTAGTAGGTCTTGCCGACAAAGAGCTCGCCATCCTTCTCTGGGGCGCAGAAAGGCGCGTGCTCCATGTCGATGTTGTGACACGGAACGAAAGCACCCTTTCCGTTCTTGGCTTTGGCCGTGGCGATGGGCGGATCGCCCGTGCTGACGCTGACCAAGGCATCGCGGCGGTTTGTGAATGTGAAGACGGTGCCGGTCAGGGCGTTGGGCGCGCCAGACTCATAGGTCGGAGTGCCCGAGACGGTGGTGAGAACGGGTGTGATGGTCGTGGGAGTGCCCTTCTTGTTGACCGAGACCCACGGCGCGTCGGGCGCCAGAGGTTTGGCACGAGGGACAATGTTTGCGGCCGGCGAGCTGGGCGCCGCCGCAGGTGCTGGTGTAGGGTCGGCAAAGGCAGCCGCAAAGGGCGCGAGAAGCGGGACGAGAATGGATGATGAGCGCATGGTGGGCGAAGGGGTTGTCGGCTCGTGGGTTGCGTTTGGAGCTCCTGATGGAGGAGGGTTCTTGCGAGGTGAGGTCCAATTGAGAATTCGACGGGCTGTCTGAGGTGGCGGAGATAGGGTTGGGTCGTGTTCTAACTGTTGGGCATGTCTAGAGGCGATGGTGAAAGGTCAAGAACGGAAGGAGACAGAAGGGTTTTCGAGTGCGACTCGGGTGCGTGGTGAAGGTGGGGGAAAAAATGGAGGAAGCTCGGATCGGAAGAGACGGCGAGGAGCGTCCAGAATATTTTAGGACATGGAGATGCCGATGACCGACGAATTCCAGTAGTCTGCATTGGCTTTGCCGTGTGCGTGACGTGCCCTCTGCGCGCCGCCCGAGACCCGCCGCATTCGCTGTACGACAGGGGTCGACCCCTGCCTCCAAGTAAGTGAAGCGATGCCGTGTTGCCAACCATCTATCCTCATCACGACGCTGCTCATCACGACCATGCGACTGGCTAGATTATATCTCCGGCTGAGAGTGTATTTGAGAGCTTGTTCATGGCAACGCCGTTCCACCTACCAACTACGTTGAGAAAAACCCGCTATACCACCGCATACGCCGACACATAACTCACACTCATGTCGTCCGCATCCTCCACCAAATTACTCCTCTCGTACCGAACAAACTGGAACCTCCCCTTGTCCTCCCCACCACGTCCCTCCTCCTCGGCCAGCAGCTCGAGTGCCGCCATCATGACGCCGATCGGATGCCGTCCGCAAACCGTGTTTTTGGTCAAGGACAAGTTGTCGTAAAATTGAGCATACTCACCCGTCTTGATGGCCGCGATCGCCTGGTCATCGAGCTCCTTGATCGTCTCGTGAATCGGCCGGCCCGCAGGCACGCGCGACCGCGACGAAATGTGTTGTAAGGTGTCGTCGACCCGGGCGTCTGGGCTGTACGGCGTGTAGCTGAAGTTGTCGCCCCAGTGGCAAAAGTCCGAGCTCACGACAAAGGCGTTCGCCGGGTCCCGCAGGTACGGCAGCAGCCAGGCGCCCACCGCGCGCTCTGCCGTCTTGGTGCCGTCGCCGACGAGGATGGGCACCAGCGTCGGGAACTCGTCGGGCGAGTCGAAAGCCTTGGCGAACATGGTCCACAGGTAGGGCAGATGCATCTCGAGCGAGTGCTCCTTGTTGTCGTTGGAGAGCGGCATGTCGGGGATGGACAGCTCGGTCCGGAGCGTGCTGACGACCTCCTCGTCGACCCTGATGTTGCCGAACGGCGTGCCGTAGTGCTTGAAGGTCGTGACGGCGCAGCCCTTGAGGTAAAAGGTGTGGGATGGGCCGAGGAGGAAGACGCGCTTCGTCTGGCTGAGGTCGAGACTCTTGTACGCCCAGGCTGCCGTCGGGCCCGAGTAGCTGTATCCTGCATGCCTGCGCAGGCGTCAGTGGACAAAGGGGGCCGACAGCGGGCTTGTTCGTGCTCACGGGGCAATAATTACGCGGGCGCCAGGGATCGGGACGTCGGATGAGTTGATTTGGCTCGGCACATCGTCCAGGAAGCCTTCGAGCTGTTCAGCCAGTCGCTTCGCGTCAGCCAGGTACCATGAGCCCGCCTTGCCGGGTTTCCGGACTTCTCGAGAGGACATGGTGGGCGTTGTCGATGTGCTTTGCTCCCGATTCAGGTCCTGATAGCACAAAAAAAGCAGAAAGCAGTTCCAGAGTCTTCCACTCTAGCCAGGCGAGTCAACCGCTGATGTCGACCTGACGTCGAGAAGGAGGGTCCAACTGCTGGAGGAGGAGGGCGCTGCCCCGCATTCAAGCTTCAAGGCGAGAGGAGGGGCAGGCAAGGCAGGGCAGCACCTAAGCCACTGCACGCTGATGACGGGACAGCCGAGCTCCCACGCACCCCTGCCCCTGTCCGCTTGGCGTCGAACCACGCTGGAGCTCCCACTAGCTCGAATCACTTTTCCATCGTGAGCTCGAAAACACCATGTAACAAAGTTCGACATTCTACGACTGACATCTATACCACCTCGAGGCGACCAAACTTTCGCCGAACTCGGCTCAGAATTCATCGCCTGTACCATTGTGCCACTGTCCGGCTTGGACAGATCATCCAGGCTCTGATGCTGCGCCAATGTTGCTGCAGCTGCCGAACGCTGGCGTCGCGCGGGTCTGGGACGACGCTGAGAGCTCGACAGCTCTCCCGCCTGCAGCCATGGTCCTCCATGCCCACGACGCCATCGCAATCAAATCGCCTCTACTCTTCGAAACAGCCAAAGCCGGCCGACAAGGAACAACTGGCGAGTCAATTCAGGGATCTCCGTGAGTGCCTCCCCCAGCCGCTACGCGACACGTCTGGCAGCTACTGACCACTGTCCTGTCCAGTCTTCTTCCCAAAAATGTCCCCACGAGAACGATGGAAGCCTGGAGAGACGGCAGTCACGATCCATGGCTTCATTGGCAAGATTCGAAAGGTGTCCAAGGAGCTGGCATTTGCCAACATTGAGCTCAACAACGGCGAGTTCCAGGGCCAGATCTGCGCCAAAGGAGTCGAAAAGGCCGACGCCCTCCGCAAAATCCAGCCCTACAGCGCCGTGACGGTGACCGGCAACATGACCGACGCATCATCACCGACCAAGTTCGACATGGAAATCGAGTCGATCGGCCACCTGAACCCTTTCCCAAAGGACATTATTGTCTCATCCGACGCCGTCTTCCCGGCCGAGGCTCGCCACCTGCAGCTGCGCTTCCACGCCAAGTTGAAGGAATCGCTGCGCTTCCGTGCCTTTCTGAAGGCATCCCTAGGACAGACCATGAGCAAGCTGGGCTACATGGATGTGGAGACACCGACGCTCTTCAAGTCCACCTCCGAGGGCGCGCGCGAGTTTCTCGTCCCCACGCGCAGGGCGGGCCATGCCTACGCGTTGCCCCAGAGCCCTCAGCAGTACAAGCAGGTGCTCATGGCCGCGGGGCTGGGTGGCTACTATCAGTTTGCGCGCTGCTACCGCGATGAGGACCACAGGGCCGACAGGCAGCCCGAGTTTACGCAGATGGATCTGGAGAAATCGTTTGCGACTGGCGAAACGATTCAAGCTGATGTTGAAGCGTTTATGCAGACGACGTGGGACGCCATGCGCGAGGAGTACAACCGCAAGGACGACGACACATCCTTTATCCCTCACAGAAAGAGTGCGCAAAGTTCGGATGAGCCATCTGGCGGAGAGCCTGTGTCCTACAAGGATTACCCAGCCATTGCAACACCGTTCCGGAGGATGAAGTACCAGGAATGCATGGACTTATACGGTTCGGACAAGCCCGACCTCCACATCCCGAACCGCATCGAACGGGTCGACGGCCATCTGAGCCCCGGCTTCGTCAGCATGATCACTGATCTCGAGAAACCCATCGTTGATGCTTGGGTGTTCCGGCCACATGAGGATGCGGACCGAAAGGAGGTCCATGAGTTTATGCAAAACTTTCTGCAGAACCTTCACAAGAGCCACTCGCAGAACCCGGATGGCGCGCCCCAAGCCCTGATGTACGACACAAGCAAGCCCCTCGAGGGCTTCTCTGCCCTGGGTCCCGACGGTCTCAAGACTCTGCAAGATGCTGCCTCGCCCGAGTCTGGGCTGTCAACACTTGAGAATGGTGACGTCGTCGTCTTCCAGGCGCGTCAGGACCGCCCTCACCAGGGCGGCTCGACCAAGCTCGGCGAGGTCCGCATCGCCCTGTACCACGCCGCCATCGAGGCTCAGCTCCTCGAGCGCGACGACAGCTTCCAGTTCCTCTGGGTGACCGATTTCCCCATGTTCACGCCCAACGAGGAGGTCGACGTCGGCCAGGGCGGCTCCTCGGGCTTCTCTGCCACCCACCACCCGTTCACGGCGCCTCTCACGGCCGGGGACCTCGATCTCCTCTTCACAGACCCGCTGAGGGCCAAGGCCGACCACTACGACCTCGTCCTCAACGGCGTCGAGCTCGGCGGCGGCAGCAGGCGTATCCACGTCGCCGCCATGCAGGAGTTCATCTTCCGCGACATTCTGCAGATGACGAAGCCCAAAATGGCCGAGTTCTCGCACCTGCTGAAGGCGCTGCGGGCGGGCTGCCCACCGCACGCGGGCTTCGCGCTGGGCTTTGACCGGTTCGCGGCGGTGCTCAGTGGTTCGAGCTCGGTCAGAGATGTGATTGCGTTTCCCAAGAACAACAAGGGCGTCGACGAATTTGCTGGTGGACCGGGGAAAATTAGCGACGAGCAGCTGACGACATATCACCTGCAGTTGCGGAAGAAGTAGACTTGTACGATGCGCAGTGTAAGATTTAGGTGTACCTCTCAATGTAGGATGGATATGACTGGCATAAAAAGAGCCATGACACCACAGTGAAAGCATGCCGTGCAGCAGAAGCCGATTGAGTCCCATGTCAGTAGGCAGTGTCACGTAAAAAAGAGGATAGGACAATTTGGGTGGCTATGGTCTTTATTATAGTCGTAGTGATCAAGTATCAAGTCGCTCCTAGTAAAACAGTCCCGGTGGTATTCCTCCCGTGGTCATTCCATTCATTCCTACACACCCCGTGTGTGTGTGCGCGTGCGTTTCGCGTTGGCACGCTCAAGAGCGCTTCCACTGGCCGGCATCCTCAGTGCCCTTGCCGAGCGAGTTGGCGGCGTTCTCAACGCCGGTGCCAACGTTGCCGAGGCCGTCACCGACGGGGCGGCCGGCCTCGCCAGTAGCGCCGGTGATGGTGTCGCCGAGACCGCGGGTCGCAGCGCCGGTGACGTTACCGACGGTGCGGGACAGACCGCCGACAGTGTTGCCGAGCGCGGAGGTGAGGAACTGGGCTCCGCCAGTGACGCCGTTGTTGTTGCCAGAAGACATTGTGATGGGTTTGGTGGTTGGTAGTGGTTGGGTTGAAGGGTGCGTTGTGTAGTGTGTGTGTATGTTTGATTGATGGATGGCTTGTTGATGATGAGTTCTCGAAAGGAAAGAGCAATGTAGAGCGGCTTGAGGCGACGTTCTTATAATCCTCTGGCTCTCAGGCAACAGGCATCTCTCTCTCTCTCATCTGACGAATTTCAAACGCAAGGCCAAGCAACGACACAACACCCATCACCCTCAACATCATCCCCACCCCCCTGGACAAGGCGTGACGTCAGGCCCACTTCAGGGTCTCGAGAGCTGCGAAAGAGTGGGTGTGGCTGATCATCCTGCGATCGCGCCTATCACAGCCACACCTACCCTGGGGGCTTGACATCACAGCGATGAGAGAATAACAAGAACAACTCCTCACCAAGGACCGGGCCCCCCGCTCCCCTCTCCGGTGGCCCAGCTGGGCAGGGGTTGCGCGCGATGGCCTGCATGTGATGCTCCTGGTGTTCGAGGCCCCTTCTCGACTGCGTGACACCGTGAGGGAGCCGGGGGGGGGGCAGTTGCGTGCGATGATGCAACCTGGGGGCGAAAAATGGCGGCGCAAGGGTCCTCTCCCTGGAGAACCGCGCAACGGGAACGGGATGGAGGGCTGCGATGATGAACCCTGGGATGGCGGATGGAAGCGAGCCAAGGGCAAATAGGCAGTTGCACCGAAGGGAGGCGGGCAGCTTGGTTCGTCTTGGATGCTCTGGATCGATGGATGTGACGATGCGTTGGGGCTGTGGCTGTGAACCTGGTTCTCCGTGCCACAGCTCTCACATGGCCTGCACGAGATGGTCAGTGGCGCCTCATCGAGATCGTCGAGGCGTGGAAGAGTAATCAGCATGGTGAGATTTTCAGGTTTATGCAGCAGATCGTATTGAGTATTTGCAAAGTTTCCAGCGGGATGATGGGATGCGAGAGCAGTCAGCAATTGCAGTGGCTATAGGCATTGGTAGCGGGCAGCTTGATATCGAATTCCGATTAGTCTAGTGGTTAGGATATCGGCTTGTCACGCCGGGGACCGGGGTTCAATTCCCCGATCGGAAGTTTTCTTTTGCTCTCGCGGGTAACGAGATGTTTTAGAGGCCATTCTTTTCTTACTGTCGCGCTTTTTTGCACCCTTTATTTGTTTGCAATTTTATGAGCTTGGTTTTTGAATCTGAGCGGCGAACACAGGCTTGCCATATCAAAAACGGACAAACATGTGTACCAGCGGGCATGGAGCAAATGTGTTGACCTGCAACCCCAGTAGCAACGAAATGATACGTACGATCTCCAGCCTTCAAACATGTTGAGATCATCGCTTGCTCAAAAGCTTAATTGTGCTTCCCTGCCGCTTCCTCGCCACAATGTCTTTATTCGCCAGCTTACCAAGGTTTCGATCACCACACGTGGCCAGGGTTTCACAGGAGACGGCCCGTCCTTGCAGTCATCCTTGCTAGGCAACGTCAGAAACGTCCATCGTTGAGTACATGATCTTCGTGTTCATGGAGTCTGGTTCGTATACGGTCGCCACCGTAAAAGGAATCACCGCCATGAGGCCTCATCTTTCAAAGTAGGCCTTCAGCACGCTAGAGCTATTGCTCCTCGCAGCACCTGAAGAACTGTAGCCAGAGACACGGGATGATCTCCTGTCTGGTATGCTTTGCTGCTGGTACGGCTGAATGTTGGGCTTCAGGACGGCAGCCCAGACGTCTACAATGCCCTGTTCGTCCGAATCAAGCCATCAACTCTGCGAGACCATGCATCTCTCGGCCCCATTTTGTGTGGCGGTCAAGGAGGACATGCCGTGGCAAGTTTTGTGCCACAGTTGCCATCTTCGTCAGAGCCGGGAAACCACTTACGCGAGAGCTTCTCCCTACGGCACGCAACGTGATAGGCAAGGCAGAGGCACCGTTCAGCGCGAAGCTCGCCAGCATCGTGACGCTCGTGATGACCGGGGACAAGTCGTCATCAGGGCCGTCGGTAGGCCCGAACCTTGGTCGCCTGTCTTCCTTGCCACGAACCAGAGGCATGGCAACGTACTGTACGATGTAGCGTCGGAAGCACGCCCATGTTGGAGTAGTGATGTGGACTTTCATTGGGGTGAATTGGACTGTAGCTGCGGGTGTCCCGCCGGCTGCACGGTGGGCTGTGGTCATCGGATCGTCGAGGTCATTCCAGGTTTGTGGACTCGGCTAGCAAGGCCTCGACAGGTTGCAGCCAGGGACTCGTTCGACGAGATGACGTTACACCACGGGCGAGTCTGTCGATCAGATGGGTGCAGATGCTGTCAAGCCGGATGCCTCTCGTGGATGCCGAAAGAAGGCTGCCGAATGACCGCGCGAAGGCACCTCGACCTCGACACAGGCAGGCAGAGCATGTCTCGGATCTGCCTTTGCTCGCAGTCAAGTAGGGGTACAAGCACCCTGCCCCTTGCCAAGGATGGAATCCATGTCAAGAGCTGCCAGAAGGACCACGGGAGACTCGCTAAGAGCTTGCTGACGTTTCGTACCGATACCTCCCAGGTCCGACACCAGAGCCAACACTCTTCCACAGCTGACAAGCCCCAACAAGGTAAAGTTGCCGTCTGACCATTACTGGCACAAATGCAGATTCAGGAAGATCTGTGCATGTGAGGGCGACTCCACGGCTCATCTTCACAATGGGCTTTCGCCACAACCAGTGGTCAGCCCTCACCCCAGAAGCAGTAGCCAGGAGGTAATGCAGAACCGAGATATGCAACACCGGGTATTCGAGTGGGCAGCCAATCAGCTCTTCATCTGGTCTTGTTAATTATGGCTGGGAGGACAGAGAAGTACGGGTTTTCTCATTCGTGCAGTCGTATGTGCCGGGGATGCAGTATGGAGTGTACAAGCATGCTATTTCCGCAGGTTCAGGGGCTAAGGGTGGGTGGGCTGCGGCTACTATCCTCACATGTCCTAGCTTTTTTCCTTCCTCCGGACATCTGTTCGCGTGGCATGGGATCGAGATGCGCTGTGTGTGCCGTTGAGGAAACAACGGAAATGAAGCGAGCCGTGACATCGAGAGCACGACTGGAAACCCCGTCGAGCTGCTACGTTACTACCAACCGCTGCCGTCTCCCAGGTTGAGATGCAGTCAGTTCACAACATCTCTCGCACAAAAGAGAGGGCACCACCACAGCACGAAGAAACAGCCTATCCACGGGTAGGAAAGAACCGATGCCGTCTTGGCAGGGCGAGCCATGGTTCGCTCCAGCGCAAGCCAGCTCATGGGGGCACATCGCAGCGTCATTGAGCAATACGTTCTCGAAATTCTTTTGCAGCCTCATCTTGGTCTTGTCTATCATGTGCCGCTCTAGCAGCTCTATACGCCAAACTCGTCAAAGATGCGAATCCAGTCACCGGGCGTGGTTGACGACGTCCTTGAGGTTGGGGTCCTCCATCTCGGAGATGTACTTTTCGGCATCGAGCGCGGCCTGGCATCCGGACCCTGTGGCGTGTCAGCATGCGTCTGGACATGTCACAGGAGAAGAAGAAGAAGAAGAAGGGAGAAAAAAGCGTACCGGCGCTGGTGATGGCCTGCCTGTAGCGCTTGTCCTGGACGTCGCCAGCGGCAAAGACGCCCTCAATGTTGGTGAGCGGGGTGCCGGGCTGGGTGATGACGTAGCCCTCGTCGTCCGTGTCGAGCTGGCCCTTGACGAGGCTCGTGGCGGGGACGTGGCCGATGGCGTAGAAGAGGCCGTTGGCCTCGACCGTCTCCTCGGCGCCGGTGCGGGTGTCGTGGACGACGAGGTGGGACATGAGGCCCTTGTCGTCGCCCTTGACCTCCTTGGCGCCGCTGTGGAAGCGGACGGTGACCTTGGGGTGGCCGAGCAGGCGCTTGGCCATGATGGCGCTGGCGCGCAGGACGTCGCGGCGCACGAGGACGGTGACGTGGCTGCCGTACTTGGTCAGGAAGAGGGCCTCCTCGGCGGCCGAGTCGCCGCCGCCGACGACGACGAGGGGCTTGTTGCGGTAGATGGGCACGGCGCCGTCGCAGACGGCGCAGGCCGAGATGCCGTTCTGCCAGTACTTGTCCTCGCCGGGGATGCCGAGGCGGCGGGCCGAGGCGCCGGTCGCCAGGATGATGGCGTCGGCCGTGTGCGTCGTGTCGGGCGACCACTCGAGGGCGTAGCGGAAGGGCCGCTGCGAGAGGTCGAGCGTGGCGACCGTCTCGGAGACGATCTCGGTGCCGAAGCGCACCGACTGGGCGCGCATCTTGTCCATGAGCTCCTGGCCCATGATGCCGTCGGGGAAGCCGGGGAAGTTCTCGACATCGGTCGTCGTCGTGAGCTGGCCGCCGGCGGCGATGCCGTTGGCGAGGAAGCCTTCGTAGAGCACGGCTGCAGGGATGATCCAGTCAGTACGTGGCCACTGGTGCAGGGAGAGCGAGCACGAAGGCACTCACGCTTCATGTCGGCACGCGCGAGATAGACGGCGGCCGTGTGGGCCGCAGGGCCTGAGCCGATGACTTTTCGTTTCTGTCAGTACAAGATGTCGTGAACCTGTACAGCCCCTCCTCCTCCCTGTCGTCTTCATGGTCTAGCAGAGAGACAGCACAGACACAGAGAGAGAGAGAGGGGCGGAGCACGAGCGACAGAGACTGGGACGGAGCAGACAACCACATACTGACAATCTTGCTATGCATGGTTCTGGCGGCAAGGCTCGGCTTGGCGGTGTTCTTCTGCAGGGTCGTGGCGGTGGCCGCGAAGGAAAGTCCGCCCGCGCTGGCTCGCAGGGTCCGTCGAAAGGCGGATGAAAACAGCTTCGCGGTGCGCGTTCGTCGTCCACGCCGCTACGAGATCGCGTGGATGGGGATCGAAGGGTGGTGGGAGGAAAAAGAGAGGAGGGACGAAAAAAGCTCGAGCGCGCGAGAAATGCTGTGGCAGACACGGGGGCGGGCGCGAGGGATCGAGGGATCGCGGTCTCTGGGAAGCCAAGGTGTAATTATACTCCCTGAAAATAAACCGACTGACGGATGGGAGGGGGTTTTTTCCCCCCCTCCCAAGGCGGTAGGCCCTCCCAAGGCGGTAGGCCCTCCCAAGGCGGTAGGCCCCCCCAAGGCGGTAGGGTAGGCACCTTGAGAATTGCCCCGCGATCGGGCGCTCGGCATGTCCCTCTCTACTCTTCTGCGCCTATCGACCGTGATCCATCGCCTGCGCCTGCCGCCTGTCGTGCATCGCCATAGGTCCCTCGAATTCCAGATTCGAGGTGGGGGCTGAATAATGCACCCGCTTACTCATCTTTGCTCATCTCTCCTCATCTCTCCATTTCGTCGTTGACTCGGCCGAGCCTCGGTTGCACATTCAAGCCCCATCCCCTGACGTGGACGCTGGTCAGGGGCGAAGCTCTAGAAGAAGCACGGATCCCGAGTATGGATGATGAGTGGTAACCTCCCAACATGGCAATAACGATGCACAAGCGGCAGTTGTCCAACGCCGAAGCCCCAAGAAGATGCCCCAAGAAGGGGCGGCTGCTACCAAATGCTACCCTGACGCCTGATGCTGTCTTTTCCTCTCTGCATGCTGACTACCGCTGCCCCTCGTCAGCGCCATCCCTCTTCCCAAACCGCGCGCCGAACCCGCCCAGGTCTCGCCGGAAGAACTTGCCAAAGTTCTTGAGGTTCTCGTTCATCGCCTTCTCCGCCGCGGCGACGCCAGACCCCCCGCCGCCCTTCTCGCCGACGACGCCGCCCTGGCCCAGGTCCCGCGCCGCGCTGAGGAGCTTCTCGCCGAGGCTCGTCGCGTCAAACTTGCCCTGCAACCCGGCCATCGCCGTGGCGCTGCTGCCCGCCGCCGACAGCGCCGAGCTCGCCGTGTTGATCGACGCCCCGGCGACCCCGGCAACCGCCCCGGCACCGCCAATACTGCCGTGACCGCCGCCGCCGCCGCCACCGCCGCTCATGCTCTGGCTCGCCAGCAGCGGCGTCAGCAGCGGGCTGTTCTGCGCGAGCTTGCCGTCGTGCGCCTTGCTGTCGCGGTGGATGCCAAACAGCTCGAGGAGGTGCGCCTGGTCCTGCTTGCGCACCGCCTTGAGGTCGAGAATCTTCTTGAAGTTGACGTCCGACCGGTCGGCAATGTGGATGAGGTACGCCTGCACGAGGCCCTCGGGCGGCGACGGCCGCACCTGGAGCGTCTTGAGCAGCGGGTCGATGCGGTTCATCGTGTGCGCCACCCGCTTGACGAAGCTCGCCGGCGGCGCCTGCGCCTCGCCCGCCTTGCTGTGGAACGACAGCAGCCCTTCAAACGCCTTGGTCATGACGTACTTGTCGAGGAGCATCTGCCCGCGAGTCAGCTCTTGGCATTGGAGTAGGGGGGGGGGGGAGAAAGCACACGCCGACAGCAGAGAAAAATGATCAGACGTACCTGTTCGGCAGCCACCTCGGTCACCGGCTTGCACTGCACAATGTTGGCAATGTACGCCGACGCCATGTGGTCCACCAAGTTGTCGCAGAACGCCCTCGCGTACTGCTGCTTGACGACGAGCTCCAAAATCGCCTCGGCCCTGCCGTTGACGGCCCGGAGAAGCTCGCCGACGTAGGAGCTCTGATCCCCGACGCTCTCCATGGCGCCCCAGTTCGTGTTGCGCATCTCGCGCCACGCGCCCGCGCACTCGTGCTCGACGCTGCGCACGAGGGCGAGGACGGCGGCGCTGGCGACGCCCAGAAAAGCATCGGCCTGCGACGAGAGGTCGACTCTGTCCCTCAACTCGGGGTCGATGCGCTTCCTGATGTTCTCCTCGAGCTGATTCGCGTTTGTTGACCAAAAATCCGCCGTGTTCATGACCATGACTATGTCCTGCAGCGGCGGCCCCTGCGCGCCTCCCCTCGAGAGAAAATGGAGCAGCACCTGCTGGGCGTACTCGTCGAGGTACTTGGCGAGCGTCTTGGCGAGGTCGAGGAGGCGGTCGCTCGTAGACAGCTTGGCGCACTGTGACAGCGTGAGTTTGTAAAAGTGGAAGAGCTCAATGGCCGAGGGGATGACGGCCTGCGGCGTGAACTCCTCGTCCTCGGGGAGCAGCGGCTGGCTGCGGTACTTGGGAATCATGGCGGCGAGCTGCCTGTCCTGGCTCTCGACCCACAAGCTCAGGTACGGCTCAAAGGCCGCCGAGATGGAGCCGTGAAAGTTGGACGCCCGGTCGTCGGCCGAGCTCAGCGTGTCGATGCTGGCCCTGGGCCCGTCGGCGAAGCGCCTCTCGAGCCCGTGCTCAAAGTCGAGCGTCTCCTGCAGGCAGCTCAGCAGCAGGTTGACGTCGAGCTTGGGGCCCTCGGTCCGGCGCATGCTCCTCTCCAGGATGCCCTTGAAGTCCTCCCGCGTGCCGTCGCAAAAGGCCGCGGCCAGCATCTCGTTGGCGCGCCAGTGCGGGGGGAAGATGGCGGCGTGCTCGTCGTCGTGCGTCTTGAGCATGCGTTTGAACCACGCATAGCGCCGGCCGATGTTGTCGAGGCTGCCCGCCTCGTCGTTGCCCCGGAACACCTGTCGGTACTCGCGCAGTTCCGTGTTCACGTACCACGTCATGAGCCTCGACCGCGCGGCGTCGCCGAGGGCATCCATGACGTGGCAGGCCTCGACGAGCGTGCCCCGCCGCGCCGACACCTCGTCCTTGGCGAACGCCAGCTCAAAGTCCTCGCACACCTGCTCCAGCAACGTCCGCTGCAGCTCCGACACGCCGCGGCTCAGCGTCGCAATCTGCTCGATGCTGCGGTAGCTGTTGAAGTGCTTCATGAGCTGCAGCACGGCCTGCAAGAGGCTCGCGCACTCGCGGTACTGCCGCGTCCGCGCGTGGCCCTGCAGCTGCTCGTAGGCCGTCGTCAGCATCTGCAGCCGCTTGAGGGCCGTCATGCTGAGCGTGAGGTTGCGCTTCGTGCCGTCGAGGCGCTTGATGTCGGCCGTCATCGATGTGATGTTCTGCTCCGTCTCGATGGCTCGCGACCGCACCGTCTCGATCTTGCGGAACAGCTGGGCGAGCTCGGCCTGGGCGGACTGCATACGCTCGAGGCTCGAATCGGGCCCGTAGGCCTGGGCGAGCTCGAGCTCGGCAATGTCGGTGGAGACGTCATTCTTGTGTTCGTGGAGGGTTTGGGAAACGCGGCTGATCGATGTGACGGTCGAGGGGTGGGAGAAGAGGAGATTCAAGTGATCGATTGGGTCGTAGTCAACTGCGAGCTCGTCAGCCGGGGAGGGGGAAGTCCCAGGAGGCAGCCCGCAAGGGCACGATGGCACTGACCAGCATCCAGCGACGTGGGATCATCGAGCGCTACGCCATTCATGTTCGCAATGTCTGGAACTCCGAAGCCGAATGCGCTGCTTCTGCTGCTGATGCTGCTGATGCTGCTGCTACACGTGTAAATGGCAAGAGGGCCCTGTTGCTGTCTCGTTCGTTGCTTCTCGGGGCTGCCAATGCACTGAAGCTCTGCCGGCCGACGAGTAGACGCTGGCTTGGTCTATCAGTACGTAGCCTCTTGTTATCGGCTATCAGCACGTGCTGCCTGCTCGAGCTCCAGCTCCAGCCAGCTAAAAGGCACTCTTGTCACACTGACTGCCGCCTGGAACGGATGGCGGCCAGCCATGTGTGGGACCTGGGCGCGGAACCCAATCAGTGACCTGCCTGTGATTACATTGATACAGTCCCTACCTTCCTAGGTACCTACCTTGCCCACCACCTAGGTACCTTACCTATCTAGACCTACTACACACAAGGCGCCCTCCACCCACACCAAGAGCCCGCTACCACGCGATCCAAGACCGTGTTACGCTCCATCCACGCATCACATGTCTCATCTCAGATGCAGGAACGCAACAACGCCCCCATCACCTGCCGTACGACCCCAGCGAAAACTAACTGCCACAGTCGGCATCCAGTGCGCCGCCGGCCGGAGAGCAAGCCTCCAACGAGGCACGTACCTGGCCCTGAAGGGAGAAGGCTATGCCAATGCCGTGCCTAAGGCAAGGCAGGTTAAGGTGCCTACCTCATGCAGGCCTGCATTTCGTGCGCCCTGCCTTGCAGGTCTGCAGGCTGGCTGACTGACTGACCATGGAACGCCCTGTTCGCCACACGATGCAGGGCGCCGCCTCGAGAACGGCCGAGTGGCCCGAGCAGGGCAAAAAAAAAAAAAGATTTGACCGTCGAACCGTGCGAGACCTGGCCCCCGTCTATTTGCCTTGTCGTTTGGCCAGGTCTTTCGGGAGCCACCTTCCGAAGACTCAATCAGAGATGCCTATTGCGGATTTATCCGCCGCGTCTTACATGGTACAGCTCGAGCTCCACTGTGGGTGGCATCTCCAGCAGCTGGGCTATACCATGCCAAGTATCACGGCCTCATGCAATTGCATATCATCATTGCGATGGAGCAGTTGTGGCCTTGCACTTTCACAGTGTTCTCATCCACCGGCAACCGCAGGTTTGTACCACCATTCTGACATGGCCCCTGAATCCAGGCCGTTCGATTTGACTCTTTCTTCCCTTCTATAACTTTGCTGGAATGTTGTTGCCAAACAGGGTAGATATATGTGTACCCTTTCCGTGGCCCCAATGCGCTTCTCCCTCGGATCCGATGTTTGTCGCAAAAGCAAAACAACAATGTGCAGCAGCCAAGTGGCTGTGATTTGCTTGTTAATGAACCGCCTGGTATCCCCGCTCCAAAAAAAAAACGCCTTGCCACCGTCCGTCTATAGATTCCCATCGCCAGCCTCCTTTTTGAAAATCCGTCCCAGCAGTTCAACGCAGTGCCGTTCATTGCGTCTGAATCTCAATGGCACAAACCTGGCTCGTCTACACGACAGCCCAAATATCCTGCTTTCCCGCCCCCCAGAAAGGGCCGTCGGGGCGGATCTATGGGATCAACCCGAGGTTGGGCCGCTCAGAGGTCTCATGAAGAGTGCAGTGCTTGGAAGCCAGCCGCGACAAGACTGCGCGACCCTTTACCGTCTGCCGGTCCGTTCCAATAGAAGAGGCCCTACAGGCATAAGTTAGCTTAAAGCACCACAGTCAGCGCCACGTCTGGCCATGTTCGTCTGCTCACCCCTAGCCCCTTTTGCTTGCAGAACTGAGCCTTGGCCTTGACAGTCTCGGGGTTATCATAGCTCACGAATCCTCCGTCAGCGCCGATGCACTGCGCCGAGATGGACTTTTTATCAATCGTCTCCTTGGTACCGCTTCGTGGCAATTGCTTGTACTCGAATGTGCCATTGTCACCACCGCCCCCTCTGAACTTGTGGCCCGGCCCAGCTGCGCCCAGGAAACTTCGCCCGTAGAGCGGGATGCCGAGGAGAATCTTCCCCGGATTCACGCCCTTGGCGATCAGGTACTGCACGCCCGTAGCGCCAGATTCTTGGTCCTTCTGAGGGGCGTACAACTGGGAGTGATGTCCGCTCTTTGGCGTCCACGTGCCGAAGAAGTCGTATGCCATGAGATTGACGAAATCGAGATACTCGGCCGAAGCCTGGAGGGGAATATACTGAAGCACCATTCTGCTCGCCGGCAGGGCAGCGGTGAGTAAGTATTGGTCCTCTGGCAGATGAAGACGTATCGTCGCCAGCAGAGCCAGAAAGTCGTGGCCCTGCTGGGAGTCTGAGGGATACTCCCACACAACTGAGCAAATGTCAACATCGTTGCCTAGCTGGTCGTTTTGGTCTGCTGACTTACTGTCAATGCCGTCGAGGCCAGACGCATCAACTAACCCTTTTGCTGAGCGCGCAAAATTATCTCTGCAGATAGTGCTCGCGGCCACGACAGGAAAGATGGCCGAGGAACTGCCGCCGCCAATGGACAGAACAACCTGGAGATGCGGGTACTGTTGTTTGAGATGCATGAGAGACCCAAGGCCCCCTTGGACGCCATCGACCGGCGCCCCCGCATCCGCCCACTCATCGCTCAACTGGGAGGGTTCAAATCAGTAAAGAGTTGTTCCAACTGGAGTGAGCCAGCCGACTCACGAAAACACCACCATCCGGAGAGACATTTGCGAAAGCGTAGTACACATGATTGGTGTATCCATAGTTGAGCGCTCCTGGTGTGTCGCCCTGGTATATTCTCTCGTTGGGGAAATAAACGGCGTTCGTGTAAGCGAGCTTCGAAATGCTCTTGCCTCTGCGCTGTTTACGCGAGGATGAAGACGAGCTCATTCTGGAGTTGAATCGATCATGTGAAACAGAGAAGGGGAGCAAGACAGTATCGACGCGCGCGACAGCGAATATGGACTTGAAAGTGAAGAACGCTGACACGAGGGACAGGTGGAAAGAGAAGGCGGTTGGGTGAAGAGCATGTTGTTGTACAGGTCACAGTACCCAGTCGGGCAGCAAGCGCACCTCATGGGCAGGCTTTAGCAGCCCAGGACCTATATATACAGGGCGAGCTGCGACGGTGAGTGAATATGGGCAACTTGTGGCCATGTCTCGATGGTGGAGACAACACGCATCAAATTTACAGGTGAGGGCCCCGGTACCGCGATGCCACGATGCATGACATAATTTGGGCTGGGGTGTGTGCGTGCGATGGTCGAGGGGAAAGGGGGGGGAGGGAAGACACTTGCAGGGGACGGATGAATGAAACTTGCTAAAAAGATGCGGTACAGTACAGGCAGCAGAAACAGTTGGAGACGGGCAGGTGAGTGTAGGTAGGAAGCGTGGGATATCATGTCAAGTCAATCGCCTACTGGTTTGATTAGCTGGCCCATCCTCGCAGCTCCGTGCGTGGCATCCTCCGCCGAGCCTGTACATCTTCCGACTTGGACCGCCTATCCTTGGCGAAGCATGGCGATCAAAGTCGCATGTCAATGAGACCCCTGTCGCTGCTGCTTGTTGTGCTCACGAGTACGTAGCTACAGTAGCTTCGAGGCGTCTTGTCATAGGTACAAGCATATCCTCGAATGGCTAAAGAGCACCATGGCGGCCGTCACGTTGGCAGATGTCGGACCATGGATGGAAATGCAACATGGCGAGTCAGCGTCGAAGAGCGTAGGTTCTGCATGGAGTCCAGGGCGGCAGCGGCAGGTTGGTTCGGCCATTAAAGGGCAAGAATAAGAGAGATTTGTTGCCGGAAGGCGGCAGGGAGGAGGGTGAACAGAACCGTGCCCCAATTCGCAGAAGTGTCCCGTGTCGGGACAACCTGTGTCGGACCGGGATGCCGAGGAATATTCCAGCACGAGAGACGGTTCGGCAGGTTGAAGGCATGAGATGTGTCCGCATCACCGTGGTTGTCATGGTGAAACTAGGATCGGTGTGCGTTAGTCAAGTTCGATGGCCTCTGCGGCACGCTCGTGAGCCACATGCACAGGAGAGGAGAGTCCCTGGTCTAGACAGGGAAAGGGGATTCCAAGGTAGCCTTGGGTCATCAATGAGCTGCGGCTCCCGGGATGTTGCCTCAAAGGAGAGAGTCTGGTGTTCTAGAAGAAATGCCCCACGTCGTGGAAGGCTTGGAAAAGAAAAGTCATCCGAGGAACACAAGTCCTTCCCGCAAACGCCGCCCAACCAGACGGGACGGCAGCGGGGAGCAGGTCTCAAACTCGGGGGGGAGGGGGGGGCATTGAAAAACCGGCAACCCTAAAACAGCGTCCTTCCCTGCAAAACTTGGGGCTGGTGTTACAATGGTCGAAGCTTGAGTCGCAGCCAGGTGCGTCCTGGGCCTCCGGGGACACAAGATGTGCGATTTGTGTTCAAGGGCTGTACCCGTTACCGAGGGTAGGTCGGTGCGAGCGGTGCGAAGCCTTCCACTGATTTGACTTGACCTCGGTGCGTACGCAGCGAGTCTGGCGTCCAGCAACCCAAAATGGTGTGTTCTTGATCTCGGTGACATCGGGGAGAGACCTGGTGAATGGCCGACACTATTACTAGGATGAACCAGACGATCCAGCAACGCCAAACCGTGTCTGGCGTTTATCCCCTTTAGGTTGCCCCAAATCCCCCAGTGTGGAGATGGGCCGCCATCAGACAACCAGCAGCTTGGCTTCTCTTGGTACCGCAGCGAGATTGCATCAAATGACGGACGGTCGACGCGACGGATGCTTCTGCCCAAAGCTGCATGGCACGCTGGCAGGCCATTCTCTGCACCCAGATGCGGGCCCAAGAACCGATGGGTTGGCCAAATGAGGTCATTGGGTGTCGCGTTTCAGCGGGTGAGCGGGTGAGTGGAAACAGCAATGTCCCAAGTTTGGATGGTGGTTCCCTGCCGGCCTCCTGGTGAAGCAGTGCCACGGGATAAATTAAAGACGGGAGAGTCGCGGGAGATGAGCAGAGAGAGGGGCCGGGCGGCACCGTCTCGAAGACACCGTTCTCTTCCTCTTCGAACAATACGAAGGCCGCATCTGAGAGCCCGAGAAGGGAGGTATCCAGCTAGGCAGCGGAGACGCTATACTCACACGGGGAGGTCCTCTTGTAGATGGCCTGCTGGCTCCGGCAGAGGCACAGACGGGTGGGTGCTTGGAGGAGGGCAGGACCCTGATGGTATGCGGCACCCATGTAACGTGGTTTGTCGGTTGCTCCGAGATCCCCAGTGGCCGGAGAGTCCCCAAATCCTTTTAGCGCAGTCGCAACCCGAATTAGGGGAGTGATTCCGTCCTGGCAAAAAGACCCAAGGACCTGAGCCCGGCATGTGCCCATGACGGGAGCGTCTCGCCGAGGAGGCCGGCGTGTCGCGTGCGGATGGTCATGAGTCGTCGATTGGTGGAGCAGCGAGGCTGCTGAAGGGGGCTTTTGAGATCCAATGATGTGGATGGCCTCACTGTTTGGTAGAAAGCAGTGCTGCCATGTACCACGAGTCCGATGCCGTCAACGACTCAGGCACTTTCTGCTCCCTGTCGACATGGTTAGGGGATCATGAGCTCCCTACCTTGGTAGGGATAGTGATGGTGACGATGATGGGTGTGTGGTTCGCAGAGGTGAAGCGGTGGTAAGAAGCACGGACAAAACCGACTGCAAGGCAAAATTATGGAAGCACCAGAATGCGAATGCGCGTGTCATCCTGCAGGCCTTGGCAGCAGGATCACCCCAGCATGTGCCTGCCCGCCAGCCCGCCTGGTGCCTGCCGCCCCCCGGCCGTCTGCTGCAAGACCAGCCAAGTTCCTGCTCCCGAGCAGACCAGACGGATAACGGGTTCGTTCAAGTGCGCTATCCAAGGGCTGAAGCCCACTGTGGCTGTCGGCCGTTGCAAGCCCGCATCTTGACATTTCTATCAACATGGCGCCATTCTAAGTTGTGTGCCACAGCAGCGGCCCCGCTCCTCGATGCACGACTCCAAGCTACCATGTAGGTTCTTTGGGTGAGGACAGCGAGATGTGAGATGTGATGTGTGCATCGCATATGCCATCGCACTCTCACGTGTCGAAGCGGGAGGTAACACGACAGATGAATGGATGGCTTAGTCTTAGGTCACAATTCTGCCAAAGATCTGCTTTCTTCCTGTAAACTGCTACTCATGCAAGCAAGCCTGAATTGAAGAAAGACCCCCACACGTGTCGACCGTACATACCAGGAGTGGGTAATAGGCTATCAGTTCATATGTAGGTCGGCACTTTATCATCAAGCTTACGGTCACCATCTCGTCATAGGAAGAGATCGAATTGCATGACCGGGTGGGTGTCGGTCGGTGACATAGCTTTACCGTTACCTGAGCATGAGCGACTCCTCGGCCCAGCGGGAGACATGTATTCGATTGATGGAGTCAAGCAAGTCTGGCGAAAGGATCCCAGACAGGGTGTCAAAGATATCGATGTAGATATTTGGGAATTATGAGGATCTGGGCAGCCTTCGGAAGATGGATCGGCTGACAACTACAGACGAGATAGCCATCGAGCGCAAAGATATCACATGAGCGACCTGGAGCTCGAGATGTTCCGATCACTGCAACCTCAAGCGATGCGTTGCTTTGCTGTGCTAGCATATGCCCTCCCAATGGAATGGTCTTCGCAGCGAGCCTCAGCTCACGAGGGGGGAAGGGGGGGGGTGGGTGGTCGCTTGCCTTACCCCCGTAAGATGGACATTGGCAACGTGAAAATGATCGTGATACAGTACTACCAGTGGCCGCTTCCCCGAGGTTCCACTCCACTGGCTGACTAACCCGATCTGCTCTAGCTAGCCGTTCGGAGCTTTTGGTTCAACTCGAGCTCGGAAAGCTCACAACATGGACAGGACCATCATACGCAACGCCAATTATCACCATACGCACCAGTTTGCCAGTCTCCCGCCACCAGAGCAGCGCATTCATCGACATTCAATCACCATAACCACTTGGCAACGATATTGTCTCGCCGCTCCTGGAGGCACTCGGCAGCGCACGCGACGCTTGATATCTGCGTCTTCTCCGAACACTGAACACCGACCTCTCCCCAACGCACCTGCCTCTCGCAGCCAGACCACCAGGCCACCAGCACCGCAGGCCAGCCAGGGCCAGAAGCCCACACCATGGCAGCGATGATAGCACACCCCTCGCTGGCGCCGTCCCGCGCCGCCCCCGACCTGGCCTCGCACACCGAGCCGGCCGCGACATTCGACTTCACGCCCTTCCTCCGCGCGACGCACCAGCACGCCCTCGCCGCCGACTCGGCGCCCGGCGGGCAGCCGGCGCACACGCACGCGGGCCGCGGCCCCTCGCTCGTGTGCAAGCACTGGCTGCGCGGGCTCTGCAAAAAGGGCGCCCACTGCGAGTTCCTCCACGAGTACAACCTCCGCAAGATGCCCGAGTGCAACTTTTTCACGCGCAACGGCTACTGCTCCAACGGCGAGGAGTGCCTCTACCTGCACATCGACCCGCAGTCCAAGCTGCCGCCCTGCCCCCACTACGACATGGGCTTCTGCCCCCTCGGCCCCGCCTGCGCCAAGAAGCACGTCCGCCGCGCGCTGTGCCTGTTCTACCTCGCCGGCTTCTGCCCCGCGGGGCGCGACTGCCGCGACGGCGCCCACCCGCGGTGGAAGAAGGACCTCGAGCGGCCGAAGCTCAAGGTCGAGGTCCAACGCGAGGAGGAGGAGCTCAAGCGTCAGGAGGAGCTCGAGAGGCAGGCCGCCGGCCTCCATGAGCCGCAGAGGGACATGCGAGACGACAGGGGCGGCTTCGGCGACAGGGGGGACAGGAGGCATGGCCACGGGGGCAGGGGCGGCGGTGGTGCGGGCGGCGGCAAGTGGCGCGACCGCGGGGGAGGTGGAGGCGGCGGCAGGCGGTTCCGCGGTCGTGGACACTGAGGAGATCATGTCACTAGTTGATAGGGCACGTGAGAGCCACTGGCTCTTCTTCCTGACGGGAGACATGGTCACGGCAGCGCTGATGTTAAAAGTGGGAATAAGGCACAGAGGAGGACCTGTGAAAGGCGCACGAATGATACCAAGGTTTAGAATCCATTCTATTTCATTATAGATCTGTACGTTCAGATCCCCAAGAGTCGTGAATTTCTTCCCCGTGCCAGGTTGTGTGGTGCAACACGCCGTTATGAACGCCTAAACAAGTGCGTCTGTAAAACGCAAGCAAACATGGGACGACGTTGCTCATGAACGTCGCCAAACATTGCTCTCTCCATCTCCAGGGACAGCGATAAAGTCCTGGTTGTCACCATTTTCGCTCCCTTCGCGAGACCCGTCATATGAGCTCGTCTGCCACGCCGAAAGCTCGTCCACCCGCCGGATGCCCATCATGAACGCCACGATACCGCGGGGCACCCACCGTCCGACAAATCCGTAGACACCGGCGCCGAGGCCTACGCGGACGGTGCCGCTGGTGATGGAGCCATCAACAACGTCAAAGACGGCATTGTGCAGGTGTCGCAGCGAGCTGCCCTTGAGGCCTCGGATGCGTCCGGCCGAGATGGCCGAGGTGCTCTGCGTGACAAAGTTGCGGCCGTAGGCGTGGCGCGCATTCTCAGGCCACATGAGCGTCTCAGCGGCGTCGGCGTCAATGCCGGGGCCCTCGATCAGGCCCTTTTGGTACGCTGACGTGTGTGATGGCTTGGCCGGTGTGAAGCCCGCAAAGTCAAAGGTGCCCAGCTGCATGTGGGTGACGGGGACACCGAGAGGCCTGAGCTCCGCAGTGAGAACTTCGGTGAAGGCTGAGAGGGCGGAGCAGACGGTCGCCTCCGGCGCGTGGAAGGGCGGGTTGATGGACGAGATGATCGAGGGGGTGAAGACCATGACCTTGGGCGGGTGCCACTTCTCGCCGGCTGGGCTGAGGCGAGCTGTGAGAAGGGGAAGAAAGGCCTGGATTGTGAGGATGGGGTGCAGGAGGTGGGTGTTGAAGAGGTCGGCAAAGCTGGAGGGTGGGATGGTGGCGATGGGAGAGGTCTGGTAGTTGAGAGACGGAATCAGGATGACGGATTTGAGCTCGAGGAAATTCGGTTTCGTCCTGGGTGCTGGAGCATGCGGTGACTGGAGGTACTGAGCAAACCGTTCGATAGCGCTGCCGGCACTTGGGGGCTGTTTGAACAGGTCAGTTCTGTAGTCCATGGCCAAGAGAAAGAGGCAGGACGAGACTTACGTCGGTGGCATCGATCGTCAACGGCTTGATATCCGGCCTCGACATGTTGTGTACCATGGACTCGTCTTCAACGGCATTACAAACGACAAAGACGATGAACCCTCTCCTCTCCATGTCCAGCGACAGCGATCTCGTCAGAGGCAAGGTCGGCGAACCAGCGATGACGACAACCTCCAGGCGACCACCGTTCCTCGCACGCTTGGCTCTCCTCGTCTTGCGGTAGAGACTGCTACTCCTGTACGTCTTGTAGACGACAACGCCAAAGACGGCGACAGCAGCGCCCGTGACGAGCTTGTTCCGAGACATCCAGTCCCGAACTTGTTCGTAGCGCGTCACAGCGATGACCTCGATGGGTACGGAACGAGACACTGGCGTCGGGCGCACAGAGTCGGGGATCCATTGTGCTGAGGATAGAGTGTCGCGGACGACTTCGGCAGCCCTGTCGACCTGGCTATTGATCTGGTTGGCAATGTCGTCGGAGTAGCGGCGGATGTGGTTGGGCAGGGACGAGAGCTTTGTATGGTTAGCATGGAAAGGGGGTTACAGGCTGCAAGAAGGGGAAGCACTTACGACGTCCAGAAATTGCTGGTCGTCGGCCGACATTTTGTAGGTCGTTGCAAAGCTGCGATTCAAGGCGTTGCTGCTGTCCGTCGTGGTGGTTTTGGTGTCGTACCGGTGCCTATGCCTGTACCTGTGGCGGAAGAATGAGGGCCAGCAGATGACGTTGGAGAAGAGCTTCGAGTCGCTGGAGCACGCGCTCGAGATCGGGCGTTGAGAAAGAATTGCCAGGCCGCAGGTGGGGTTATTACAGCCGGCCGCAGCTGGTCATTATGGGTCACTCAGAATGGCGATCAATACATGAATCTCGAGCATAGATACATACACCTTGGCAGTTTCACAGTACACTTTACCAGACAGCAAGAATTCAGTTTCGTTCGTTGTATTGTCCATGTGTCGTTCATTGTGTCGTGCTCCAAGTTGACCAACTAATGATGCAATAACCACGCATTCCAAAGAAGCATCATCACTGCGTCTACGATGACTTTGAACAATCAGGATCGTGAGATACTATGAAGCAACGTCTACAGAACCTTCAGGGAGCGCCTCATACCTTCCTGGCCAAGCATCTCAACCGCACATAGGAAATCATCTCTCCACCGCTCCCATCCTGGCTGACATATTTCAACACGTCGCTCGCCTCCCTCACAACCCCTTCAACAGCATCAGCCCCCTTCTCCTCCTCGACGGCATCCAAAAAGGCCTTGCCCATCAACCGCACCCAGCCCTCGACGCCGCCCTCGCCTGCCGTCGTCGGTCGCCATTCTCTCTCCACCTTTTCAATCTTCCACCCCCCCGCTTCCGCCTCCATCGTCCTCGTCAGCCACTTCTCGTCAGGGAAGAACCACGGATCGGCCGCCTTTGCCTTGTCGAGGCCAATGACCCGTCCGGCGGCGAGCACAAGCGCCGTCCTCATCTCGGACACGTTGCCGAGACCGCCCATCTCGAAAGCAAACGTCGCGCCTGAGGGGAGCACGTCTCGCACGCGCGCAAAGAATGTGCTCGCCGTGTCCGGCTTGAGGATCCAGTGCATCGCCGCGTTGGAGAAGGCCTTGGTGTACCTGAAGGGGAACCGGCTCCTGTCGAGGTTCATCTCGTTGGCGTCGACGACTGCAAGTAAAAAAAAACACCTCCTTGTCAGACGGCGTATGCAAAGTAAATCATGAGATGGAACATGTACGCACCCTCAAACGTGCACCTGTCTCCGCCCGGCGCCGCCTCGGCAGCCCTGGCAGCGGCCGAGATCATGGACGGCGAGGCGTCGATGCCGTGCACGGCGCCTTGCCCCTGCGAGAGGACCTTGGCGAACTCAATGTTGAGCACGCCGTCACCGCAGCCAATGTCGAGAATGACGTCGTCCTTTTGAACGTCGAGCCATTGCACTACCTTGGTCGCGAGCTTGGGCACGAAGGCGGCTGAGTGCTGGTACTCCTGGCTGGATGTTAGCCTGGTGATTGACAAAGACGCCGGTACTGTGCAAGGGGAGAGCGCACCTCTGTAGACCAGTTGTCCTTCTTTTCGTCAGCCATGGCGAGATGTGGATTATTGCGAGCGATGAAATGAATGAAGGTAATTAATTGTCTTGATCTTGACTTTTCTGGTTTGTCTAGAAATATGCCTGGTCGGTGCTGTCTTATATAGGTAGGTTGTGGTCATGATCCGGGTGTAAGTGGTTGACTGACAAAGATGGGGTCAAGCGACGAGGGCCGATCTCGGACCCTGGACATTACCATGCACGACAAGGCTTCAGCCATCACGCATGCAACTCGTACAATACATGATACACTCTGCGGAATGATTTGCCAGCAAGAAGGGGCTTACGTCGCTTGTTTGGGGGCATAGGCTTTGCATGGTTCATTTCGTGGAGTACATCGGACATGGTGGATTTCCATCGTCCGGATAGAGCGAGCCCCAGTCTCGCTGCCTTACCCTGCAGAATCTACACTATGTTCTCTACTCAGTCAATTGCAAGCAGCTCGTACTTGTCGTCGCCCAGGGCATCCTCTACCCTCCGCATGAGGGAGAGCACCTTCTCCTCCTCCAGGCGGCGTCCCACGACCTGCACACCCACAGGCAGTCCATGCATGGCAGTCGCATCGTACAGCTTGTACGCTCCCCTTGCCACGCCGTTCAGCCTGCCGAGCTTGAAATCCTTGGGTAGCTGATCCAGGTTCTTGTCAACGTGAGTCACGGGCACCACACCGGCAGAGTAATCGAGCTGTCCACAAAGTCAGCCACACAGTCAGAGCGGGCACATCCAGCAAGGAAAACTCACAAGGTTGAACATGAACGTGTATCCGCAGCTGCTGACGGCCTCTCCCATGCCGTCATGCGGCACCGCCGGCGTCGCATTTGGTGGTGTCACCAAAAAGTCCACCTTGGCCGCCTCCCACCAGTCGAACCAGGCCAGCCGGATCTTCTCCCGCTGCGACACGAGCTTCCACGCCTCGAACGCGCTCTGCGGGCGAAAGTCGCGCACGAGGTCCGCCCACAGGGCGTCACGCCGCACGTACTTGGCCCACAGGTAGTAGAGGTACCGCGTGGGGCGCCACATGCTGGCGAGGTAGCTGAGCTGGGCGGCGCCGGCGTCGACCCACTCGCCCGGGCGGAGGAAGGAGCCGTAGGTGAGGCACCCGTCCGAGTTGAGGGCCAGGGACGCGACGCGCAGGATCTCGCGGAGGTGGGGCAGGTCAACTTCGACAATCTCGTGGCCCTCGCGGCGGAGGGCGTCCTCGACCATCTCGACGGCGCGGAGGCATGCCGGGCTGGGGTCGACGACGCCGTCTGTGCGCATGATGCCGACGCGGAGCTTCTTCTTCTCGAGAAACTCCTTCTCGACGTCGTGCCGCCAGGGAATCGGGTGGACGGTGTAGTCGTAGTTCCACGGCTTCATCTCAACAATGGAGCGGGTAAAGTAGGTCAGGTCGTTCAGGGTGCGGGCCATGGGGCTGAAGACGCTGGGGATGCCCTCCTGGCCGGGCATGCTGGTCGTGATGCCCATCTTGGGCCAGCGGCCGGTGGAACATCGCAGGGAGTAGCAGCCGGAGAAGTGGGCAGGGACCCGGACGCTCCCCGCAACATCGGAGCCGATACCGATCCTGCCGCCAAAAGCAAGGAGAGCAGACTCACCGCCTGTTGAACCACCGGGGCTGTACTTGCTGTTGTGCGGGTTGGTGGTGCGTCCCCAGACGTCATTGGTGGATTCGAAGGAGAGGAGGGTGATGGGAAGGTTGGTCTTGACGTAGGGCACGGCACCGGCGTCCTTCAGCAGACGCACGACGGGACCATCCTCGACAGACGGCTTGTTGGTGTGCATGGAATAGCCGATGCACGAGTCGTACCCAGCGACATGCAGGCTGTCCTTGAGGGAGACGGGGATACCAGCGAGGGGACCCTTCAGGTTGATAGATCCTTCCTTGAGCCAACCCTCGGCTGACTCCAGCATGACCTCGGTCAAGCAGTTGGTGCTCTCATGGGCTTTCAAGGCCACCTTTCCGTACGTCTTGAGAACGTCGATGGGCTGGGTAGCACTCTTCTGGACATCCTGGACAAGCTCTTGGATTGGCTTCTGCAGAATCTCCCGTTCCAGTGCAGAAAATGGTCCGTGGTAGGCCGTCAAGGAACGAATCCTGTGGGACCGCTGAGCCTGCTTGGATTGACTGTGAGGGGGTAAGTCGTGATGATGCATGTAGCAGGGTCGATGGGGGGTAGTGATCATGGTCAAAACCTACCAGTCTCGGCGGTGTTGGAGGTCAAATGGAAAGACCATAGCGAAGGGTCAAGGTGGGTAAGTTACGTGTGGGTCGCAGTGCTAGAAACAGAAGAATGAGGTTGGAAACTCGTGGCACCGACAATGGGCTTGGCGAGGTAGATGAAGGAAGAAGGATAGATAGGTCGTACGAGACCTGGAGCTGGGCAGTTTGTCCCTTGATACACGGTAGTTCGGAGCTGGCTTCGCGGGGCCCCGCGCGCGCGCCCCTCCAGGTAGGTAGGTGCACAGTGTACAGGGCGCGCGCCTTCCCCTATCGTGTCACGCCCTGGCCCGCTGATACCCGTAGGTCCACCCCCGGAGGTCCACTCTGCGTGCTTCCGATAAGACATGGCAGCCTCGGCAGCTTCGGTCAGATCGGTGAGGGTTTCCTTACCTTCGTGAATCGAGACAACAGCAACGTCATCTTGGCTGGTGACAGACAAATCCTGCTTCCCATTTCTCACCTTCCTGGTGAATGAGAAGACATCTCTTCAACGGATGATGTAGATCAAACACTTGTACTCGCGAGCCGGCCCGCCGATCCATACTCACAAGGGCTCTTCGTACTGGATGTAGGTTGGAACACACCGCTGGCGTTCTCGCTTGAGTTCAACCATGCGTGGTCATGAGTGCCTGGCAATTTTCCTTTTCTTTTTAGATACACGGAAACAGCCGCACCTTGCAGCTCGCCCCGGATGCCCATTGGAGCGATCAGGACACTGCATCTGGATGCAGCTGGGCCGCCAACCAGCGGGCACAGGCGGCGGCAATCGGTGCAGCGAACGCAGCAAAGCAAAAACTTTTCGATTCAAGTCCTCCACAGTGCATTGTGGCCGCCCTATGAACATGGCCGCCCTTCCTTACAATGTAGTGGAGGGCCGCCTCTCCTTGCGGTAGTGATCCGCAATCAAGAAAGCCAGCTCCAGCGCCTGCTTCTCGTTCAGTCGCGGGTCGCAGAAGCTCGTGTAGTTGGTCGACAGATCGTCCTCGTCGAGGTTCTCGCTGCCGCCGAGGCACTCAGTGACGGCATCGCCTGTGAGCTCGAGATGCACGCCGCCGAGGAAGCTGCCCTGCTCCTTGTGGATCTGCAGCGTCTGCTGCAGCTCCTCGAAAATGTCGCCAAACTTGCGCGTCTTGATGCCGCTGCCCGTCGACTGCGTGTTGCCGTGCATGGGATCACACTGCCACACGACGCACTGCTTGTACTCGCTGTCCTCGACGGCGCGGATGTGCGCCGGCAGCAGGGAGCGCACCTTGGCGGCGCCGTAGCGGGTGATGAGCGTGATCTTGCCGGGCTCGCAGCTTGGGTTGAGAGTACGGAGGAGGGCGAGGAGGTCGTCCACCGGCGTCGTGGGCCCGACCTTGATGCCGATGGGATTCGCGATGCCTCGGAAGAACTCGACGTGCGCGTGGTCGATCTGTCTCGTGCGGTCGCCGATCCACAGAAAGTGAGCTGATGTGTTGTAGTATTCCTTCTTGGGGGCGGACGCGGGCTCGTTCGGCCTCGACTGAAGAACGGGAGTCTCGAGAAGCCTCGTCAAAGGCTGTTCATACTCAAGAAGAAGACCTTCGTGACTGGTAAAGAGGTCGACCGTGTCGAGCTTGTCGCTCTTGTCGGCGCCAATCGTGTGCAGGAACCGAAGCATGTCCGTCAAGGAGAGGACTGCCTCGGAATACTTCCTCTTCAGCTCCGGGTCGCGGACATGGCCCAGGCCCCAGTCGAGGGGCCTATGAAGATCAGCAATTCCAGCATTAAGCGATGCTCGAATGTAATTGAGTGTGGCTGAGGAGTGATGGTAGGCCCTGAGGGAGGTTGGTTAGTCGAGTTGATCGCCCTCATCTTGGATGGGGGGAGAAAACTTGCTTGACGAGCCTTTGAGGATCAATCTCTCTCTCATCAACGTGGAATCCGTTTAATATGTCTCCTCTGAAAGAGGGCATCTCGACTCCGTCCACAACCTCGGTCGGGCTTGACCTGGGCTTCGCATACTGGCCTGCCATGCGGCCGATTCGAACGACCTTCTTGTCAGCACCCCAAACGAGGACCAGACTCATCTGCAGCAAGAGCTTAATCTTAGACTCGATAGCATTCTGCTCGCAGTACGAGAAGAGTTCAGCGCAGTCTCCGCCCTGGAGCAGGAATGCCTCACCCTTGGCCACATCACGAAGATGCTGCTTGAGGGCGACAATTTCCTTGGGGTGGACAATGGGAGGCAACCTCGACAGTTCGTCAACGGACTTTTGCAAAAGCTTCGCATCTGGGTACGCCGGCGCCTGTTTGATGGGCTTTGAACGCCAAGAACCGGGCGTCCACTCTGGCGAAGGAGTTGCCATGATGATGGTAACCGTGGCTCGTTGTGACTCAGATGCTGGTATCACAAGACTTTCCAATTCGATGATGACAACGTGAAAGAGAGAGAGAGAGAGAGCGCTGTGATACTGGAACGTTGCTCAGTATCTCCAACCTTTGGGTTTAATGAGTCACTCGTAATGTCTGAAATGACCTGGGATACCTGACGAGAGTATGTGGCCAAATATGGTCCTCAATGAAGGTCCCTTCTGGGCAAACCAAATCTCATTGTGTGCAACACAGGTGCATGCGCGCTAGGCCAACCAGAGCTTTCGGAGGCTGCAGTTACACGGGTACTTGTGTGCAACGCGTGGCGCAACCGGCACGCCAAGTATCTCCTTAGCGCACGGTCTCCCTTTGCTCCAGTTGGCACCACGACCCCACCACAGAAATCTTACAGCTTCCTTCCAGTGAGCAGTGACCGCGTCGGAAGCTCGCCTACCACCAAGAACACCCACGTCACTGCTGAAGAATTCTCGACCGCTCAACCCTGATTTCAAGGTCGCATAATATACAAACCGACGCCCGCCAAACGACTGTTCCTGCGAAATGTCCGAGAAACAACCCCCTACCATTGTCGAGGGCGCCACGACTGGCGACGTTGAGGACGAAATCCCCGCCAACCAGGCCAAGTCCGCCGAAGACCGCAAGGCCGCTTCGGCTCTCGCCTCCCTCGAGGGTGGTGATGACGCGCGAGGGAACGATGTAGACGCAGAGGCTGCCAAGAAAGCTATTGGTAGCCTCGGCGGCGATCAGAAGAAGACCGGCGAGCCCGTTAAGAACGTCAAGGTCGAGGCTGCCGATGTGGCGTTGCTGGTAAGGACACGCGTCAATTCAGACGAGCTTTGCCAGTCGGATATGCTGACCAGCCGAATCACAGGTTGAGGAGCTCGAGGTCACGAAGCCTAGGGCGACGGAGCTGCTGAAGGCGAACGAGGGGGACGCCGTCAAGGCTATGCGTGCGTTTGTCAGCGTTTGAACGAAACACTTGGGTGCCATTGCATTGGAAGGGGCGTTGAGGGGCGTGGCAAGCGCTACGAGGATGGAACTTGGTGGGTATATCAATGCGCGGAGGCATCAATTGCTGACACGATGTCCAGTTCAACCATTCCTTACGATAGACATGATACGACCATAGCATGGGCGATAGTGCCCTGCCCACTGCGGAATAGTAATATTCTACGCTCGAGGCTGGTGCACTCAAGTTCGCTGCCGCCCTGGTGACCGATTGCCGTTGTGTTGCCGAACCTTGACAGTCCTCACAGCATGTGTGTCGCATTGCCGGTCTGAGGACTCTTCTCGTGGCATTGAGTCTGGCTTCGTGGCAATCACCTGTTCGGCTATCGCCCTTCAAGAGGCATGACGCTTTGCCTCATGGGCTGCAGCTGCCCAACAAAGTGCGGCGCCCAGCGTTGGGCTGAAGTGATCAAGAGGGAGGGCAATGCGCAGCTCCCACGTCAGAAGAAGGTCTCATGTTGTTGGAGGACAAAAGGCACGGCGTGGTAAAGTGACGAGTCATTCAGACTTGCGGAGCATGGATAGCCCAACGATCATCACTTGTTCTCAAGGCAAGAATGGCGATCTAGGACCACGCGGGTCAGTGTCGTAGCCCAGTGCCAGATTGCAGGCTCGGTCTACATTTCTCCGAATGTGTGATCACGATGCACAAACAACACACCCCTCAAGCTCCTAGGACCAATCAAGAAATAACCCGCAGAACCACATTTCAACAGCCTGCGCACAATAAAATGATGCGGAAGCGAGGTAATGAGGGGATGGGGTTGTGGCGGCCACGCCTTGCCGTATCAGGCGTGACCGAGGACGCCGACTGAAGCCGTTGAAGGAATGAGTGAGGTGGGTGATGCGAGCGACGGAACAAGACCCCGCTGCGCCGGATAATGGGAGCTTGTTGTGACGGGGGCGCTTGCGGTCGCCACGACATCAGACCTCGGTGAGACGAGACAGCCAGTCATGGCGTGGCTCGGTCAGGCTCCAGGTGGTGCGATGACCATTAAGAGTCGTATGTGCTGACATTGTAATTTCAAGGTGTGAGGCCCAAAGTACAAAGCAGTAGGCACCCGTGACCTGGTATGTGAGGTGGCCTGTGTCACCCGGTGTGCGCTCCATCCGATCCGGCCATCCGCCCAACGAGGAAACCGGTAGGCGCAGGTCTGTCGTGCATATGCCCGCCACAACCACGGCTGTTCCCTGATGGTGGTGGTGGTGGTGGCAGAGGAAGATCTGGACCGAGAGAGGGATTTTGTACAGAAGCACATTGCGCTGGTTCACTTGAGTGGGGGAATGAGGTAGATTATCCGGTGACGCTTCCGGCACGACATGCCAATGAGGAGGCCGAGCATTCAGTCAGCGGGTGTCGAAAGCAGGGGTGTCGTGGGCCAAGCTCGGCATCATGGAAGCTGAAGCGATGAGTCGGCAGAAGAAAGAGCCAGACAGTCCAGGTTTGGAGACCAGGCACTGAACCTAGGAGACCGAACGGCCACTTGTGGTGAAGCTTTTGACAGGGTGCTAAGTTATGCCTGCCAGGAAGCGGGTGGGTGATGGCCCTGGTGTGCACATGGGCAACAACCCGACCGGACGGGGTACCTGGTCAGGTCAGGTAGTCTAAAGTGCGGGATTCGGTCTTCGAGAAACGACGTGGGTGGCTGGTAAAACCGTTTGGGTCATCCCGTCATGCATCAAACTGGGCACATGCCTAACAGATGGTCAGACCCGTTAGAAACTTTGTGTTTCTCGGAAATGGTGTCGCGAATGACTTATTCATCGAGAGCGGTCCACGCAATCGACATTGCCCGCCATGAGCCGGCGCATTACTATTGATGTAGGTTGCCAACTTGTCGCATGTTTTAATATCGCTGCAAGAGGTGCAGAAAAGCCTCGGTCCTGGTGGCCATCGACACCACAAGCTTGGCCGCCCGTCATGGTCGACGATCGGCCTACAAGTGGGCGCCGCGTTTCTCTCGACACTGTCAGGCTTGCCGTCTGCTGCTGGCGTGAGACATGCTCAGCCAACGCGGGGAGACTACGGCCGGCTACCAGTCTGGGCTAGTAGATTGGAGCCTGGTGGCCATGAGTGGATGGTGTCTGGCTGGACTTCCCGAGTTGACCGAGGGTATGTTGTAATCGGTGCCTCTGGGAAGCGAAGCTGCCCAACTTGACAGGATCGCGAAATCGCTCTGAAGACTCGCTCCTAGGGACTTGGCTGTATGGCCAGGCAGTGACATCGGGTTGCCAGGTTCTTCGCCTTGTCGAGATGCGAAGCCCTGCACGGAGGCTTGCGACGTGGTCTGCTTCCACCATGGCGCATCCATCAGAAAAGAGACATCGGACCGTTGAGTCCTTGCCGGGAATCTTCTCCGATCAACGGGCGGCGAGCTGTCGGCGAAGCCAGGTCAATGTCGTGTTCGAGATAAGATCTTATTCCAGGCCGCCGTACGTGTATGTATGCATGTGTGTGTGTGTGTGTGGCCAAGGTGCATCGCGGGGTGCCTTGTAGGACGGGTCCTCTCCGCCATTGTTGCCGATGTCATCCCGCGCCGCCCTGCACTTGCCCTGCTTGTAAATTGCATTTAATTCTTCGAGCCGGGACAAGCGCGCCGTGAAACGATTGTTGTGTGCAACCATCAGGGCGATCCGGCCGAGTCTCGAACGCCCGCCTTGCGATCCGTCGGCTCTTCTATACCAAGCCCAAGGAGCAGATTCAACGACAATGGCGTGAGAAAGGGAGAAGAAGCCCGCGATCAAGGTGCAATATTGGACAGTCACAGGCAAGGCAGGAAGAAAGTAGGCACAGCACCCGAAGGCCGTGGAACTCACGAGGGCGTACAGAGATTCGGCAAGACCAGTTGTCCTCTGCTGCTACCCTCCGGTCCTCGGTGGGCCCCTGCCATGACCAAGTGCTGTGTTCGGTGTCGTACCCCTCGGTGCGCATGCACGAGCCAGATGGCTGGAGCACGTCCCCTCTCTCCCCCACCCGCACACCCTAGCACGCACCTGCCCATCGCCAGGGTTCGCGGCTGTCGGTCAATGGCGCCTGCCCTCCATTCGTCCCGTCTGGCCTCGGTCGGCCGCCGCTGCGTGCTTGTGGGTGAGGTGAGGTGCAGTAGGGAAGGAAGCAAGGGAAGGTGCGGTGCGATGCGAGTGCAGGTGCGGGTGCGGGTGCGCAAGTCACTCAAGTCAAGTTCGAGTGTGCAATAGCAATAACAATAGCAATTGCAAGCCCAATCGTTGGTTTGCTGCAACGTCCCCTCCTTCCCAAGCAGGCAGACGCATGTCAAGTACATTTCTCTCCGGTTTGAAGCCTTAACCCGGCCGTCACCTCTCACCTTTCACCTTCGCCTCTCACCTGGAATTCCCCGTCTCACGTCTACGAAGGAGACAAAACTCGCGCACCTCGAATCTCGACCAGCATCCCTCACAGCCACCTGCAGTACTCGCCAGTGTCGAGTGTACAGAGCTCGAGCCTACGCGCATACGCCCACTTGGTCATACGCGAGTCGCGTTCCCCCCTCCTGCCCCTCTTCGTTTTCTAGTTCCGCCTTCCAAGGTCGCTTCCCCTCGCCGTTCACGTCTACATCCACGCCTCAGATCCATCTCCGCGGTCGGTGAAGCTCGGTGGGGCGCAAAGGTTAAAAACAAAGCACAACACACCCTATCGTTACCCGCCCCATCGATACTTGTACCGCCCGCGCGGCACTTTATCACTCACACTTTCACTTTCATTCGATCATGGGCCCTCGCGTCTTATTCTGATCAACATGCATCCGGCTCCCAGCCTGCTCGAGGCACCCCCCAAGACAAGCCCCTCGGACGAGCCCGCCCGCGCAACCTCCGTGCCGTACCAACAACAACACTCACCCAGCCCCCAGCTGTCAAGTGAGCAGATGCCGCAACCACAGGAAGAAGACCATGCCATGGTCGACATGGATCCTCAACTGCAGCAGCAGCAACACCAGCTCCAGCAACAGCAGCTCCAACAAGAGCAACAGCTTCAACAGCAGCAGCAGCAGCAGCAACAACCGCAACCGCAACAACAGCAACCGCAACAGCAGCTCCCTTCAGTCACCTCACCCAACCACCAGACGTTGAACCCCAATCCGGCCTCACCGCCGATGAGGAAGGACACCAATTCGTCCGTGTCCACTACGGCCACCACGGCCACCATGGCATCTGCTGGCACCGAGATGTCAACAGAGACAAACAACACATCGTACAGTGCCGACACCTCTCCTAACCTTACCTCCATCTTCCACATTAAGGATGGAGCCGACATGTCTAACCGGATTCGCGCGAGCAGGAGGCGAACCGGCCCTTTGTCTTTCCAACAGAGAGAGAAAGCTGCTCTCATTCGAAAACTCGGCGCCTGTCTCGACTGTCGTCGCAGGCGCGTTGCTGTAAGTCTGAGGCTACAGGGCCTCACATAATCCATTGCCCGTGCGCCGGCCGGCTGTTGCTGATACTGTTTATGACGATAAGTGTCATCCCAGTCATCACAATATGAGTTGGGAAGACGCAGTCGAAAAATTCAAGAACTCGCTCCCCGGTATGCAGGGTAAGAGCCACACCGGCGGCCAGAGGCCATTGAGCCCTCAAGACCAGAGCCTGAAGTCAATGTATGGCGACCAAGAGATGGATATTGACTCTCCCTCTGGTCGATTGGGCGAGTCGCGCATCCGAACGCCCTTGCCATCCGGCCCCAGGCTCGACAAGCCGGGAGGTCTGACAGGCATCGAAGTCAAGACCGACTTGCAGACAAATGTTGCTCGTATCTTGTCCAACCCTCACCGCAGTCGCTATGCAGGTGCTCAAGTATTGTTGCTTCATTGGGCTGGCGACCACGACCCCCATGTTAGCTCGGCTGTCAATGAACTAGCCGACGTCTTCGATCAGTACTATCGATATACGTTTCAAATCCAGGCGATTCCGTCCACTTCAGAGAGCTGCAAAAGCCCTTGGAGGTGGCTATCGCGGAAGATTACTGATTTTTCAGAGGAGCGCGACCAGCGTGATGTCCTCAAAATCGTCTACTACAATGGACATTCGTACCTTGATGACAACCGCGAAATGGTTCTCGCCAGGTGAGATCTAGTCTGCACAATCAGCTGGAATTCAACCTTGTGCTGATACCAGACAGCTCGAGGGACAGGGAGAAGGCAGAGACACTCCGCTGGAGTGGAATACAGCAGGTCTTGGAAGAAGCCTGCGGTGATACGCTTATTCTCATGGATGCTGCATATTATCCGTCTTCTAAGATGGTGCGCCAGCAGGGTGTTCTTGAACTAATCGCTGCGGCCGTCTCAGAGGAGCATTTCAATGAGCTTGAGCGGTGCTCTTTCACCAAATTATTGGTGGAGCAACTCAAGACACGAGCATCACATCGTGTACCGAACCCGCTCACAGCTGCCGAGTTGCACTCCAAGCTTGTGTCTAGCTATCCGACGTTCATTCAGGACAGAAACGGCGACAAGGACCTGGTCACGACATCACCTTCGCCTCTCCACATTCAGATTGCGGGTAATCCGAGACTCGCATCGATCCTTGTTGCGCCTATGAACATCAGCCCGCAGCGCAACAGCTTGCCTTTTGCGCCAGAAGGTCAACAACTTGTACTGTCCGTTCGCGTGGGCGATGAACCCATCGACGTTGACAGCTGGACCGAGTGGTTGCGGCAGATGCCCGAAGCTGTGAAAGAAATGAGAATCGACGGCCCATATCGTCCAATCCGATGAGACGTCATTAGTCTTCGTACAGATGATTCACAGGGATACCTTGGACGACTACTCCCCTTCACGACTCACGCTTGGGCCGCAATGCGATTTTTGACGACATGACCACGACGTTTTGATTTCTAGACGATGAGGCATTCTTACGACAGGGTGAAACGACAGAAGGACAGACGGCGAAGGAGCACGGTATTCGTTCGCATCAAGGAGGAAGAAGGGCATGGCGCAGGCCTCGGGCGAATGTCGGTGGGTTTTTGTAGGGGATATACCAACTTGTTGCTCTTACTGAGGAATAACAACCCACTCTGCTCATCTCATTCTACAACGAGAAACTGACATGCAAGCTATCTATTAACACATATTCTCTGCAGGCTTGATCACGGCCCATCCAGCGAAGACGCAGTCGTCACAATCGTCCCATTTTACTCCTTCAACCTCTCCAGCACCAAGCATGATGCGTCCACATACAGGTATCTTGTCTGTCACTAATCATAGCAGCTCACCTCGATTACCACATCACCAGCGCCGCAACAGCCATGCTCACACCCACGCCCCAGAAGCTTGCGCGCACAATGCCAGCAGCATCCTCCTTTTCATCGGACCCGATAATGAAGCCTGGCTCGAAGGAGCTGACGCTCGCCGAATCGGTCGATCCGTCCCAGCAGTACCGCTCGAAACAGCGCGTGCACGCTTCTGGCACAGTCTCGTTGCCGCGGTGCAGGCTCCTGCTGAGGACGGCACAGGCAACACAGACGGGCCACTCGCTGTCGACCGTAGCATTGCCCTGCGTGGCGGCGTTGAAGCCGTTGCGGATAATGGCGTCGCGCTGGGCGGTCGGGTAGGACGGGTTGAAGGTCGAGACGTTGCTGTGGGCGGTGTAGGGCGCGTTGGGGACGTAGACGATGAGCGGCGGCAAGGACTGACCGTCCTCGAGGGTAAAGTTGTTCGCGTCGCAGCCGAAGAAGGTGGGGCGCTGGTTGAGACGCTGGTTGACGAACGTCTCGGCATCCGGCACGGGCGGGAAGAGGGTGCCGTTGCCGATGGCGGTGCCGGCGCGGTCATAGGTCGCGCGGAGGGCGGTGCCGTTGGGCCAGTTGAAAGTTGTGTCGGCCGAGGAGTCGACGGCGAAGATGACGTCGACGGCGCGGAAGGGCTGGATCAGGGGGTGCAGCGGGATGTTCTGAAGGTCCATTCCGCCGTCGACGAGGGACAGCTGGTCGGACTCGTGGTTGGCCGAGTCGTTGGTCGGGTTCCAGCCGAAGAACGGGTTGGGCGCGTACTGGGCAATGTCGTTTTCGTCGGCGTCGAGGCGATCGAGAACGTTGGTCACGGCCTCGATGAGGAACTTGGGAATGTCCGCACTCTCGGCGACACCGGTAACATTCTGCAGGATAAAGGCGTTGAAGAGAGAGGATGAAGTGCCCATGACGAAGCCCAGCTGGTCGAAACCGCGGACGCACTCGCCGTCGCGGGCGATTTCACCGTTGGAGAAGTTGGAGGCCAGATAGCGCAGCGGCGCAAAGCCGTAGGTCGTGGGGTCAAAGCTGCCGAGCTCAAAGGGGTTGAACTCGTAGACGGTGGCATTGAGGGAGATGATGCGCTCGCCGGGGGCACGGCCGTCCGCGACCAGGATGGGGAACGGCGTGTCGGCGTTCTCGAACTGCTCCGTGTCGGCAATGGAGGAGAAGGTGTAGGCCGGGCCGCCGTCCGTGGCGTTGATGAGCTGATAGGAGAGTGCGCGGCCCCAAAAGTCGGTGATGGATGTGTCCCAGCCAGCACCCTTGCGGGCGACATCGCCGACGACGGTCGACCAGTAGTCGGCCGTGTTGAGGATGGAGATGCCGGACTCCTCGGGCCCACGGAAGATGGAACGGTCGAAGCGCCAGACGGAGGAGCCATCGGACCCTTGCTGCAGATCAGGGACGGTGGAGAAGTTGTTGGCGAAGATGGAGCCGACGAGCCAGCCTCCGCCGGAGAGGCCGGCAAGGTAGGTGGCGGATTGAAGCAGGCCGCCGATGGCGCCGGTACCGTTGTCGGATGCGCCAGGGTTACGAGAATCGGCAGCCGAGAGGAAGCCGGCTCCGTTCATGAGAGCACGGTAGCCGCCGCCAGACACGGCAATGGCGATGTTGGGCAGCGCCGTGGCGTTGTCACGCACGCGATCAATGTAGGCGCCTGCGTCAAAGTCGGGGATGTTGGCGCGGGTGAGGAGCTCGCGCATGGGGTCAATGGTGTTGTTCCGGCGACGGGGAAGCCACTCGGCCTCTCGGTCTGAGAGGCGGTCGGCCAGACGGATCGAGGGCCGCGTCGAGGGGCAGTCGACGACCTTGGGCTCATAATGACCGCTCGGCGAATCGGGGAGTGCGCGAATGTCGACGGACAGAACAGACAACCCTTCTGAGCGCTTAGCCGCGACCGCGTCCACAGCGCTCACATCGCCGGGGAGCGCCGCTGCGGGATGGGCGATGGAGGCGGCGAGCCATAACAACGAGTGCGAGAGTTTGGCCATATCCAGCAAAAGTTTGGGTTATCAATTGGGTGCCAATGTTAGGAAAGGGCTTGTAGGAAGGACGAGAGAGAAAGAGAACAATAAACACTGAGCGGCAGATGAACGACAAACTTCAGCTCGAAGAGAAGCTAACAGCGCGTGGCTGTGGGTGTCGAGACGCGCCTTGGATGAACCAGAAGAAGTGAAAAAGCAGCTCCGCGAAACGAAGGGAAGCGAGGACACGGCGATGGAAGGGAATTAAAGGTTTGCCTTCTTGGGGCATCGAGATTGATAGATGCAGAACGGACAGGCCAACGCCAAACGGCGATCCCCTGAAGATCCACCAGCAGCTCAAGCACAGAGAGGGAGCCGCAGTCTCGCGTATGACGCAGCCTGAGGAGGCCACCCGGGCCTAAGCTCGTTCAGGCTGCGTTCAGTTCGGGATCCTCGGCCAGGGTGGGGGGAGGGTGCCCAGGAAACGGGACTAGGGGGGGGGGGGGCTGAAATGCGAGAAGAGCGAGCGGCTTGTACGAAAAACACCGGATCGGAACGAATGCGATGTGCATGATTGCGACAGGGTTCTGCTCATGCTGCGGTGAGACGTGAGACGACGGATCAGTGTGAGACGGATGTTGTACGCTCTGAAGGAGCTGGCGCAGTACCGCCTGTCAGCAATCCATCTGTGGTGCTATTTTGACAGCTCAGTCAGACGGTCAACGGTCCTCTGCGCATGCTGTGAGTTTGCAAGGGGCTAGCTGGTGGGCTGAGGCTGCCAGCACGTCCTGCTTGGCGTTGTGCGGGTGGGTGAAGAATCGCCTTGTCGTACATGTAGTGAGAAAGTTGTTGCCGCAACAGGCAAGCGGTACATGGCCAATACGCGGAATGTGTTGTACAATGAGCTCCGATGACGATGATTCGGTGCTAAACGCTGTAGTGCAATGGCGGTGCTTATGGGTTGGACTTGGACTTCATGCAACAGCCAACAGCATTGGCCAAGACGAGGAGGGGCCAACACGGCGATGTGTTTGGACGGACCATCAAGGACTAACGAAGACTCGGTGACGAAAACATCGTGGCGTGGCACCAGAGCATCCAACTGTGAGTGAGCAGGCGGGAGCTGTCGAGAGCCGTCTCCCACCCTGCGAAAGCGCTGGACAGTGAGCAAATAGGGCATCCATTCCCCTAGCAGGAAGGGTGGGCAGAGAAGAAAGAAGCTGGCGCCAAACTCTGTCTCGCCCTAGATCCATCCTCACAGGGCGCGCCGCCTCTCTGGCACGAAGCTGCCGTCTTGGCTCGAAGGGTTTCCCCCGTCGGTCTTCATGTCACTCACGGCCGCCGAAATCAGCCCTGTCGCTGACATTCTGCCTGGCGAAATGGGGGTTTGCAGGGGAACGGGGCGTTAAAAAGTCCCGAGCGCGAAGGGGAAGACAGGGGGTGGGAGAGACAGGGACGCGTATGCTGGCGGTCGTGCGTGCGTCCTTCGGGTTTCGCGGCCGCACTATCGAGGAGTTCGCGTCGTGAGGCCCTCGCGAATCTCGCTGGGAGGGTGTCCCATCATTCATTGGCTTGATCGTTCGAGAGATCGCGTGACTCCACACAACTGGGAGGCAATCGGTGTCTGTAGTCCGAATTCCTTGTTGCTTTGCTTGGGTCGCCGTTTCTGATGCCATTGCGACATGTGATGGGCAATTGGCACGCCTCTGTTTAGAGAGCATGTAATTAGTTGGCCGTGTGCGAATCATGGAGCCCCATTCATCCACGGCTCTAGGGTTTGAAACTGGGTTTCTCGTGGCATTCCTCGACGGCGGGTGGTCTTCGTGGACGTCATGAGTGTTGGACGCAAGAAGCCGCGACATTGAGCCTGCTGAAAGTCTGGCGCAACGTGATCGAAACAGAAGGTTTGTTGTGGAGAATATGGGCTGGGAGAAGACTACACTCTGCAACAACAAACGGGCGTGTGGTCTAGGGGTATGACATCTGCTTAGCATTGATCTGATCAATACTAAACTGCTGAAGGTCCCGGGTTCAATTCCCGGCGTGTCCACTTCTTTTTGCGATTTGCGCCTCATGCTCTGGATCACGATCAGTGCGTGTTCTAGGTGGGCCTCGTCTTTTTTTGACTGCCCTTTGGCTAGAGCGGTGCTGAGTGGGTGACCTATCTCTGTCACAACCTCTCAAGCATTCGCCACTTTACCCAGTGAAATGGGAGATCCGCTGCTGATGGCGATGTCGTGATGAATATGGGTGGTCGACAGTATTGTCTCTGTGCACCTTGTGACGAGTGTGAAGTGATGCGTGGTTCAAGATACAACATTGCATCTTGTGTCCGTCCGAGCCGAATCACTGGTCCTTCCATAGTCTTTGCGAATTTCATTGACATCATGGTAATTACTGCCATCCACCGGCATTTCAGAAGCATTGCCATACGTAAATGGGAACTGTTGGTTTCGATATGACAATCATCGCTCGACCGTTGACGATTGCTCCGACACCAGGCCAAGAACGTTCATCCTAGCCCGCTTCACGCTTCAATGCTCAAATGGTAAGCAGCTATTCGCGGTCAAGAAAAAAAAAGGCCAGCCATAAGGAAAGCTGGCCTGGGCAGACACGATACGAATCGAACAGCCCCCCCATACGACAGTCGCAGGCAGTCGGATACATGGCTGTTGTCATACATCAGCAGCATGTTGTACTTGATAATCTCTCCGTATGCAAAGAGATGTGAATGTGGACGGACTGTGTTAGGGAAATGAGATTTCAAACCTGCTATTTTGTTTACCGTTTACATAACTCTTTCACTAACATAGGATTACACTGAGTAATGGGATTTATCCTTTTACTTCATTTAACACAATACTCTATAAGTAATTTACATGCTTTTATTATATTAATGGCTATATAATTTTCTTTCCAAGTCACTACTCAATCTCAGATTTGTTCACAACAACGGTCAGTCTTCACCTCGCCGTCAGCAGTGAAGGAGAGAAATGAGCCGACAGCTGCCAGCGGGGTTGGCATCTGTTGACGGCCAGGATCCGAAGTCCAAGCGGGGTGCCCTGATGTCATGGCCCCCATTGGTCACGCGGAGCTCTGGTGGACCCATCCATGTTGACCCGGCAACAGGAAACACGCTGACCACACTATCAACAAAAACCCCAAGCTGCTCTCTGGAGGCCTGCTCCTGGCTCCCAACCTGCTGAACCACATCACCATGTGAAAAGACACACTCGACCACCTTTCGATAACCCCAATCACTAGTTACTAACCCATCAGCAAACCTCGACATCTATACCCCCTCCCCCCCAAGAAACCATCCCAACCCACCCAGAGTACTCCCCGCCAACTCGAGGCAGCATGGACCCCCAATCACCACCCAAGCGGATGACACGCGCCCGCGCCGCCGCAAAAGCTAGCGATGCTGGGCCCAAGACGACCAAGATTATGACCGCCGCTGCCAAAGCCAAGGCAGCGCCCGCCGCCACAAGAGCAACAGCGTCGTCCAAGAGGAAAACCCGCTCTGACGAGGACGAAGAAGACCACAACGAGGCCTCTTCGACAGAAGCCCCCGCACGCGCCACCAGGGCCCGTGGTCGTCCCAAAAAGGCTGCCGAAGAGCCTGGCGAAGAAGAAGAAGCGACATCATCAAGTGCCCCTGGACGGGCAACGCGTGCCAGGGCTGCTGCACGCAAGGCCGCCGCTGACGTGCCCAAACCGGAGCCCACCAAAGAGACGGCCCTCAAGGCAACCCGCGGGCCCGGCCGGCCGAGAAGGCTTGCGACACAAGAAGATGCCCCGGCTGCGTCCGAGCCGCCCAAGAGGACGACACGCACACGTGCTGCCACAGTGACGGCTGCGAAGCCGGTCGTCAGGAAGAAGGTCACATTCGAAGAGCCCGAGAAAGAGAATGTCAATCCGGACGAGGGCAAGAAAACACCCGGTCTGCGCGGCAGGCCTGTTCGCAAACCGCCTGTGCCCAAAGCGGCGAGGCCGACGCCCAAGACGGCGGCGACTGCTGCGGCCAAGGAGACCAAGGAGACAAAGGCACCCCTTAGCCCTAAGAAGGTGACACAGATGCCCCACTCCCGAGACGACTCGGAAGATGAGCTCTGCCAAACACCCGTGAAGGCCTTGATGAAGAGCCCGGTGAAGCCTCCTTCCAGCGCGCTCGGCTCATTCAAGAAGCTCGAGCCTAGGCCCAGGGAGACCGAGCCCGCCGGAGACGTTGCCGACGATGAGGGAGAAACACCCGAGATCACCTTGAGCAGCCCGGCGAAGCGGCCCCCGACATCACCCAGCAGAGACAACACCATGAAGTCGCCAGCCAAGCGTGCCGATGGCGTGACGATCCTGCGGCCGGCGTCTGCCATGAAGCCCTCCACCAATGGCGAAACCACCCCCTTCAAGGCGTCGCTCCTGAACTCCCCAGCCAAGCGATCGCAGTCGGCTGTCAAGAGCCTTAATCTCCCCACTCACAACCGCAGCACCGCCGAGACCTCTCGCTCACCGTTCAAGGCTTCCCTGCTTCAGTCGCCAGCCAAGCGCCCCGTGATCCCGTTCAAGACCCACGCTACACCCAGGCTTCAGAACGTCGTCGAGTCGCCGCTTGCGTCCACGCGCAAGGTTCCTGGTGCCTCCGCAGAGGCAGAGACGTCCTCTCAAGCGACACAGTCGGCCCGGACCAAGGCTTTCTACATGGCATCCCCGGCAGCCCTCCCGTCTGCCATGTCATCCTCCGAAAAGCTCATGTTCGAAGAGCAGGGCGACGATGCCATGGACCAGGTGGCTGACCAGATCCTCCTCCAAGAACCGAGTACTCTCAACTTCCCCGGCAGGCTGTCTGCCGTTCTTCCCCGCTACGCCGACCCCGCCCTCAAGGACAACCTGGCCATTCTGCATGAAAATCTCGAGGACGAGGTCCGCGAAGCAGAGGCCAACAGCAGCGCTCAGGCGGTCTCGCAGATCGTCGATGAACTCACTCCCGACGAAGACGTCGCCGCAGACGAAGTGACCGATGAGGATGGAGATTCCATCATGACCGAGGAACTCGAGGTCGAGTACCAGGAAAACGAGCCGCCAGTCTCAGCTATTGCTGACGACACTGAGGGTCCCGTGGACGCTCCTGCCCCGCCCATGGGCGTGTTTGCCCTTCGGGAGAAAGATACTACGCCCTACGACGATATGGACTCAGACTCGGACGACGAGATTGCGCACAGTGGTGAGGGACAGAGTTCACCTACCCGCGCTGTCCCGGCTACGCCCACTCCTGCTTTGTCGTCCCGTCGCAGCATGGGCCAGTCCTCCAACAAGCTTGGCTTCACTCCTCTCGCGCAGCAGCTCAGCGCTTGGTCCGCTGCCAGTCCCGCGAAGCAGACGCGGCCGTCAGCCCCGAAGGCGACAGTGGAAAGCCCGAAGAAGCTGGCGCAGTCTCCCGCGGCTTCTGTCCGCATTGACGACTCTCCCGCCAAGAGCACTTTTTTCGAGGACGAGATGACCATTCGCGCCGAGTTTGACCTCCAACAGCAGGTTGAGGCTGCCATTGAAGATGAGATCATGGCGGAGCTGGATGACCCCGAGTTTGACGACATGATGATCACTCAAGAAGACATGCAGCTTGCCGCTGAAGCAGACGAGATGTCTTTGCTGGAGCCTAGTCAGGTGGAAGAGATGGCGGGCATTCTCGCGCTGGACGACAGCCTGTCCGAGGCCAGTCAGGAGTACGGCGACGAGAATGAGATGCCTGTCGACCCGGCCATGAACGACGGCCTTTCCATCCCTCCGACGACGCCGCTCCGCACCCTCACCCGCGAGTTCCACACGGTCTCCAAGGTGCCGCTGAAGGCGGCTGACGACTCGACGCCGCGCCCCAAGAAGAAGCGTGCCGCCAGCATTTCGCGCCTTCCCGTCAGCAGGCCCACGCAAGGCCTGACAAGGAGCGCGACCGTCATCTCCTACTCTCCCATGAAGAACAACAGGCCTGCTCTGGAGCCGAAGCACGATGTAGAGCAGGAGGAGCCCCTGCAGTCTGCTCCTGTCACACCGACCAAGTCTGACATCTGGTCGACCCTGGGTACCCCGGCGCGGACGCCGCGCCGGGACGTTGACCCCGCACTTCTCAGCGGAGCCGTCGTCTTCGTGGATGTGCACACCAGTGAGGGCGATGACGCTAGCGGCATCTTCGTCGAGCTCCTCGCGCAGATGGGTGCGCGCAGTGTCAAGAACTGGGACTGGAACCCTGACAGCGCCGGCCCTGACAGCTCCAAAATTGGCATCACTCACGTTGTCTACAAGGATGGCGGTCAGCGCACCCTGGAGAAGGTCCGCCAAGCTAAAGGCGTCGTCCAGTGTGTCGGCGTCAGCTGGGTTCTCGAGTACGTTGCCCCCCCCCCCGTAGAGCAGTGACCCACCGATTCAAGCTAACACTATGTGAAGCTGCGAGCGAGAGAATGAATGGCTCGACGAGGCTCCCTACAACATTGACACATCATCGTCGTCGTCGTCGTCGTCCCGCGGTGGTGCCCGTCGCCGCAAGAGCATGATGGTCACCAGCCCGACCAAGGGCAGCCGCGACGCCCAGACGGCACCCAACACGCCCATGAACAGGCGCGAAAGCACGGCCTGGGAGCACTCGCCATCGGACCTCGTTGAGGACGACGATCAGGAGTGGCAGACGCTTCTGACGCCGGTGCCGCAGACGCCGGCACCGGACGCGCTGGCCAGGTACGCCGCAGACTTGACCCCCGGCACGCCCACGGCCACTCTCAGCTCATCGGATGACTCGCCCCTGAGCGAGCCGATGGGCATGAAGACGTGTCCCCCCAAGCCCAACGCCTACAGCGAGATGGGCCACGGCATCCTCGACCGGGAGAAGGATGACAATGTTGTGAGGAGGTTGATGGCTGCTCGCAGGAAGAGCTTACAGTTTGCCCCCAAGATTGGAAGCCCTCTGGCCAGGGCCTGGTGAGGGGTTCGAGGTGCTACGAGGGATGGAAGCGATTGCCATGATGCATGAAACTGGGGACAATTGAGGCGTTTATTTTTTTTGGTTGATACGGGCTGGGAGGGTTTGAATTTTTGGCGTCATGGGTTTTACGGATATGGAGACTGGGGCCTACGGACAAACAAGGTGGCTCCAACTTGGTGATTGGTCTCTCTGCATAATAAGAGATCAAGATCTCGTCAGGAAAAGACATGCTCTCACTCAATGGTGTCGTGTAACAGTCGCCCGCTCGTCGCCTGATTCAAGCCACTGCACGCACGCCTGGCTGCTTAGTCACCGGCCTCTCCGTTGGTCTCGGATCTGGCCCGCTTGACCTTGGACCGTGGACCAGTGGCGCGGCAACGTACGTACACCTTCCCGACGACCTCATATCAGGCAGGTACAGCCTGACGCGTGCTCACAGGGGGCATGCGCGCACCGCTGTCATTCTCCTCGGGTGCTGACATTGGCAGTCTTCCAGAGGCTTCGCTCTGCCACTCACCTGACCTACCCACCTACCCGCCTACCTTTCTTTCCCATGGGAGGCCCGGCAGAGGGGAGGACAGTCTCTTCTTGACGAGGGTCGATGACTGTGTTCGGCAGCAATTCAAGAGTGAAGCAAGCCAAATTTCTGCTCTGACGGGCCCCGCCATTTTTTTATTTATTCTTTTGCTTCATTTGACCAGGACGGGCCTCTTCATCGCTGCCAACGAGTACGGAAACCCGACTCTGCCCGCATCTGCGCATCCATAAACGAGGAAGCGTCACCACCACCCAGCATGCCGGAACATGACGCCCTCGTCCAGGCGTACTCGCACCTGGCCGACTTGCCACGGGCCGGCGAGGCCCTCACGACGCTGAAAAAGGTCGCGTCGCTCGTCAAGCCCATCATGCGGGCGCGGCGCTGGCGGGTGGGCGAGCTCGCCGAGTTTTATCCCGAACAGCACAACCTCCTAGGTAGGCGCCTGTGTTTTTTTTCCTTTTTTTCTTTTTTTCCTCCTCAATATATATACTGGGGGCATATTGGAAAAAAAGGAAAGCAGCAAGGCGTGCGACGACAGAGACAAGAGGAGGGGCACGATGTGAGAAAAGAAAGGCGAGCACTGACGACGAAACGCCCAGGCCTCAACGTCAACCGCGGGCAGAGGATCCTGCTGCGCCTCCGCCGTCCGGGCGACCGCGCGCAGTTTGTCTCCATCGAGCAGGTCGTCGACACGATGCTCCACGAGCTGTCGCACATCGTCCACGGCCCCCACGATGGCAAGTTTCACGCGCTCTGGAACCAGCTGCGCGACGAGCACATGGGACTCGTCATGAAGGGGTACACGGGCGAGGGGTTCCTGTCTGAGGGTCACCGCCTCGGCGGCGGCGGGCAGAAGCCCGTGCACGAGGCGCGGCGGCTGGCCCGCGCAGCGGCAGAGAGGCGACGCGCCAGAGGGGCAGGGACGGTCGCCGCCGCGGGGCAGAGGCTCGGTGGAGCTGCGCCGAGGCCCGGGCAGGATATACGAAGGACGATCGCCGGGGCGGCGGAGCGGCGCAATACGACGCTGCAGGGTTGTGGCAACGTGAGCCACGACGAGCGGGAAATTCAAGCAATCTCGGAGACGGCAACGAGGAACGGGTTCCGCACGCAGGCTGAGGAGGACGCGGCGAACGAGGCCGCCATCGCGCAGGCGCTGTGGGAGCTCGTGCAAGAGGAGGAGAAGCAAAAGTACGGCAATTACTACGTGCCCCCAAGTGCCCAACATCCCGAGGGCAGCCAAGGAGGTGCCGTTGTGCCAAATCATGGCGGGCCGCCGCCGCCGCCTGTCCCTGCGCCAGAAACGCGACCGCCAACCTCAGGATCGGCGCTGCAACCCCTGGCTTCATCATCCCGGGCACCTACTGATCAGTCGCTGACTACGCAGAAGGGATGGACATGCGGCCTGTGTACCTTGCACAATCCGGCCACGTTCCTCGCCTGTGATGCCTGCGGTACACAACGGGGAGAAGACGTGTCGCGAACATTGTGGACGCCTAACGAGGAGAAAAGACGCACAACACCACTGTCATTAGCAACAGCATCGGCGTCAACGTCGACAAAATCCACGTCGGCATCCATACCGACAATAGACCTGACTGACAGTCCGCCCTCCAAGGCCAAGGCTAAGGCCAAAAGTGTGCTGCCTGCGGCGACGCCTGCAAACCCTTCGGTGAAGAGCAGACCCCAGACTTGGCAGTGCTCCTTCTGTGGGACGAGGATGGAACGAGAGTGGTGGACATGCTGGACGTGTGGATTGATGAAGGACAATTCTCGATGAGTACATTACGGATGAGTAATATGAAAAGAGTTTGTTGAATCATCTCGTGAAGAAACTGCTGCTGTGCTCCAGGGTTTGCGGGCTTTAAGGGTCCATTGATGACGATCCTAGGCCCCTTACTGTAAGTGTAAGGGGTTTCTTGCCTCTGCAGCTCGGCTGCTGCGTGATCGGCGGGCTCGTCTCTTTCTGGTAGTGCAGAGGAGCGCTGTGGGACGACAGCTGCCTCGGTGCTGACGATGTCGCCACTTGACGATCTCCCCCGCCGCTGGTGGCACTCGCCGTTGCTCGCTGCAACGTGGTGGTGTGCTGGTGGTGCACGGCCCGGCTGGTGGTAACATTGTCGTTTCGACGAGGCTGGATCGGTCAGGGCCCGTATGTCCCATCGAGCCGTACTGTTTTGCCAGAACGTCGGAGCGCGCAAATGTCATGATCGCCAGCGTGTGCTGAAGAAGCGGGACCCCCGGCGGCTTCGCCAGACAGTCGTGCTGCTCTACCCATCGGTCGTGTCAGACGGGTTGGCAGTGCTAGTGGTTTTCGTAGTCAGGCCATGACGTAGAACGGCAGAGACGAGCAAGGGGAGGGGGGGTTCAGGGCCCAAGACGGCAGGTGATCTGCGATGGGTGGCCGCCCCCCAGACGAAAGACCTGCAGGACTTGGCCCTCTTGGGTGCCTGGGGGGGTCGCGCTGAACCGTTCCCCGGCGCGAAATTCGATCTGGAAGGGTCTCTTGTGCCAAGTGTCTCGCAGCGAGTCTCCGCTGGCCCACGGATGGGGAACCCGTTGCTCGATCATTGGCAAAGGGGACAATCCCATTTGGCCCTGGTCGCCAAGCTCCATCCAGCTCGCTGACAGCCTCATTCACCGCTCTGCCCAACTGGTTCCTGGTTGCTGGTTCGTCTCCCGCTGACATCATTCAGAAGTCTTGGATCAATAGTCACTCGAAAGGCCCTCCTCTGGGTCCTTGGTGGTTCCTGATCGCAGGCAATGGTTTGCTTCGGCGTGTCAAGGTGTATCGCCTGGTCAACAACAGGTCGCATTTCGCCCGCCCGTCGCGTGTTTCTCGTCCGTGATCGGCAGGAGTTTGGCTGGGCAGAAGCTGTCGATAGGTGTGGATGGACCCCGAAAACCCTGACCCTTGATCTGCAGTACCACCTCCCAGTGCGGACTCGGGAGCCCGACCCCCCCCCCCCCCCCCTTCGGGGAGCCTGGCGAACAGTATGCGAAGGAATGATGCTGTTGGCGACTGTAGTCTTGGCTGTTTTTTTTCTGCCACCACCACCACCCGGCACATGTTACTCCCGTTCGTCTCGGTGGGGCGGGGGGCGACGATCATCGCTGACCTGCGATGGTGCACGAGCGCCCAGAGGTCACAGTCCAGGGGGGCATTCTGATCTTCGTTGCGCAAGGCTCGAGAGTCTGATCGAAATTGCTCACAGGGATTGCCAGTGATCCTCAGAGCGAGCGCTGTCTGGTCCTCGAGTGCACAGCATCTGGCCACGTTAGCCCCAGGTTATGCTTTTACTCTGCGTTCCCTACCGACGGATGGCGCATACATTCATGTACTCAGCACTTTGGGTTGAGCAAGCTCCAGGGGCGTCGACAGGTGCCCTCAGGGCAGCTGTGTACGGCGGCCGTCGATTCCCACTCGATCAGGTGGCGATGCGTGTCTCTGGGGTGGGGTTCGTCATGGTCCAGAACCGCCGCTACGGTGATCGTGGAGGGGCAACAGGAGGACACTAAATCCTCTCCATAGCACGGACGGAGGTGGTTAGGTGCTGGGTTGTCACCAGAGACAGGAGTGATCGTTCTCACTCTAGGGCCCTGAATGCCACTGTAACTTCCTCGTCCGTCCTGCTCCTTCTGCCAGCTCCTTCTGCCAGCCCACCCCCCACCCGCCCCCAGGCAACAGAAGAGCTTACCTTAAGGTACATTGCTTGCCCGGACGGGGCAACTCTGTCTGGCCAAGCACCGGGCGTAAACAGACCC